GGTGAATTAAATAGCGTGACGGCCCGAGCCGAGGTTCCTTCGGGAGCCCTCGAGCTTAGTCACCATAACGCGTAATAGTAAATACGCGAGGTTCAGGCTAGGCGCCTCGAGCGCCCGGCCACCTCAAGTCCGTCGGATCTGTGAAGGCCCCTAAGGCCAACAGTGGCTCATCCAGCCAAAAAAAAAAAAAAAAAAAAAAAAAAAAAAGTTGATTAAAAAACTTGCAACGTGAACCTTGTTTATTTCAATTAACCTCACGGACCCAAAATACAACCGCTTTGAATTTGTACATGGACCTTCGTTGTCGAATAGTCAGCCAGTGAGTAGAAGGCAGACATTCGACTCGCGCGCGAGTGTTGTGAGTGAAGTTTTTTTTGGAAAACCGAACTTGCGGACGTTGGATCAACGTCGCAACCGCAAGTTCCAGGAGCCGATCGAGTAGGGATGGGTCGTATCGCTTTTTCTGAGTACCGTATCTGAATCCGATATCGATTTCAAATATCAGATTTCGAAACTATGTATTTTAATATCTAGATATTTTACGGTTCCCTATCCACGTTGATTAATTGAATTCAAAAAAAAAAAAAAAAAAAAAAAAAAATTGTATACTTTAAGGGAGTGGATATAACATGAATGAAATAACTTCCCTTCATACTTTTTCCAGGCTTAGGACTGGCTGCAATATTTCATACTTATTATAAATATAAAATTGTGCAGGCGTATTTAAAAGTTGATTCATTCTATATACATAATTTTCCTTATATTTAAAACTTAACATTATATATTTACAATTATGTCAGGGTTAATAATTATTTATATCCCTCCGGATTCAAATTCACGTTTAGGAACGTAAGCTCTCTGACTTTATTCGTCGAAAGTCTTGTTCGACGATCATTAATAATTAACCCTGTCTTACTAAAAATGCGTTTTTTTAAATTATTAAATTAAAAATTTCATTAAAAATATAAATTGAAGTAATATAAAAATGATTTATTTTAACATCTTATATACCGCTTAATAATTGACTTTAACATATTTTTAGAACACGCAATCGAGTGGCAATATTTTTATTATTTGTGTAAGAAATAATACATTCAGTATTATAGCTTAGGGCGGAAGAATTTAAAATATACACACAAGGCACATAAGCCTTGGTCTGATTTCCACCAAAGCAGCCAGCACTATTAAATTATATTTTTCTTTTTGTGTACTTTTATGTTTTTCCAAAAATATGAATAAAATTTAGCTAATAAAAATATTCACAAAAAATTTACCTCCTAAAAAATTTCCATTGTAAATTTTTCTTCCTTAATTTAGGCAGAAAATTCTTAAGTAGTAAGTTGGCATCCCTTACTATTACGTGCTAGGTACCAATGCAATCCAGCTCAAGGCTGAACAAAATTTCAAAGACATCGTTAATACCGTAATTCGTATTTAAATGCAACAGAGTTTTTTTCCATGCTGTTAAGATTCAAAATTACTTAACTGCGCGCTTTGTCGCCCGTTACGGCTCAAGGCTAAACAAAACAATAAAAATATAATAATATCGTTGTAGTAATCGCTGATACCAAGATTAGTATTTAAATGAAACGGATCTTATTTGCATGGTGTTAAGATTCAAAATTACTTAACTTATTCATAATATCTGTTTAAAAATCTGATATCGTGCATTGCTTGCCGTCCCACTCTAACTAGTAAGTGTTTATATCTCACGCGCTTTGTCGCTCGATATCTGATATCGTGCATTGCTTGCCGTCCCACTCTACCTAGTAAGTATTTATATCTCACGCGCTTTGTCGCTCGATATCTGATATCGTGCATTGCTTGCCGTCCCACTCTAACTAGTAAGTGTTTATATCTCACGCGCTTTGTCGCTCGATATCTGATATCGTGCATTGCTTGCCGTCTCACTCTAACTAGTAAGTGTTTATATCTCACGCGCTTTGTCGCTCGATATCTGATATCGTGCATTGCTTGCCGTCTCACTCTAACTAGTAAGTGTTTATATCTCACGCGCTTTGTCGCTCGATATCTGATATCGTGCATTGCTTGCCGTCCCACTCTAACTAGTAAGTATTTATATCTCACGCGCTTTGTCGCTCGATATCTGATATCGTGCATTGCTTGCCGTCCCGCTCTAACTAGTGAGTATTTGTATCTCACGCGCTTTGTCTCTCGAAATCTGTTTGAAAATCAGATATTGTGGCAAACGCGTATGATATCGCCGTATCGCGATTCGTGTCGGTATAGCGAGCGAGCACGGTACATCAGATTTCGGAAATATCAGATATTGTAAAATACATAGATATTGAACGAGCCAGTAAGCGATATTGGGATATTGTACTAATATCTAGTTTTCATATCTGATACGATTTGTATCGCCCACTTCTACGATCGAGGTTTCGAAGAGCATCATCGGTCAGCTTCAGATTATCTTCGGTGGAAGGCGCAGTCAGGTCGCGGTGGGCGGTGCCTGCCTTTGGAGAAGAGGAAGTCGACACAGTGTCGTGCTCTGAAGTATTAGAGCTAGCACTGTCATTACTACAAAGATTATTATTGAATTTCATTAATTGAAATAGAATTATTACTATCATTGATGTCGTTATTATATATTTGTGTTATTAATGGCTTATGGTAACTGAAATACGAAATATATTGTTTACATTTTAGAATTAGAATTAAAATAAACCCTTTGATTTTGCTGATCACTTTAATATAACATATATATATATATTGCTATGAACTAACGCCATCTAGCGTCAACTATTAAAACCACTAAAGAATAAAGACGACATAAAACCCCCTATTCAACACTAGATGGCGTTAGAGGAACATTTTAAGATTAAAAAAAAGATGGCGCGTAACGGAAAAATGTTGCACTAAATTCTTTTCCAACCCCGATATAGAAATTTCACTTCAAAAATGTACACAGGAGATCCCTATAATATCTTTTATGGACCATGATTGTATTTTACTTTTATATTATAATAGGAATAATAATAAACAAACAAATATAAAGTATGAGAAAGCAATCCACAATTTTAGAAAATCTTCCTGTTTATTATGATTTTTTTAATTAAATGGAAAAGGAATTGATTAAAAATACATCTTAAAGTCAAATAAATTAATAAAGGCAAATTACTTATAATTATTATTTTTTATTTTTATGTGATTTTAAAGAAATGGCTCATAAAATTTTTGCAGAAATTACGAATACAACTTTTTTTTATATATTAGGAATTTTAATTTATCCTTGAAATGTTCAAGACTTACTATGTTATATTACTTTTTCAACTAAAATGAAATTTAACTAAATACTATCGATAAAATTCTTATTTGTATCGATAAACGACAGCAATTATAACTAGAATCGAAATTTTGTCAATTTGCACAGACCTCGCGTAGCCTGTTGGTCCGAGCGTCATACACAACGGTAAACTATTGCTGTAGTTCCAAGTTCAAACCACTCATCTAGTGGAGTTGTATTTTTATATTATTTTCACTTTTAATTTGTTAGCCAACTAATTATTTTGTTTTTATTTTATAAAATGGCTCAATTTGGGAAATAAACAAATTAATAAAAAAAATATAAAACAATTATTTAAAGATAAATTTTCATTTTTAATAAAAAAAATAGATGACGTTAAAAAATTTTAATACTAAAATTTGGTTTATTTACTGATAGATTGTTCTCCAACTGTTTCAACTTTGAACAAATACAAAAATATTTCGTTGTAATTATTTATGAAAAAAAAATTAACAAAAATTAAATGGTAATTAAGATACATTTCCAAATAAGAAAATCAACAATAAGTACAACAAAAAATTTAGGGATTTGAACCCAATCCATAAAGAATGATGGTCCTATTCACTGTATGTATAGGACTGATAGACCAACTACGAGATAAGACATTGAAATTACGCTTTAAATAAATTAATTAACAACTGTTAATACATACAAATAATTTACAAATACGAAATATGTGAATATATATCTTTTAGTTTCGTGCTTTGGAAGGTCTAATAATATTAAAACTGTCAATAATAAATAAATACGTAACATATTTCGTAACGGTGAGCGGCCGATGAGCGGCTTAGGTACATCTAGCAAGGCGCCTCAGCGCTCTCTGTTCAACGTGTGTAATTGGAAGAGAGCCGAAACAACGCCGCGGTAGCGCGGTGTTTTGGCCATCGCGTTCGAATTAATTTTAATGAATTAAATTAATATTTACAAATATCTTACATCAATCAACAAATTAAAACAAAAATCCTTTTTATTAATATATTATATACCACTGATATTAATTTCATTAAGATTTGTTGATGTATTACTTTCATTTTTGGATTTGAATTTCTCTTTTAGAGGTAGTTTCATGATTTTTTTCTATCGAGAAAATATATCGAGAATATGTTTTGGAAACAATGTTCCATTAGAATGTACGATTAAGATTAACATATATTTTTTTTGCTGCTATAAAATGTGTAGATGTTGTTAAAAAATCTTCTGAAAAACCTATTTTTACCGCATACAGCGCCTTAATGGAAAAGCATTAAGTAAATTTTATAACAATTTAATAAAGTTAAACAATATTTGCTATAAAAGGTTTTAAACATAAATATCTCACAAGTTTTCGTAATGGCTATGTTAATATCACAAAAATTAAATTCTTACATTAAACACTTGTAACAGCTACCTAATTAAGATTACACGGTAGGGATAGAAAGTTTGTTTAAAGGAATCAAAAAAAGGATTGTAATAATGATGAAAAAATCTCTATTATATAAGTGTTGACTGCTGTTTGAAACAAATGCTTTATAAAATGTAGCTGTTTAATACAATAATTACTAATTAAACACCATCCAATATTATAGTTTGGAATATTATAGAAACAAATTAAAAAGGTAAAAAATATTCAAAATTTTATATTATAATAATTCCCCTTAGAACCAAACCTTCAACTTAAATTTTTAGGATTTAATTAATAAACATAAAATAATTACAACACAAGCTGCATGTCTGTGCAATCATCACAGATTAAATATATATGAGTTTCATTTAACTCCATTCCCACCAACGTAAATTGTGCTGCTTTATTACAATTGATGCCATGTTTTTCTATTGAATCAAGAATTGATTTTTTTATTGTTAACAGGCTATCATGCGATTTAATACTAAAACAACAATTCTTACAACCGACTAATCCAGCATCACATTTAAAATTTGTCTTTTGGCATATTGGACATATAACATTTTCTTGTTGTAAAATAGACCAGTCAAATTTATCCATTTGTGATTTCTCATATTCTTCAATTAACCTAAAAATTGAAACAAAAGCATAAGTGATGATAATTAAAAGAAAGTTTATTTTATATTCTCTAAGGAATTTCAAAATACGTAACACAAATTAAAACAGTAGAAAGTACTACAAGAACCATTTTATCTTCTCTTACACTTCTTGGCATAAATATCAATTAACAATTTAGATCAATATACAATATGTTACCCATCCATTAAATTAAGATCATGCAAATTTAACTAATCATATAGGTGTAAATATATAAACCATTGCATTTCTTCCTCAATAAGTTCACTTTTAATTTCCTCTAGCACTTTACCCTCTTCTTCATCCATATCATCAAATGAAGATAAATTAATCATGCTTTTATATATTGTAGCTAAAGTATCACGAAGTTCAGTTTCACCAACTGGTCCTCGAAATTTGTTTAGAAGTATATTACGACAGTTTTGCACTTTGTCTTTGTAATCCTGAAATATATTCTATTATCACTAATTACTGTTTTAAAAAGCTGCAATTTCTATTACTCTATAAGAATACTTTAAATGTAATGCATGCACTAATGTTCATCAGTGCCAACACAGTGAAGGGTATAAAATACTATAGTAATTTCAATGCCATGCTTGCAATTTTCTTTATTTACTTAAAATTTAAAATAAATTAAGGTAATTAAATATTATATATTTAATTTGACCCAAAGATCTGCCATTGACTGATTCAAGGAAAATCATGTTTGGCTCATAACTAGGAAAACATTATATAGGAACATAAACAAGAGAGGGTTATCCTTTAAAACACTAGCACACACCTTCCTCATTTTTTCTTTTATAGCTATTGGAGATTGCTTTTGTTTACTTCTTAAATTTTTAAACGACGGTGAAGAATTTACTTTAGGCGAGTTCATGACTGATAAACAAATGCGTAAAATCCAAAAAAGAACAGATAATATACATAAGTTGTTAAGTGGCTATGATCAGTTTTGTAAATTACAATCACTCAAATAAACTCAAATTCTAACATCACTCTTCCATTCAATAGTGTAATTTTTTAAATTAATTCCATTCGATAGGTTCGATTAGGCGGGATTGTTACAAGTTTTCAAAATAAAAATTGACACTTGACAGTGACATGACCATAGTGTTACGTCAGAGGCCCAAACTTGTGAATATGTGGATTTATGGTCAAAAAACGAATTATAACGGTGCGTTCCACTAAGCGCCCACAACGATCAAAATGCTCCTTTAGTCGTTCCACATAACGATCGCGGTCGTTGTGGTCGCGGCCAAAACGTCACTTATGACGCCATGACTTACGCTCACGCGAAGCTCACGGCGACCCATCTAAAAAGGTGGGTCGAAGTGATCGTTGAGAAAATTAGCGGCATTTTCAAAATTCAAAATGTCTAAGTTCAAAGTGTCATCGCAAAAGACATTTTAATTACATTTGAACGTAAATTAATTAAATACACCACTAATATTAAATATAAAAAATTAAATTATAATTTTTTTCAATGTTTAAACAATAATTATTTAAGTTTATTTTCAAGGCTTACAGATTATAACGTAACCTCTTAAATCTTTTGCTTCCTTTTTTCTATTTCGCCGTTTGTATTATTTACCTCGACGCTCAAAACGCTCTATAATCCATTCCACTTGAGTTTACGGCAGTAACGCTCACAAGCAAGTGGAACGGGAATAACTGCGGTCGTGAGCGTGATCGTTGTGGGCGCTTAGTGGAACGCACCCTAAGTGTAATAATTTTATGGAATTGTTTTTAACATCAGATCATAAATGGTTAAAAATTTTAAATCCATCCTTACATGCATGATGGATTTCAGCTTTTAACTTCAATGTGACAGGCATTATAATGAAAATTGTTATTTCATAATAAAATCAATAATTTTTATATCTTTAAAACGATACCGGATTAAAAAAAATTGGGAACTAAATTTAATTAAATAAATGATGTTAAATTACTTCGTATTTCATTAGCTATATTTAATTTTATTATTCATTTAATTTAACTACATATAAAGTTAATAACTTGTATTAACTCAATATATTGAAAATAATGATTATTTCATTTTAGTTTATTCTTTCTCTTTAAAAAAACCTTACTTTTACCAAATTATCAAAATAATCATAATTTCCGATATAAATTTTTAACTATAAATAAATTATAATACGTAATAACTAAAATAATTAATTACTATAAACGTATTCAAAATTCCCTCGTTTTATTTTTTCATATGGGCGACCATTATGGCTCTAGTAATATAAGCTTATAGGCCAAAGAATATAATACTATATTATGTAACATATTGTTCTCACTATAGAGAGTATTATATTCTTTGCTCATGAATGACTGTGATATATTTTGTTCTGACATGATTTGATGAAAAAGTGGAAAAAAATTTGCGAAGGCTGTCACAGCTTCGTTTGTAAAAGTACCACGTCCCGCGTTTATAAAGCCGATTCCAGATATCTGTGCAAATGTTTATTGTAATATTTCCGGAATTATTTACTATTATTTAGCTTTGGACGTCCTAGGCTTTGGATTGGACTCTACCAGGATACCTCCGAACCTTAATTAAAATCCAAAAATTTTAGATATATCTATTCTAAAGAATCTCTATTTAGGAATAAATTCATTGGAAGTAATTAATGACCCCTGACCTGATGTTAGTATGAGGCCTGGTCGGCCTCATACTAAAATGATCGACGACAGTCGCGCCTGTCAGGATATGTTAGGTCAATGTCGCGAATCCACAATCTCCCCGTAGATAACATCCCCGATATGATAGTCACTCGAGAATACCGTCACAGCGATCTAAGATCTCACGTCACATATCCAAGTAGTCATCGGAGCCTGTTCCATTTCAATCGTGGTCAGTGGCGGATTTACAAATATGCCGCCAATAGGGTGTTCAGTTTTTGCCTCCCCTACTGACCTCTGAAATTCGATACCCTAGTTCGCAATCATATTAATTAAATTTATTCTGTCAATAAAAATGCTACTTTACGATTTGTGCTCTATCGTCTTCAATACGTCAGTTTTTTTAGGGTTCCGTAGGGTAAAACGGGACCCTATTACTAAGACTGTCTGTTGGTCTGTCCATCTGTCAACAGGCTGTATCTCAAGAACAGTGATAGTTAGACTGGTGAAATTTTCACAAATGATGTATTTATGTTGCTGCTATAGCAACAAACACTAAAAAAAAGGTTTAATAAATATATATATAATTAGGGCTCCGATACAAAAGACATGACTTTTTTTGCCGTTTTTATAGATAATGGTACGCAGACTCCTTCGTGTGTGAGTCCGACGGTGAGTCGAAAAAATAAATAATGAAATATTGTAATTTTTTTACTATAGAAATTTGCCAATATAAAAAATGACCAAACCAAATCTAACCTAGATTAGGTTTAGGTTAACCTAGATCCGAGTCGGATTCGCTCTGTGTGGGTTCCGTGACTCATTAAATAAAAAAAAATGGAACTATTGATACGAGTATGATGTCGCCCGCTTCCTACATTTATCATGTTGGCAGAACTGTGTATTGAGTTTTTGAAGTCAAATTAGTAAAATGGTGGATTTCTTAGTGAAAATAACAAGTTTTAAATATTTTTTTCTCGGAAACTACAAGCGACCGCCGAATTCTGGTTGTTGATTAATTTATTAGAGATTTTTCTCTATAGTTTAAAATTTATTTTTATTGAATTACACCAAAGTTAAAGTTATTTACATTTGCCTTCTCGAAAAGCCTATTTATATAGATAATAAATAGTACTCTTTTATCTCCTAAAAAATAAGTGCAAGGAATAATTACAATGGTAGCAACATTTCCACAAATGTCAGGCAGATGGAAAAAAACAATGTGAGTGATAAGTGGAAATATGGCTAAGTCTAAAAGTTGAGATACGTAAAAATTTACCAGGGTACAAACATCTTACCAATAAGAATTACATTGCCTCTAAATTAGAAAAATGACTCACGTAGAGAAACATCAAACTCGCCCAGGAAAGGAAACAATTCACTCAGGGCATTTCATGGTGTCACATTTTGAAGCAGAAGAACAGGATGATTTCGATGATTTGGCTGTACCTGTGCCCGATGAAGAGCAAACAGTTCAGAAAAACTCCGTAGTTGCCATGTATACAGTACCCGGAACATCCGAAAGATATACTTTGTCTGATAAAGAAGAAAGTAAACAACATCAACAACTTTCTATAGAGATATCACTTACTAAGTTATTTAAATGTATGTCTCTAGCATACAGGTAAGTAAAATTCTCTTTATATTATGAATAACCTGTGTAGCTCTAGCTGTTTTTTTTATATTATTATATTAATATTAAAATATATGCTTTTGTATATTATGATAGTGTTATTAAGTAGTTGACTATAAAATTTATAAATGAAAATAGTTTATCAATGACTTGGAGGTCAATTGAATTTATTATTTATATGGTATTAAATATTATCCATAAAAAAGAAATCTTATCAAAATTTTTTTAAAAGTAACAAATTTTGGCAGTCTAAATCAATACTAAAATGTACTAAGTTTACAACTTAATACTTGAAAATGAGGAAACATATGTTTCTAGTTGGATTTGAATATAGAGATAACATAAGGTCATCGGAGTCTGTACAAAAGACGCAGGTCATTTACTGAGATAAGTCTGTCTATGAACACTTAGCTTATAAATAATATTCAAATCAATATTTTTCTTTTCATAATATCAAATGACTTTTGATTTAATTAATAATTGTTAATTATTTTAAGAATAACTTTAAGTGATTTTTGGTATGTATATACATTTTTAATGATAATTTAAATATATGGAATACAGGTTTTATCATTAGTGTTTGTAATTTGTATAATAGTTTGGCATAAGTATGAGCCAATGTTTAGTTTTACTAGTACCTACTAACATTGTCTTATGGTTACTAATTTGTTATTTATTTATAAGGTGATTAGGTATATTGCATTTATGTACCAAATTATTTTGTTTGAAACAAAGTAAAGTGTTATTTTCTTATAATTACATTATGTTTTTGAATACATGATAGGATATGCAGGTTATATCTCTTATTTTATAGAAATTATCACATAAGTTTCATTAATTATGCTTAAATAAACAATATCAAATTGTCAGATTCATCTAAAATTATTTTAAATAATTTTAGAGTCAAATTAAATAATGATAAATAATGATTTCTTTGTAATTTTTTTAATGATATTTATTTGTTTTCTAGTCTGGTTGGGTTAAACAATACATATAAACATGTAATATATTGCTTATATTAAATCAAAATAATAAAGATTATATTAAATATATATTATAAATATGTCTTAACTATATGCTATAAAATCTACTGCTTGGAGAGAATTACAGAGTATATCTCATGATTTGTAAATGTATTGATCAGCAGTAACATATACTTTTACAAATAAAAGTATATATAAATGTTGTCAACTTCTTGGGTACAAATTGTGATAAGATACAGTCAGGTTTCTTCTTATCAAATTGTTATTTATAATAAGCTTAAGATCATTTATTGATAGTGGTAAAGATAAAGTTGCTACACAAGATTGTCTGCCATTTTTACATTTCAGTTGTACAGTTAGACATTGACGCTGTACTCTAATAATATATATCATATATCACTTTTTAAACATGTCTGGTTTCATTTTTTTTAATGCAAAAATGATTCTTATGAATTCAAGAACATTTATAGTCAATTCAATTATTAAAGTGCTTTCATTGAAAATTTATTTGTGACGTTAAGTTGGAAAAAGCATGGTAAGTTTCAATTTTTAATGCACTTTCTGTAATATCCTCCAGACAAAAACTAACATCACCCAAATGGAATCGTTTCAAAGGTATAAAACTCCGCTGGAAGGACAAAATCAGACTCAACAATGTTATTTGGAGATGCTGGCACATGCAATGTAAGTTTTTTAAATGTAATTAATTGTGATACTTTTGTTTTGCAATATCGAAATTCTGTATATTTGAAAAATTATAATATTTTCTTATCATTCATTACAAAAAATTTAGTGTTGAGTGCTTAGGGATAAAGGCTCAAAGTTTAACTGCCTCTTTTCTTCAGAGGCTGAAGTCCTCGCAAGTTTTACATAGGTTATATTTCAATAATTTTATATACATACACATACATACTCCCCAGTATACACAAAAATAAGACAGTAATGTATCCCATGGCACAGCAGATTTTTTTTAAATTTTATAAAAATGTTTACATAATACTTCAACACCTCTAAATAACAATGCTAGAGGCAACCAATTATAGGTCTTATTTTCATTCTCCTTTTATCGCCATTCTGTAAGATCTTTTAGGTGCATGTTATGTATATGTACTGAACATGTATCAGGTACTAAGATAAGACTGTCAATATTTAATGAGATTCTATGCTTTTGCTATCACACTATATGTTGTGTCAATATGTAATTAATGTTACAATCATTTACGTAAATGAAATATTTAACTGGTAACAATAAAGGCCGCTGTAAAGAAGGCCACAAGAGTACGGGTTGGAGGTCCTTTTGTGCAAAGTTGATTGATAACAAATCAATTTGTAAAGTTTTTTAGACTTTTATAGCAAAATGATGACTTTTTTTTATTGATTATGATAATAAGAGGCAAAAAACATCATCAAAATTACAACACTCCCTAAAGATAGAGGGCCCAGGTCAAAAAAAAAAAAAAAAGAAAAAATAATATATATATATATATATATATATATATATAAAATATATATATATATATATATATATATATATATATATATATATATATATATACATGGTATCTCTGTCACCTATGTAGAAAAAGACCCATGCTTAAGCATGTGCCTTGCTTATTTCACTGAGTGACTCCATCCAAATATTGATAATCAATTTTAAAACAAATAAATATGATGCCGAAAAAGAGATGATTTGCGAGTTTGAATATTCTTTACATTGTGCATTAACCAATTAATTGTAAATATCAATGAAAATTTGATATGTGAACTTGACCCCAATTTGACGCTGTTAATCTATTCAATCTTAAACATTTCGACATTTTCGCTATATTGTAGATCTTGAAATGTCGCTATTTTGTATTCACCTTATTTAAATATATAATTTTAAGTAGCGTTCAAAATAGAGTTTGAACATTAGTTATAAATTTCTATTTTAAGAAAGTGAAAATTCGATGTACATACATATTTTATTTTGTACTAAATAATACAAAGTATTGGAAAAACCAACATAAATAAGGACGAGGAAAGTCAAAGAATTTAATATTTTTATGCAATTTATAATACTAGTATTTAAAACCCCTTAGTACTGGCTGGATACAATAATTCAAATTCATATTCATCATCCTCTAGATCAGCCATCCATTGGTCCCAAACATTCCTCTTAAATACTATCAGAGGCGGCAATTTGATGTCATTAGCGCTTACGCCTGTCAAAACGGTTATATTATCCGTTCCACTGCCATGATTTGTCCTTACACAAGGTTTATTAATTCGTCCAACTACTTTGGTTCTGGATAGATCGAGGCATAACGACGTTTCATCCAAATTCCATATGCATTGAGGTCGCTAAAAATATTCAAATCTACCAAGGTACTTTCCAGCAAATCAAAATATTCTGCAATGACGAATGTATCTGTCAATTTTCTTCTTACAAATTCTACCGTCTGTGCTTTTTTAAAAGACAATTTATGTCGTTTCCGGAAATTAATAAACCAGGGATATTATTCTTAAATGGTGTCGGAATATTGTTTACTTGCACATATTATTCAGCGACAATCTTCATTGTTTCAAACCTCGATAGGCCAAATCACCATTTCTTCATAGTTTCATTGTTCTGCTAATTTATTTTCTTCTATATGAATGACGGTAGGTCTTCCTGCACTAAGCCTGACTGTTCCTTTATTTCTCTTAACGTATCCATGAAGAGTCGTCAAAGGGATTTTATATACTTGCGACTTTATACATATATTGCCTTAGTTCTCCCTTTATAACTTTTTAGGAAATAATTGTATATCGAAATAAATCCGGAGGGGTAATTCAAAAAAAATAATAATAATAACCCGCCCCCCCACGACAAAATCTAAAAAGGGCGCGAAAAACACTTGTCCAAGAAAACTTGCTGTCACTCACGTATTATTGTCACAAGCGACTAGCTACGACTGAGACGGCGTGGTTATTAAATATGGTGTCTAGCTTAGTAGCAAACTACATTGGTAGTAGGGAAATATTATTATAATTAATAAAAATTTTACACTTTTGGAATATACCCGTTTTCGGAATTGCCCCACTGCACCCTACCTATTATTTTGAAGCTGAGATTTAAGATATTGAATTTTTTTCATTTTGGATTTGAATAAATTATACCGTCTTTTAAGCGAAAAATATTTCGTCCATATTACTATTACAATAAACTAACATAGAGATTTAGTAACATGATTATCGTGAATGACTGACAGCCACGACAAAATCTAAATTAAGGATTTGTCGTGGCCGTCGGTCGGTCGCTGAAGATGTATGTAGTATATTTATTAAAATTTTATTACACATTTACGGGTAAGGTTTATCTTTAACAATTTAAAGATATCAAACAACTGAATAATTGACATTGAGAGGATTATATTTTCGTTACTTGAAAAATTTAAATAACCTTTAATAGGAAAAAGAAAATAATAAAAAAAGTGAAACTTAATTTTTCTTTCAGTTATAAAGAAACAAAACACTTTTGTGTGCCAGTTCGCATCTCCTTTAGACGTTGACACCCACGTGAAGCCAGAGGTAAAGTACCTATGCAAAATTAATAGTATTTTTCCACTAGCACCAGGTGTTTTTCATCCTAGCAAAAATTTATTCGGTAGAGAAAAAACACTAATGAAATAATAATGCAAATGAAAAATTTGCGTTAAAATGTGTTTATATTCCAAACTTGTATTACAGACAACGATATTGGAAGGCAAATATTGGAAGAGAAGAGCGGAGGCAGTCATAGCAGAGTATAAAAAATGGCGCATGTTTCACATTATGAGGCTCTTTGGCAAGGGGGACACCTCTGTCCAAGACACTGTATGTATACGATTAGGATATTTTTAATATGTTAAGTTTTAAATATTTTCCGACAAATTTTTACAAAACGTTCTCTAGTGTCAAACTAAGCAACGCTTGTACTATGGGTATAAGAAAACTAATAAACATGCTTAAACGTACTTTTGTTTTGTAAATAGATGCATGTTATACATACAGGGAGACTTTTTTAAAGGTGCCCAAATTTACACAGGAGGTTTAGACTCGATAGTATAATAGTTTATTGAAATAAAAATAAACTTTTGTTTTAAAAAAAATTACCATTCTATTCTATGGAAAAAAGGACTGGTTGAAAACGCGGTAGTCATTCATAAATACCTAAATTTCACTGTTCACGCACACAAACGAACTTGTGTTCGTGTTAGTTATGAATGATCGCGATACACTTAGAAAAGCCTTCTCTGTATAAAAACTGGGTATGACTCCGTGGCGCCGTTGTCAAGGAATTGGCTTCGGCGCCGGAGGCCTTGGGTTTTATTCTCACACTTAACAAGTATTTTTGTACTCACAGACAATGCCATCTTAGGCCATATCGGGTCCAAGGGCACACTTTGGGGCCCGGATGGAAAGGAAAAAAGTGAATGACAAAACCATTTTTCTGCTATTCTCTTACGTTTTTTATTTATTCAAAAAACTTCTGGCCGAAATTTAACCACCAAAAATAGAGAAAAAAATCTATAGTTTAAGCGAATACGTAGGCCATTCGGGGTCCCCGTGACGACCGTTTTGGCCACTTGAAATTATATTTGTAAAACGCTTTTACAACACAAGATAATGTTATATTATAGTAAGAGCAATAAAGAAAATAAACGTGTCTGGGACACTGGAAAAATACAATGTTCATCACATAATATTTTTCCAATAGTGGGGATCAAGCACACACCCTCTGGCGCAAGGGACAGGTTCATTACTCCCCACGCCAATTGGGTCGGAAAAGTTTGAAAAGATACGTGTAGAATTTTAATTGGTCCGGCATTTTTCCTACCTGTTTATTTTCCCCTGTTTTCTATAGCTACTTTAACTTTGTGATTCTGATAGATATTCAATTATCCGTTACTATTTTATCAGCGGATTATTGAATAATATTTTATTTAGCTAATATTTTAATTAATAATAGTAGCGCAGTTGTTAAGCTTTTGGCCTCGGTGCAAGTCGTGGGTTAGATTCCGACACGGCACAAGTATTTGTGTGGAGGATACATGTCAGGCTGTTCGTCAGGCCGGTCGTGAAAACCTAGTCAATACCACTACAACAATTTGATTTGCATTATGTGCTGCCCTCATTTGGTGGGATGAGGGCAGGCGAAAAAGGTAGAAGAATTAATAATTATGCCATTACAGCCCGTAAAATTTATGAAACTGTATTATAGCAATTAGTTCTGTTCCAGATGTCGGACATGGACACCGTGGAATCGTTCTCGCAGTGCAGCGACCTGGCGGCCAACATGCTCACCGACGAGGACTACCTCAACTTCATGAGTGACACCCTCTTTTCGACCATCACTAACCATCAACCGTTCGCCTTCCCTGATTGCAGGGAGATCGGTACCATCTATATATATTACATTAAACTATTTGGAAATTAAATACTAAACAAAATTAAAAGGTGATCGGCAATGTGAGAAAACGCATAATTGTTGTTACTTTTGTCGCAGCCAGAGGAGCTGGTCTAGCTGATTTCATTCAACCAAGCTTGGGTCCTTTGCAACCTAATCTTGATGATTTTATGGACACATTAGAACCTCTACAAGGTAAGTATGCTTTATATACACAAACAGCTGAGGCGTTAAGATAGCGAATTCTTTTTAAATTTGTTGTAATTTGGCTGACTTACGTCCGTTTAAGTCTTGGATGTACTTCAAATTGCAGAACTCCTATCGACGCCTCGTCTACCTCCCGTACCAGAAGAGACGGCTATTCCTTCGGACGACGGATTATACAGGAGCGGAATGTCATTAGATTCTTACAATCCACAGGGTTATATTGCAGGCTGTCCAAACACTTCTGCAGTCACAATGCCCACCAGTCAGATGACCATTCATGGTATTAGCATATCATAAACTCTCCTGAAAATTGTTACTTCGAAAAGGTGGCCTTAACTTGTTCTGTTTTAAGGTACGAGTAACAATACTCAGTTGATGTCGATCCCCGCACAAGCGAAGGGCGAGGAGATGCGAATGTTTGATAACGGCAGGCTGTTCACTCAGACGGACCTTCCTAATAATATTCTCAACACTACCGAGATGCTCTCGTCGTTCTCTTCGAGCTCGTTCGAGCAGCAGCCCGCGTCGCGGCCCGAGCCGCAACACCATAGTAACGTGTACGTTACCAAGTCGCCGACGGTTCAGTACGTGAGCGCGCAAAAGATTCCGAGCCAGCCGGAGACGTGCTATAACAAGTACAACGCAGGTAATCACCATTCCCACTGTGAAGCGCTCTTGAGGTGTCAGATCACCTTGATTCAAAGTTTGGGGCTCTGTGCAGGTTTGCCGCCGTCGCAAACGGCGCCGGAGACTGTTTCCCTGCTGCAGCAGCCCGTGCAGAACGCGAAGTACGCCTCGACGATCGTGATTCAGGGCCGAAGCGGGTACAACAGGGAGAAGCCGCGGCCACGGCTGGCCCACTACTCGAATCAGATGCCCAACAGCCAGTACCAGAGTTACTCCCAGCCCATCCAGGCCCAGCCGGCGCAGCAAATCGCCACGCAGGCCTTCGAGGGTCGCACCGGCCCCGTGCGCCAGACGTCGCCACAAATGCAATATCTGCAGCCGAAACCCGTTGACACGTACAAGGCGAAACCAGTCCCAAGCAACGCTCGCTCCTTCAAACTGCCCTCCCCTCCCTTGGTGCCCGTCACTTCGCAGCAGGTTAGCCGGCTAAATTTGTCTTGATTGCGTTTATTGGTATTTAAAAATAAAGGTTAACATGGTATCAATATACCATTCAATGATATATAGAATTTTATTATATTATACGTATTTGTTTAGGTTTTTCATACAGAATTCAAGTTGCCGTTTTACGTACAGGTAGCGGCGAGTGGTTCTAGCTCGTCTGTCGTCCGCAACAAGGAGCAATACCGCTCGCACAGTCTGCCTCTCGGCGCGCAGTTGAACGCCGAATGGTTGGTGAGCGTTGGCGCGCCCTCTACGGCCCCATCGGCCGCGCCCCCTCAGGTGCTCGTCGCGCCGCTCGACTCCGCGCCCGTCAGGCACACGCCAAGGGTAGGCGCTTGTTTAGGTTTTTCAAATCAATAATAACCATGATGGTGGCAATAAATAAACAAAATTTAAAAGACTCATCATTTTAAATGTGTTTCTATCTTTTCCTGGTACAAAATTCTCGTTTTGAATTTTTTGTAATGTCCTTCGTAAATTCGTATCCCAATACGAACGTGCTCGAACATCAGCAGTCACTAGAGCACGCAAAGTTAACACGGAACGAATACGAGCCATGGATTGCCCGTGTGCGCCGTGTGCCGATTGTACGAAGGTTGGTTGTGGCAGGCGCATGAGTCGACGGGCGCGCTGCGGCTGCGCTCGCGCTCTACGTCCGGCGGGCTGGGCGAGCCGCGCCGCCCCCCGCCCCTCAACAGCGTCGCCTCGGAGCCCGCGCTGCCCCAGGCGAGCGTCATGCTCGCGCACCTGCTCTCCGCGCACCACTGTTAGTTCACACACAAATATGCGCGCGCTATGCAACATGAGCGTGCTACGTTCATTTTACGTGCACACCTATGTGCACTTGACGTACACGATTACGTTCATTTGACACATACACTTATGTTCATTTGACTCACACACCTATGTGCATTTGAATCACACATGTACATTTGACGCACACTCCTATGTGGAGCACACGCTTTACCGCGTCCTCGCTCATGCATACATTTTAATCGTGATACATGGCATTTCAAGGATCGGTTAGTTTCGAACTTTTCGTCTATGTAAGTTTTTAGGGAATCCCATGCAACTGCTTTTGATAAAGTTTTAGTAGAACCTAAATTTAAAGAACTTTATTAATTTTTCACTCTCATTTTTTAATATTTGAACAATATTGCGAATTTTAATAGGCCCGTTCATTTTTGTTGTTACAATTATGTCGTCAATGGGGGTCAATTGGTCAAAAATAAAAGGGCAATCTAGGAGATTTACACTTTATTATTTATTACCAAAGTTCTTCTTTCTTTTCTGAAAATGATTTTCTATTTTCGCATATGAATAAATATAATTTCGAAAGATGATTATCGATTTTTGTCAACGAACACTTAAGTAGATCAAAATATCAGTGAAAGATAACACTAATATTTCTTTACAGCCCAAAATCTATACAAAATGAAAGGTAGTGAAGATAGCGCTGGAGTAACTGACCCCACCGAGTCCCCGATAAGGAGGGGGCAGCCCTCACCTATTGAAAACGACGTAATGTCGCCTCATCAGGTAAGTTGTTTCTTAAAGTTGCAGCTTACGGCGGATCTTCGAAATATTTTTTGTGATTATTTCGAAAATATGTAGGTTTCCTCACGATGTTTTCCTTCATCGCTGAGTACGAGCAGCACTTAAAAATAACAATTTAATTGGTGCCGGCACACGGGATCGAACGCAGTTTGCTCGAGTAAATTGTATTAAAGGTGAGCGCTCGGACACTGAGCTATCACAGATTATTATAATTACGATTTCCACATTAATCCCTTCCGAGTTAAAAATGAAACTCCGGCGGTACTATATAGTTTTTACCCATATACATATATACAATGACAATTTCTAATGGAATGTGTTAATATTGCGTATGCAAAAATATGATCGTATGAATGTTATGCCATATGTGACCGTATTAATGTGAATACATACCGACTATTATAAATTCTTATCACTCCCTTGGTATTGTCCGTTTTCTAGCCATATAGAAAGGAGAAAAAGAAGAAAACTCGTATAAACCGTTTAATTAATGAAGGACGTCATTGAATCATTAATTAACGCGACAAATGCAGAGATAGTGTTTTGTTATGATTTTCTTAAATCTATTTTCGGGTGTTGTTTTTTTTAGAAGGTGATAATTCGAGTTACACGCCTGATTTGTATGTAATGGTTGTACGTTAATTAAATTTCCATATGATAACGACGAAAATGTGACTGCCAACCACAATTCTCGCCAAACGTACAATTTGCAAGTTATTAGATAATGTTATATGAAGCGAAAAACTTAACCCGAGTAGGCAAGCGATAGTAGCATTCCTTTGGGAACACGTGCGTTGTGCATGTTTCTATAAACATATACAAATTGGTGCGGAAAAAAACTGAATCGTTATCTGTGCGTCGTGTGTTCTGCGATATGGAAGAATTACAATATAAGTACAACGTGTAAGAAACTAATATTTTATCTTTCTTTAACGTGGGTCTGATATAATCTTATAGTATTTTTCTTTACTATTCGTCAATGCTTAACATTATGATGCTATAAATATCGACGTAGAACTGGTTTAAGCGCGTGATTCTTTTATAAGTAAACTAACTGGCTAGTGATTTTATAGGTTTATAAAGTTTTTTTTAGCGGGCAGAATATTTCGCTAAATTAAAAACGTTTGGCTTGCGGTTTTAAAATAAAATACTTTTTGGTATATATACGATTATTATACTTTATTTGTATTCTTCTACAAGGGAAATTTAAAAAACATTAGAAAAAAATTAAATGACTTTGGGAAAAGTAAGAAATTACCAAATGATTTATTTCATACAGGATGAAAGACTACTTTGTTTTTAATCGCAGCATCCCAATTAAAAGCAAAGGTAGTAAAAACTATCCATTGAGATATTATGGGAATTTCTTCGATTTTCAAAATCAAATATCTTTATTCAATATAAAAAACGCAACTACTGATGTAAAAAACATGGCAAAGGCGAACGATCCCAATAAAGCTGATCTTGATAACCTGATCACGCTTAATATGCCCAATGGGTTGTTCAGATGAACTGAACCTGCTTGCCGAATTTCTCTTTTCGCGTATGGGAGCTATTCTTTCAACTAACCGCTCTTATGATGTCGTCCACAACGTAGATCAGCACAATGCAGGTTACCGAAGTTACACGATAGCTTAAAAGCTTAACCTAAACGGTTTATCGAGGGAGCCGAAAATAATCCGAACGTTTCGATGGTCAATTACCATACGAATCCAACCGCGATCAGGTGACGTCGGCATGACGTCTCTATCGACCTGATCAAAGTAGGCGATGAAGTTATGGAGCCGACGGAAGAGTATCTTACTTATAGGTAGCACACCGGGCTATGTAATTCGTAGAAAAGTTACAGGTTGGACTCGTCGGAGCGGATGTGATCGCTATTGGCAACAACGAAATGCACTAACAAAGCGAGCTTCCAGTTCACCGGATGTTAAGTGATTGTCGTCATACACATTCGCAACACCCGTATTGTTGCAGATGCGTTGCCACATTTGAATAAACTGGGCCCCGGTTACCACACTCACCAGACGAAACGCAAAAGTATAACGCTCGCGCTTCACGCCACTCTTCTCTGGGATCGTGGCATTGCCGCGGACGGAGCTGCCCGTTCGTGCAACAGCGGGGGCTGTTGCGTGGGCCTCCGACGGTTGCAAGAGTTGCAAGACCTGTATATAGGACCGTGGATACGTGTGATTGAACCAGTCGCTGTCGCCGCCCACGTCGCCGGGCTCGCCCCGGGCGGGCTCCCCTCGAGAGGCGCGCCGCTCCCACCTCCACACCGAGCAGAAGCGCCGCTACAACATCAAGAACGGCTTCGACACGCTGCAGACCCTCATACCGCACCTCAACACGAACCCCGCCGCGAAGGTCAGTAGCGCTAGCACGCTCGTGCCCCTCGCCCCCTCACCCCACCCCTCCCCTCCACTGTCTTTTCGATTATTTTGAAGTACTGCTTAATGAAACTGCTTCACGAATTTATTGATTACGACGTTTCGAACTCTTCTTAATCTGTAAAAATAGTTTCATGTGTTATATTCGCGTAACTATACCGTGTAATTTTAAAGTATGATATTTATCGATTTGGTCGCTCATTATTTAAATTCATTTTGTGTTAAAGAAATCGTAGTGGTGTCACGGCTGTTTATGTGAGAAGGTGACAAGCGATCTGGCGGTTCGCTTGATGTTGTGTGATATCCGCCGCCTATCGACTAAAGCTCTGCAATACTGAAGCTCTGCGCTCCGCACACCACACATTTATTACCAGTTACATCGCATACCAGTGAAACTAGGTATTCATACTGGCATTCCCCGGACGAAGTTGCTTTTTAATGGCAGTTGTTGTACAAAATACAAAGTTGATTTTGATAGCTGCGAAATGATCAGCAGTAGTTCAATAGTTGATAGAAAGTGTACCTACATATTTATTAATGTTTTAACAAAATGACAGCAGAGCGCTGCAGAGTTATTTTTTTTTTGCAACGAATTGTTTTTAGGTAAGCTAGAGCGCATTCATAATACGCCGGCGCCACATGCTTTGTGAAATTTTTCGAAACGTGAGGGCCCGCATTCGGCGAACCAATATTTAATGATCGGTAGGAAAAGGTAGCTCGGCCTCGCGGGACCTTTGTATGTTTCTTTATACGAAATATGTGTTGCCCCAACATACTTTTTGTCTACCAATAAGCTAAGCGTTAACAGAATCTTTTAATTTTGATACTTATTTCGAATGTAGCGTGTATGTTTAAGTGTACCGAATATACAATATATATATGGTAAACGATGTACATACATAAACCGCAATAAAGTTACACAATGTTAACAAATGCTTAACGTAGTTTAATTCTATATGTCGCATTGTTTATTACACTTGAAGCAAATAATTAAAATGAGTCACTTGTATTAGGACTTTCATTATCCATATCAAAGTTAATTATTGATTTTGATAACCCCTACTGATGTGATTATATCTAAGTATAGTGAAAATTTTCAGATAAGTAAAGCTGCAATGTTGCAAAAAGGTGCGGACTACATAAAACAATTGAAAGCAGAGAGGAATCAAATCAAAGAGGAAATGGAAAGCTTGCGACAGCAAATAGAATGTTTGAATAATTCCATATCGTAAGTAGAATATTCAATTAGTACTTTTCTTTGTTTCGTTCAGATTTGAAATCAGTATTTTACTTAACGTTGAAATATTGTATTTAAAAAATTAATATATAAAAGCAAACACGTCAGAGATGCATTGCAATAATATATAATCTGTGTTATGGTTTAAAGGGTGTCAAATATTGGGCTTTTACAAAGTCTCAATATTGGTCAAGTTATAAGCAATGAAAGATCCAACTTGTAAGTTTCAACTCAATATCAAAATCTAAACAAGAAAAAAAATATGCTTCCTAAAATGTTTCTTCAGTGGCTCTTATAGAGTAAAATGACTGGACAATTTTGCAAAAAGAAATAAGTTTTAACCTGTAAATGTTGCGCAATATCGTCAGCTGTTGAATTAAATATAATAACGATGGATATAGTTATTGCTATCGAATGCTTTGAAGTGGGAAAAAGTATAGTCTCGATACATAGCACAAAGTGCGGGCGCGCGTAAAGACCCATTTACACGGTGCAAGTTTCTTGCCTGTTGTATACAATTAAATTGAAGCAATAAATGAGTTGCATGGTCTAAACAACAAATGGTCTAACCAATTATTGCGCGCAATTTATTGCATTCAATTATTGCTCTTGTATGTACCAGAAAATGGCATCGTGTAAATGGGCCTTTATACTCGTGAAACACCAGCGCGCGTCTATTCATCATCGTTCGCGTTTCACGGCCCTATGCGGCCATGCAAATGTGGAGTTCGCTACGCAAAATCGCATGGCCGGATTAAAAGACAAGTCTCACCCAATATACAATCATGCAAAAATCTCCTTTGTGGCATACTCTTAACTTCTCTTATCGCAATGAAGGCATCTAATAAAAAAATGAAAAAAATAATGAAAAGAAAATGAAGGCATCGAGGAATGATGTGGTTCGCTTGATTATATTCTAACGAGAGGCCTTTGGGGCGAGCAAAAAATTGGACGTCAAGCAGAAAACTAGGGACAAAATATATAAAAATAGGGACGATAAACTATCGAGCGCGGGCCTTGAATGTTGTAGTGGTTATAGATAAAGATTATTGGAAGGAATATGACATATAAATTATGTTCTACTATTTTTAAAAATGATTGCCAATCTTACATAATGATACGAGTATAGGTAGTAAGGTAGTATCTTATACTTACGTTTCCAATTTCAAAAATGTACCCGAATTTACCTGCAAAATGGAACTTATCATGTATTTATATTTATTTATTAACATTTAAACTGTACATTCCCCATATTTCTAATATTAGCAACATTTATAGCTGCGAGACGGACCTCATGTAATTAGTTATTTTCAAATTTATTTGGATTTTTCGGGCCGTTAAAAGTATCTTAACTTAACACAATAGTGTCGGTGATTAGAAATACTCAAGTCATAGAATTCACTTTAAACATCTTCTTGCGGAGACAGCGGAAAAGATACTTTTGATATTGTCCAAATTTGCTTCAGAATTAGAAGAAATTACTTGAATTTGACAATGAAATGGGGGCAAAGAAAGTAATTAAAAAAGAACTCATACAGAGTGTGTTACTTATGTACGTACGTAAGAAGATACTTCTTTAACGTAACAAAAGAAAAAAAAATATCCCCATCGCCTTTGCTTAAAAAAAAAAGAAAGATGTTTATTTGGTACAAAAAACTTAAATAATATAACAAAATAACAATGAAAAATTGGCTATCAATGTACCAAAAAGGTCACCCACTCAGCATGGCGAAAAAATTTAGCGATCGCTGGTTTCAGTGGAGCCTGGAGAGGTCGATAGATAACGACGATGCCATAATAATAACAATAATAATTTAACAATAAAAGATTACTAATAAACATAAAAAATATTCAATTTTCGGACACGCCTGTTTGTGAGCGTGTGTGTATGATATAAGCGATTGGGATTATGAAAGTGTGTTTTGAACAGCATGCGTTGATTTGTGAGAGAATAAAAATCAAAGGAGATAAATAAGTAAACTGAACAGAGTTTCATGTGCCGGATTTCGAGAAGGTGCCGGATTCGGTGCGACCGGTTTCCTCGTCGGCCGGCTCATGCCCGGTTCGACTGCTGTTGAATACACTCTTCGTAGATACTGTCATAACGACTTTTAGATTAAAGGAACGCTAATATCTCACTTCCGCAGATAATGCAACGGCTCGTAAGGAAAACGCCTCGTTTTGTTAATACAGGAACCAGGCGTACACACCACCCTTTATCTACAAGTCGTTGTGAAAGTTACGAAGCTATGAAACTAACGCCCGTTCGTTGAATATAGGAACCGGGCATAAGCCGGCCGACGAGGAAACCAGTCGTGCCGAATGAACGCTTATATACTTTTCGAGGGTTCCGTACCCAAAGGGTAAACGGGAGCTTCTCGAAACCCGGCACTTGGAACTCTGTTTAGTGTATTTATTTAATTCGTTTGTTTTCAACCGGACATTAATAGCGTCCGTTTGCAGCAACTGCCACTCGCTGCTGCCGGCGACTGGGGCGCCCGTGTCGCGCGCTCGCGCCGGCCGCCTGCGCGAGATGTTCGCGCGCCACGTCGCCAACCGCACCATGCACAACTGGAAGTACTGGCTCGTATCCTTTACAATGGCGCACGGCGTCGCAACAATTGATTAATCACGGTTGATTTATTCATTTATTTAATCCGCGTTAAAGTGGGCGGGTCCGTCCGGCTAAAACATGACCTCACAGAAGACCCGCGTGAAGTGGAGTGTCACACCTATACGTTTCGTCTTGTGGGTAGTAGCCTGGCAACGCAACTGCAAGCCTACGGGTGTTGCAAATGTCCGTGGGTGGCGGTTATCACCTAACATCAGGTGAACCGACACCAGATCTTTTGCCACCTTCTCACTCAGAGCCCAACTGGTAGGGCCACGCCCACGCAGCAGTGTTCGGTGTTGCACGAATAGGAAGTACCACAACCTCGCAGAAGGCCGTTGGGAAGTGGAATTGCTGTACTCGTGTTCGCCTAGTGAAGTAAGCGGGGCACATGAAAGGTGACAATCAATTTGTACACCTATGTGTGTTGTAAATCTAATTCGAAAAACTAATTCATCTAAAATCGACAATATTAGTAGGAAGAAATGCCGTCTTTGATATAAAGTTCTAAAATAATGTTATACATCTATATGCAATATAGATTTTCTGGTATCGTTATCGTATTTGTTTTTCGCAGACGTTTTTGTCTGGGCCCATTTTGATCTTTATCGTGGCCGTTATCAGACGCACCGTTTACGATTATTTAATAACGTGATCCCTTTATCTGTATATCGATGTGTGTAATTCTAGGCCTCTCTGTATCTAGGGCAAATTATGATATGTATTAGATGTTCTTTTTTTGTAATTTTTTGATAAAACGTTTGAATGTTCACAATCAATCGTTCGATATAAGTCAGCTACTTACAAAATAAACTATTCGTCTTATTAAGTAATTGACGATAACTTTGCTTTAATCGACGAAAAGGCCACGGCCATTTGGCTTGGGTATAATATGATGATGAAATGTCATTGAATAGTAACACCTCTTCTGAATGAGCCCATAAGCTCATTGTATGATTAAAAGTAATAATTATGAGATATTGTTAAATATTGCATACGTTATTATAATTATCGACTGTAATAAATGTACTCTTGGGTGGCATAGAACGTGAATTCCATCGGCTGATTAGCCCGTAGAGGCAATTCGTTATCGTATCAAGAAAAGCGTAAGCTCTTGTTGGAGCCGTTAAAGAGGCAACTTTTGGGTCTGTGAGTTTCCTGAACTCGGCGCTCAGTTCAGCGTGGTGAGCGCCGCTCTGGTGGAGTCGTTCAGCGCGTGCGTGTCCTGTGGCAGCGGCGCGGATCTGGTGCGCACCACACTGCTGTGGGCCGAGCAGCACTGCTCCCTAGTCGAGATGCGACCAGGTAAATGACCATTAGCGACTAGCTGACTGACTATTCTCACAAGCGACATGAAAATGTTCACGGTGTAACTGACAATTCTGTTGCGAGCCGAACAACACTTATCTTTAATCGAGACGTGACCGGGTAAATGACCATAAGCGACTACGTAAGATTCTCACAAGCGACAGTATAATGATCACAGAGTAACTCTACCGGGAGCCGAGTGACAGTTTCCCTAGTCAAGATGTGACCACGTAATTTACCCTAATCGACCAGGTAACGATTCCTACAAGCGACAGGATAATGATTACTGAGTAATTCACAACTTTGCTGGGATCTGAGTGACACTTTCCCTAGTCAAGATGCGACCAGGTAACGATTCACATAGGCGAATGATAACAGTCATGGGCTAACTCACAACTCTGTTAGGACACGAGCGACACTTTTCTATAGTCGTCATGCGACAAGGTAATTGACCATAAGTGAACTAGGCAACGATTCTCACAATCGACAAAATAATGATCACAGAGTAACTCACTACTCTGTTGGAAGTCGAACCACACTTCTCACTAGAACTCGAGAAACGACAAGGTGATTGACACTATAATGATGACTCGGTTACTCACCAGTGCTATGGACCGAGTAACATTGACTCATGATGCAGTCATCTAACTGTTTATGAATTATTATGGATTATTATTATTGTTTTAATTTTTTTTTCTTTTAAGGCAGAATTATCCGAACTGGCGCTTGATAATGAACATCAGTTAATAAATATACACAAAAAATACCCACATAACATTTTTGCTGTCGGATATAAAATATGATCTCTTCGTATCTGTATATCGTATATCTGTTAGTTTACAAAATAAATAAATTTTTTAAGGTCTGCAGTAATAAGTTACCTTCAACTCAAACGCTCGCTCGAATTCTAACTAGTGCTATAAAAAAAAACGTTATTGTATAAAACGCCTACATTAGGCAGGTTAATAATAATTTTCAGTGATATGAACAAGTTATGTTGAAGAAGAGCCCTTCTTATTTATACGTATTTCATATTAATTTGAAACACTACTTTGTCGTTTTCCCAGCGGTGCTGAATTCTCTGCGCGTGCTGTGCACCACTACGGACATACTGACGAGCCCCGAGCGGTTGCCGGAGGAGGCGCGCGCCGCGGCAGCCGCCTCCGCCGGCGTCAAGCCCGAGCCCACCTAACGCACGCGTACGCACGCACGCACGGACGCACGCACGCACGCGCGCACGCACGCTTGCGCTCGCGCACGCACTCACTCACGGAAACACAGGGCGAACCCCACGCACTCACACCACCGCGACTACTTGCCCTAAAGCGGCGTGATTTACACGCGCGAATAAGCAGATGCAACGGCGATGCCTTTTTTTGTTGTGTAATATTGGATGTGTAAAATATTAACTTAACAGAATTTATGTCTTCGTATTGCAACGGCGTGTACAATTAACTTGAACGCATCATTAAAGGGACTGACTACGATTGTACTGCATCTGTTAATTTAGTTTATACACAGGGTAGGGAACTATGGCGGAATCGTTTACTCTCATATTGAGACCTGTTCTAGACGGTCACTTCTAAGCTGTGAAAGATATATGATAATATAATATCTTAACACCTCATGCGGGACATGAGGGTGACGAAATGTATAGTTTTAATAAACATACACATCACATATAATTGTTTCTACGTCGATCTGTATTTGCATTAGCCATCTCCCAGCCCGCCGAGATTTTATTTGTAGTACTTAAATCGGGAGCCCACTTGGACAACAATGCTAATCTAAACAGATAGCAGCTTTAAAAATAGTCTCTGAATTTGTATATGCGTGTCATATGTTGTCTACAGGCGTAATTGGTCAATTCTTAAAAAGTAATTCTTATTGCACAATTTTAATTTAAAATTACATTTTTGATAATGACACAATGTATTGAGCATTAAACGTTGTGCTGTAGATCTCTACGCTGTTAAAACACAAAAATAATTTCACAAAATTTTAATAAATATTTATATAAAAAATTGCGTACATCTGACATGAATTGCCTCGACATTAAAATTTGCCTTTTATGACTCTTGAGACGAAACAATGGGTGATAGTGTTCTTGCATCGAATTGAATAATATTTCTACTTGTGTATTTGACGACCCGATTGGCGTAGTGGGTAGTGACCCTGTATATTTATAATATATATTTATTTACAAAAGAAGTATGTATGAAGTTTAAGTATGTTTATCAGTTTTCTAGTAACCATTGTACAAGCGTTGCTTAGTTTGGGACTAGAGAACGTGTAAAAATTTGTCCCGAAATATTTATTTATATTTACACAATACAATATACAAGTTGTGTATAATGTTTTCATTTTCACACATTAGATTGAGTTGAATTCTCACTATTATCATCCAATACTAAACTGGTTATGATTTGAGTATAGCGAATTTACTAAAACGGCAATTACATCATATCAAGTCTCGTTTATATAAAAATACCTCGTATATGTATGCATATATTGAGAGAAATAAATGAACCCACTGATGATGTTTAGCTAATTTTCCATCATTTTGGCGTAGGATATACAATTTTTTCTATTAAAGTTCTAATTAGTTTATCCGTGAAATTAGTTTTGTCATAACAACATATCCATAGACTTTTGTCTTGAACAAAATCCGTCCAAAATCCTTACTGTGTGTAAACCGCTTGTTACTTGTGTCATTTAACAATTGTCAGATTATTAGAAGAAATTGTTTACGACCTACTCTGTAGACGCAAAGTCGTGTTTCTTATCTAATTGCGGTTTGAGCGATGTCTGTAAAAACGTAAAATACAATTCTGTAAAACAGGTACGTAAAGAGGTTGACAGTTTGCTTTAAGGTGTAGGCTTTTATATATATAATATGTGCCTTACATTTTCAATGTGTGCAATTTGGGTGGTGTTCACAGTCGTATCGAAATAAAGAATACGCACAAGTTTGTTAATGAGACGGGTTCTAGTAAGTTTTGGATTTGAGCTGTGAAAGTACATAATGCTGTGATGTTATATTATTTCACTTATTCTCCGTTTCAAGCTGATAGGCATTCGAATGCATTAAAATCTATGAGGTCTTGTATCAATAAAACCGTATTGTGCCTTAGACTTAGCCACAATTTTAGTAAAGACACAACGGCTGCTATCGTTATGAAGTTATGTGTAAATTATTGTAAATAGCATATTGGGAAATCAGAATCTTGCGGCCTTAATAAAGTGCCTTACTCAGAATTGATTTGTTAAAAGCATTTCAATCCATATACAAATACATATGTAACGTTATCTTTTGCCAAAGATTTCGCTCCGCAGTGCACGTTCCACTGTCCGTAGGTTGATTATTATTATTGTGAACGCATCCACCCGTCCCGACCGACGATTATATGTGAATACCAATATAGTCAATAAGTGGAAAATATGAATTTATTGATCATGTCGAGATTTAATTTAGCATAAATATTAAGTTGTATTTACGGAAGTAACTACTGTAAGTGAATATTTTTATATGGTTTGTGCTTTGACGCAAATGTTTTGATATAATTATGTAAATCGGTGCCAACGTAAATATTGTTGTAATTTGTTATATAGTGATGTAATTTTATGATGTATCGTTGACTCTGGTAGCGCGTTGAATGGAGATGTGAGCTCGGCGCGAGCTTTAAATGAGTTATATGCAAACTGTTGTTCTATTGGAAATACAATTTGGAAACAACGAAGAACGGGTTTTGATTTCATTTTATTTATTTAACTAACCTTTAATACATTAATACTTCGTACAATATACATTGTAAATGTCAGTGCTGTGATAAGCAATAAATTATAATTTAAATTGTTATCTCATAAAAACTAGGTCAATAATTATGGCTCAAATATTTTCAGTCTTTAAGAACTATGCTCCTCCTCACTAACTTCTTGGCCTCATTTCGATAAGACCATAAATTAATTGCTTTTAAAATGCAAATTTTAATTCAAATATCAACACAACAAGAACAAAAACAAAATCTTATGAAAATTCAAATTATAAATAAATTACAAATTTAACAATAAATACAATTATACCTTCGTAATACATTTGTTATCACCAGAAGATATTTACATTTTACAAATACGCATTGAAGAATTATCTTTTAAAGTAAAGAATATAGGACAATAGTGCTCGTAAAACGAATGAAAACATTGTTAGATGCCTTATAAAAACGGAACACTGGTGTAAAGTCAATAGAAAAACATTATTTCATCTACAGGTCAAAAATGATAGCTATAACATAGATGAATCAATGTGCTTGGTTGTGGGTAGCGAGCATGCGAGCCAGCCGCGAGGAGGGTTGGGCCAACAGATTCTTCATGTCTCCAATCTCCACAATGCGCCCCTCCTCTAAAACTGCGACACGGTCATATCCGAGGACCGATGGCACGCGGTGCTGTTAAGAGAAACAACGGGTTACAGATATTTATATTCCTCATCGTGGTAAATCCGTGATTGTTAACGGGATGAACCCTATGACAGACGAAACAATAGAAAATAACCTATAATGCCGTTATTACGACATACATTCCCGTTGGAATGTAAAGTCGTTTGTTATAATACCGAAATTATATATTATTCGATGTTAATATCAACCAGTCCGTAAACTATGCCTTACAAAATGATCTAATTTTTTACTTAGTATAATATGTATGCTGAGAATAATGAATAAAAAACCGGACAGACGAACGGACCGACAGACAGACAGACGGGGGAGGGGTCCCGTTTTACCCTTCGGGTACGGAACCCTAAAAATAAATCTGGTATTAAACTTTTGATAGATTTTGCTCCTTTTACTTTTCTTCGTACTCTATCTAGATAGCAGAATAAGAGGACGTTGAATTGAAAGATACGTTGAAATTGAATAGAAACGATATATGCGCGATATCATCTCTTAGCAAAGATTTTACGATGGCATGGCACGTAAAATCTGGCTCTTGTCTAGAGATAGTCGTTTTTCTAAAAACGATAAAAACTACTTTGAAATCCGATGTCACATTGCGATACTGGCATCTGTTTGTGAAATGCTTAACATCGGATGTCACCAACATCTACATCCGAATTGGCAACGAACATTAGCGAATAGTGCCGATCGTTGTTCGTTGATCATCGTCATCGACCGATAACCTTTGTATCTGTAGATTTAAATGCTTAATAAAAAATGGAGATAGAATTTTGACGTAAGTATTATAGAGCCAATGTCAAATACTTCGCTAGTAACGAAATCTACAGAGAAATATAATATTGAAACCGACCGTTAGTCACTCGCTAGAGTCGATAGTCTCGTCAGTTAAGCTACATCTATAATGCTCTTACATGTGCTGGCAACGGTTATCGCGATAGTGAGGCAGGTTTGATTTACCCATAACGCTTTTGCCAAGTTTTGGTAGCAGTTATCGTGACAGTGCTGATGGTTTACCAATTACAATTTTGTGAAGTTTAGACAACAGTTAACGCGAAGGTGACGATCGTTAAGCAGTAATGATTTTTCAAAGCACTGGCAAAGATTATCTCAACGATGACTATCGGTTAGCAGTAACTCTTCTTTAAAGCGCTGGCCACGGTTACCGCAACAGTGACGGTGACGCATCAACCATTTTACTACTATGTATGCTTAGATCTTTAAAATTACGCAACGGATCTTGACGCTGTTTTTTTACTAGATAGAGTGATTCAAGAGGAAAGTTTATATGTATAATACATTGCACCCGAGCGAAGCGAAGTCGCTAGTATAGTATAACAGTTACCGCGACGGTGATCACGGTGGTGTTGGGCGCGGCCGCAGCCAGGGCGGCGAGCAGGTCGCGTTCAGCGGGCGCGTCGAGAGCGGCGCCCGGCTCGTCGAGCAGTAGCGCGGCCGCGAAACGCGCGTGTAGAGCCGCCCGCGCCGCGCACAGCCGCGCCCCCCGCCCGCCGCTCCACCACGAGCCGCGGCTGCCCCCCACCGGGCACTCTGCACACAAATAATCAATGGCAAAAAGACATTATTTTGGAGGACTGTTCGTTATGTATTTTGTAGCGTTATTAAAGTAAAAACATTTTAAGTGTTCTCATTTCGAATACGTGTGGTAGAAATAAACGTAAGTGTTTTTTAACTTTATAGGCAACTAGTTTGTGCCTTCTACTACGTCTGCGCAGGATTAGAATTATAGAATATTTATATAGAGAGATTTAGGATTGAAAACATATTTATAACTCGGTGATAAGTTTATAATAGCTTGTGATCATAACGTCAAAACTGCATTAATGATTTAAATTAAAAGTATAGGATTGATTTAGGATCACGTTGCAACCTATGGAGAAGGCCTATGTTCTGCAATGGACCAAATGTGTGATGCTTTATAATTATAATGGTTGTAGCATTTCTAATATTTATACCCAAACCAGCGGACTGCGCCGCGACGAACTCGTGTAGGCCGACTGCTGTAAGGCACTGCCAGATCTCCTCGTCCGTGTGGACGGCGAGTGGGTCGAGGTTCTCGCGAAGAGTGCTAGAGAAGAGCACGCCATCTTGCGGCAGCACGAGGACGCGGTGGCGGAGGGCGCGGAGGGGCACGCGGCTCGACTCAGCCCCGTCGACTAGCACGCGCCCCTCACTAATAGTAGTCGCTCCCGCGCACGACATCAGTAACGTGGACTTGCCACTGCCGCTGCGCCCGCAAATCGCTAACTGCACAATACCATAGAGGGAACACTTATGATTGTCGCGGGGCCAGGCTGAAGAAAGATGATGTTTTATCCCTTAAGATTACTTTTGCATTTAAGATATAATGCTTCGGCCGCACCTGCGTGTATCGACCCGAAGTAATGTGTGCCGAGGTTTCTTACGTTTTTACACTAAAAAGTTTTCGAGAAAAAATCCGCCGGTCACATCTGCGTGTATCTTGTTATAGCCCGAAGCTTTGTGACGATACACACAGATGCAGAAGCATTAGATACACATAAATTATTGTTTAATCCTAACGGCTAAGCTATAAATATCAAAAATATTTGAAAACAGGAAAATTGAAAACTTTTTTGATCGAGTTAGGAAATGAGTCTAATAACTACTTGTATGCAACTATATGTATATTGTTCTAAATTTACGACTCAAATATTTGTTTATCTGCACAGATTTGGTACCTTTTTTTTTGCCTGGCGCACGGGCACGCCTAGCCTGAACCTCGGCGTTTTATTATTACGCGTTATGGTGAGTAAGCTCGAGGGCTCCCGAGGGAGACTCGGCTCGGGCCTTCACGCTATTATTATCACCGGTTTGGGAGGCCGCCAAGCTGTTAGGGCGCATTGGCGGGCGCTCCATGGAATGGTCAGGCTCAAGGGTCCCCGAGATGGGACCTCGGCTTGGGCTGTCACTCAACACGCGTTTAGCATTCTGATTCGAGGGTGCCCGAGAGGGCCGGAGCTTGACTCGATCGGTAGCTATTAACTGACTGGGCGATTTATTTGACTGGGACATTTGGTACCTTGTGCTTTAATAAGTAGCTACTTTATTTTTTATTTAACTATAAATTATTTGCTTGTCTTCATTTACCTACAGTTTCTACTAAGGGTGGTTCTATTTAATGAATTTAACTATTAATTAAATAGTGCCTTTATGCAGAAGAGTCGCGAGAAAGATCTCTGTTTAGGTCACAAAACCAACTTGTTCTCTAAGGCAATGATTCTCAGCCCCGAATTTTCGAAATATATGTAGTGTAAATTATAATGCTATTTTTTTAATTACGAGTAAAGTGTACGTTTAGGCAAAAGTATGGGAAAAGATCAATTTTCAGTAAAACTAAAAGTGTAGATAAAACAGGCAACGTATAGGTACGCATATGTAAATATCAACTTGATAGAAAAATAATTTGTAAATATTATTATAGTAAATCGTTTTATTATATGTATAATTTACCTTCTCTCCGGGATTTACAGTTAAGTTTATATCCCTAAGAACAGGTGGTGCATCGGGATGATGGCGAATGGTGACGTTTTCAAATTCGATTTTGCCGTTTCGTTGCCATCCTAATGGTATCGGGCCTGTAAAATTCAAACAATACAAGTCAAACAATAGTAAATAATGCAATAAAATTAAAATAAATCAACTCAAACAAGAACGTCTTTAAAGTTTACAAATCATACAAAAATTTAAATGCATATTTTATCAATTCTTTTATCCACAAAAAAGCATTTTATTTTTCATGCTTTACATACTTTTAATACAAAAAATATACCCGAAGCAAATATAATATTAAGACTCCCGGGTCCCGCACTAAATAAATCTGTAACAACTATTATACAACGTAAAACAACGTACAAAGTACAACAATAAGCAATATGACTAATACATAAAAGCTACACAAACTCTTGCCTAAGTTATCGGGGCAGATGTGGCGCGAAGGAATAATCGAGGGGCTTACAGTCTTCGCGATAGTCCTCCTGCGGCACATTGGTGTCGGCGACGAGGCGTTCCAGGGCGGCGAGCTGTTGATGGAGGTCTGCGCGGCACTTCGCGAGGTGCGCGAGGTAAGCGGGCAGCAGGAGAGCGTACGCGCCGGCCAAGCCCGCTACGGCCGCGGAGCCGCCGCCGGCTAGCGCAGCGCCCAGCGACACGCACACACTCGCCGCACCAACTAGATCCTGGTCACGAGGTCAATTTTTATTATGGCAACCGAGCTGGCGGTTGTCGTTAAGTGATAACCGTCGCCCATTGCAGATGCGTTTAATAAAGTGGGTCCCGGCTACCTCATTGACCAGACTAAACGCAGTAGTATAACACTTCTACCGGTCTTTTGTGAGGTCATGGTGCTCAGCCGGACGGAACTGCCCATTCGTGCAACATCGAAGACTGTTGCGTGGCCCTACCCCGCAACAGTTTTCGCTGTTCCTATATGCTGGTTGATTTACGCCAAGCAAGTGAGTTTTTAAAATTGGAAAGTAATTGCGTCAGTATCAAGATATGGAATAAAACTCAATGTCTCGGAAATCGAGTTATCACGACACTTACAAATAATAATTAGCAGTACAGGCTTTATGTAAATTGTGACAGCTGCTAGATTTAAAAAAATAATCCGCCAAACGCTTTATTCTATAAAGCTGGTTTATGAAATGTAATTTTGTTTAAGATACATTTTGTTCACTTAAACTTTTAAACGACACCATCAAAAAGCAGCTTTGCAATTATTATGTATGCGAACGGCTGTTGGTTTACAAAAATAAAGTTCTAGATTTATCATTTAGACAGTTAAACAAAAATCCCACTGAAATATTAATTTACAACTTTTTTAAATTTAATACTGAAATTGATTTCATTGCGTGCATTTTTCACCGGTTTCATCGTCTAATGCTTCACAGTACTCAGAAATGCAACAAATAGGTAGTGTATATGTCACCGACCTAGCCCAATAATAAAGCAAGTGTTTGCTGGCGAATGGCTGAGAAACTTGTATTATATAAAAGAAATTTTGTAATGTCTAACTAATTAATAGTTCATCATCATCATCATTTCGGCCTGTTTGAGCTCACTGCTGAACACAGGCCTCGCCCATAGACTGCCACGAAGTGGGATCCTGAGCCACCAGCGTCCATCGACTTCGCGATTATTAATAATTGCTTAATAGTTGGTTATTACGTACAGACATCAACCAGGTTTACCAGTGTGAGTCCGAGCCAGCGGTTGGCGGCGTTAAGCAGTAGTAGCGCGTTGTGGTTGTGGTCGAGGCGCTCGAGGAAAGCCGCTCGCATGCTGGTCTGCAGACGGCAAGCGCGCACCGTGCTCGCGCCCGCACTGGTCTGGCCGCCCAGCGACAAGACACGCGCCGCACTACTCGCCTCGAACCGTTGCAGCTCCCTGTTTCGAAAGGAAATCGTTTTTTAAATCGCTTAATAAAAAATACCACTTATTTCGGCTATTATTGACGACATTTCACGTTATTTATGTAAGAAGTGTGCCTATGATTAATTTAATTGAGTTTATTGGCGTTAACTATATAAGTCATAGCGCGCCATTTAGGAAAACTTCAGATGTTTCAAGACGCTTAAACAAGATACTACTCCGATACTTCCTTCGTAGCGATAAATTAATGAACATTTCTAATTAAGAAAGTAAAGTTATGATTATATTTGCCTAAATTCGTTCTTTGTCACCCACAATAGACCTCTCTCTGGATAAAAAATGAAGTGGAGTTGATTTTCAACGCTATAATAAATAGCTTAGGGCTAATAGCTAGTCAGTTTGATATTTCGCTAGTCATAGATAGTCAATGCCAACATAGGCAAGAATAATTTTATTAACATATTAATATAATAATATTTAAAATTTAAACCTTCATTTCGTTACTCATATAAGAAATTCCTTGCTATTTACCTGGCATTTTGTAAGTAAACATTCTGCAGAAGCAGGAAGCAGAAAAAGGCGGGCAGAAATGCCAAGAGCGTCCATATTGACGCTATGAGGTTCAACAGCACTGCGGCCGCGCACAGCAGTGCCAGCTGTGCCCAGCGCGTTACGGCAGTTGAAAGCTTCTGTAATTTTAAACGAATAAGACATTACACTTTTAACTCACAATTGAAAATTAGTTTGTCAACTAGTTTTTATACGCCATTAAGATAAACGGCTGATTTCTAAAAAAATTTAATTCATCTTAAGTACAGAGATTAGCACTATAAAAATTAAAATTTCTAATAATAGCAATGTAGACATCTTTTGTTCGAATTATCGTTGTAAAATGATAATCGAAAATGTTTGTAGGCTCTAAAGTATATAACAATGGATACGCCAAGCGTTGCTCGAAATACGATAAAACAATGTAGAAAAGGCTTTGAGATTTTCATCGGTGTGAAGAGTGAATGTGTGTGATTGTCGTCAAGCGCTAGATACTCTAGATAGTGAAAAATCTGTGTTGCCCCAAGGGCCGGATCTAGGGGGAGGGCATCCGGGGCAACAGCCCCGGGGCCTCCAAAAACGAGGGGCCCCCACAATAGACTTCGGAAAAAAATTCAAATTCAGACTAATAAACAATAGTAAACAACTTCTACTTTAATATTTTTTTCCGCGTTTTACTTTTACCTACAGTACTTTGTATAAACATGATTACATTAAATAGTAACAGAAATTAATAGAAAATAATTTGGGGCTAAGGGGCCTCCACTCCTTTGTTGCCCCGATGCCTCCAGACGTCTAAATCTAGCCCTGGTTGCCCCTTACGCGATCGACCACAGCGATGTCGGCGGAGAAGCGATGCAGTGCTGTGGACTGCGCGCGGTGAGGGGGCGCGTGCAGCGTGGCTCGCAGTAGCCGTTCGTGTATCGCGCGTCGAGCACCGGCGCCGGCGCACGCGCAGCACGCCTGCGCCGCGCCCGCAGCGGCCGCGCCCCCGACGCCCCACCACACGTATGCGCACACCGCAACCCATAGCTGAAAGGTCACGTCCGATTTGACGTTCAATTAAATATTCAGAAATCCCACCAAAATGTCACTATTTGATGAACGTTAGTTTGAAATAAAACACACACACAATAAAATGTTGGGCTCCGTTAAGCGCGAAACTTTTCAGTATGAGTTGTCAATAGTATTTTAAGTAGGTACATAACTTATCTCATTGAGATAATTTACAGTTATAATAATCTAGCATTACAGATTTGTCCTACTTAGGAACTGAATGAACGAAGACGCCGGTGAAGGTAGACGAGCAGAGGGCCGTGCGTCTCCTAAACCGGGGTCAAGGCGTGGGATATATATACTCATAAATATTTGTGTATTTCTCATCGACACTGATTATAAAATGCATACTAAAAGAATTAAATGGGGGCGACGTAATGTTAACAAATACGGTGTTACTTCAAATTAGGTCTACCTGTGGATAATAGCTATTGATTAGATTAAAAGATAATTAAACAAAAATTACGGTAGTGAGAATTTACATCTCCATCAGCAAGAGGTGTCTGGGAATTTTTAGCAGCCCTGTCAGAGAGCCACCAATCCGCTGCCAGCGCCAGAGCCTGCGCTGCCGCCGCTGCCAGCCAGTACATGGCGCCCCACCAGCCACACGCTTTTGCGTACACCCACCATATTGAGCTCTACGGAAATATACACTATAACCCATTTTTTCGGACATAAAAAACTAATACCTTTAAAATTATGGGAACTATTGCTTTAATAATGAACAATGTTTTGGAATGCATTCTTACAAGCCAGTCAATGTTATAATTGAAATAAACAGTATCTATATTGGTTACATTACATGCCAGAGACAAGTTTCTTTTGTTATTATTCTGAGAGAGGTAATTAAAATCAATCACTTAATCTCATTAGCAATGAAAGGATATAATATAAATTATGAATAACAATATTTAAGTAACATACATAAGATCTATTACCTCGCTTATAACGTCCTCCAAGTTTTCTTTGTTCAGAATTAAATGCTCAGATTTGTTTGAAGTTGTCGTTTCAATGCCGTTTGATGTCACCGAAACAAAAGTTGTATCGATCGTCGCTGATTCTTCTTTTTCTAAAATAAAGACAATGTGTTTAGAAGTGTTTAAAGAAATAAAAAAATATTAATTGTAAATTAATGAAATGGCTGAATCAAAACTGACCGCTGCTTTGTTCGTCAGTTTGTGTGTCGCTCTCGGTGCTCAGTAATCGATGGAGGGTTCGCGGAGTCCAACTGTATTGTAATAAAATCAATATGTTGTAACAAAGTTATTAAGTACCTATTTAATTTTTTTTAGGTTTTTAATGAAAGAATTAAAATCTAAGTCTTAAATATACACATTTTTTAATGTAGTGAAAATAACATAAAGTACTAGATTTGTAAACCTCTAGAGTTATGTTAATAATATATTTATCTTTACTCCTAGATAATGTTACATGTCATTGTATAAAGCATGTATAATACGTGTCATAAGGAAAATGCCTTGGCCATTGAATTGATTAAAGACATAAATTATTGTCTTCTGTCCAAGGCTATTAAGATTGAAATTTGACCGTGATGATCCTATGTATAATATTGCGATAGTAACTTATGAGTAGGTATTCTTCAATTGTTAAGATTATTTTATGGAAATACTATAATAACTATCTTTATTTATCATTATAAATCTATATATATATATATATATATATATATATATATATATATATATATATATATATATATATATATATATATATATATATATATATATATATATACGAGATTTCCACCGATAATTGACTCATCACGATATCTCTGGAACTCTGTAGGAATATTCCTTTCGCCAAGTAGAGGTCAGCTAAGAACGGATTTTACGAAATTCCACAAACCAACGTTTGCCGGATCAGCTAGTGAATAATATGTTTATAACGATAAATGAAACTATATTTAATTTTAAATAGATAATTTCTTGTATTTCGTGATTGTACATTTATAATCAAGTAAATACAATAAATTATCATATTTTATAGAAACCATTAAAGGCGATTAATTAACAGAGTTAATACCAACGGAAGTTCTAAGCGTCCTGTAGAATGAACATCGTCAATTTGTTCATATAAAATCATCGTAGTTTTTCAACTATCACGCGGTCTAAATTAAACGGTATATAAAACACTAAGCTTTCGTTTGGCATAAGTGGCGTATTCAAAGATAGATCATTGAAAAATACACTTTTCTTCAGGTATTGGGAATTGACAAACTCTGTGTTACGTTATCATAAAGGTTGTACCTTTTGACTACCCGTTTGTTGCAGCTGTCAGATATAAACCGTGGTTGTTTTCAATGCGCAAATACGAACATCTATAAATGGCGACACTAAATGGCGTTTGTAGAGCAGAAAGTGAAGATAATTGTTTACCGAGCGAGCGTCCGGTGCACGCGCGGTCTGTTGGTGTCCGACTCGTCGGCGCTCACCGCACGTCGCACGTCACGACGCCATCTGTAATGATTTACACATTATCTTTATCGAAAGACCTTTTCGTTTATTAATATTGACTTAAAAGAGCCGTTTTAGCACTCAGCGTCAGTGAAAACATGGATTTTATCAAAATACCGTTTACTTTTGAACGATTATGAATTCGTAAATAAACTAGGCAACGACGACTTTGCATCTTTTGAACATTTGATATCTAAATATTTACTTCTATGTTAAATGCCCATGCGCCATAAATCGTCAATTTATCCACTTCAAGAGCCGACATACTTTAACCTCATATATATCTACTTAATCTCTAGAAATCTAATTTCTCGGAAATATTTAAAAAACGAATTTTGCCCACATTTATATCAATTACCTATTTGAATTATGAATAAAAATAAAGAGTACTGATGATCCCCTTTTTTAGCTTTGACTTAGATTTTAAAATTAAATATGTGAAATTCATTTATCAGAGGAAATGTTTAACTGACATCTTTAATTGCTTTTTATTACTATGGATATTCAAATGATAGTAATAGACAGTTTTATCTTTGGGCTAGTCAGGTAACCTTCTGAGGCTATTAGGAATAAATATTCAGATAGGGTAAATAGAGAGCAATAAACAGATTTGTGTAATTACATTAAGATATTGTGTCAGTTAAATGTCCTAATTAGGTCAAGCCGCTTTTTAGTTTGTAAACCTGAAAACGACAGAAACAACAAAAAGATGTGAAGCAATAACAAAATTAAAGCTACATTTTCATTTATTTTTCGTACACGTAAAGACAAAGCTTCGATACAAATTGACTCTCGCATTCGTACAAACCGTAAATTAAAGATGAAACATGGCTGCAATAGTATGATTGCGTGTGGTGCAAATAAAGAAACTAATACTGTTTTGTCGCATAAGCTAATGTCGTATTTTCTTGGAACCACGTTAATTTTAGTGATTTAGCTAAAACCATTCTGAATGAACATTTTCAACTGGTTGTTAGGCTTTTCTTCATATATTTAACATTTTCTAAGGTACTCAGTTAGATAAGATTTATTTTTTGGGGTGTACAATGATTATTTGTTGATGATTTGACTCGTTCTCTACATTAAACCACTTTATGAGATGGTGATGAGGCAATTTATTAAAGCAACAAATGCGTGGTATAAATGTCGAAAGATGAAATTTTTTTGCAAAAACTGTATACATAAAATCGACCAGGGATCTAATCGTAAAATGTTCCTATGTTATTTATGCACATTTTTGGTTGTAATACTATCGCAGCTATAAAATCTTAACCAAATTTGGTCTTCTTGAACGATTGAAACGCATTCGACACGTTAGTGATGTAGCAATTCGATCGAAGGGAAAAAACGTGATGTACTTGTGAAGGTGCATAGCGGGCGGTGGTGAGGAGAATTGCCTGGAAAGAGAAGGGCGGGGGCGCGTGGATGTCCGTCGCCAGCTGCCTCCAGCGCGCGTCGGTACTTCGGCCAGGAGGTGCGCGCCCGTCGGCTCGCTGATACCTACCTGGTAAACCAAGTTACAGATGAATAATATAACACTGGAAGCAAGAACGACAAAGTGAAGTCCCTTCAAGTCTTCAAAATGGTAGTCTATTTAAAAAAAAAACAAATGAGTATATCACACGTTGTTAGTTCACGTATGAAAATGGACGTGGAAGAGAAAAAAGGTGACTGTATCGTTGTAAGTTGGGAATCCGTTATTTATGCCTTTTCGTATTGTTTGATTTTCATGTAGGTATTAATAGTAAGAAGAATTCTTCACTTGTCATAAGTAAACAATAAAGTGTAAATGCACTTTATTGTTTTTAAGAGAAAATTCCCTTTGCCTTTTTAAAAGCTATTTTTAATACAAAATAAGTCCAATCGATTTTTCACCATGTACTAAAAATTTAAAGCTATTTGTTTGTAGCCTTGGTGTGACCTTACTTTCTTATTGAACGTGTAAGTTAGTTATACATAATATATATTTGTATAAAACTACATTCTCGACAGATACTTTTAAGTTCATGTTTTGCGAGAAAAATTTATTATTTTATTTTAAAAATTAATTATATTGAACAGTATCTCTCAGAATACAAATGTAGTAAATTACGCCTTATTCGTAATTTACTGAAATTGAAATCGAAAGAAATTTATCAATTACACATTCTAAAAATTCAAAATTCTTACAAGTGGTCAGAGATGGTTATTCTGATAACGCACAGATACCTCTTCACACCTTTCGCCCTACACACTTCTTTCAACATTTTATTATTTTTTAATTCTTGAACTGTTTAAATTTTATTCTTGATACATTCCTCTATTTAAGTTTCCTTATTAACTGACGTTTCTTCTATCTTTCCTTATTTCTTGCGATTTGATTTTGTTTTAAATGCGTGGATGAATTACTTATCGTAAAAGTTTTCACCCCAGTCAGGATTCGAACCTTAGTTAAAGTTTTGTGCCGATGGATGTTTGGAAGATTCGATTAATACTGCCGATTAGGACGATGATTTTAAGGAAAAATATTTTTTAATTTTGTTACAGTACATGTAAATGCATCTAGACAGAATAATATCTAGACACAAATAGAGTCCTCACCGCGTACTCTATCTGACCGTCGAGCGAGAACGACTGTCTGTAGTGGAGTTAAGAGTTTTATTGGTACCTAATTGTGAATACTACAAGTAGCAAATTGCAAATACTGCAATAACCGATTTTATTCTTGATATTTGCAAAAGATTTATACAGGCCAATTCTGATTACCTCTTGATGATATATTCACGAACGCAGGTTTTCTTACTTTTTCTTAGTTTACATTACGGTTGCTTAAATTCGGTTCAAATCAGTTGATTCACCTTCATCACCACACCAATAACATTACCAGTGATTATTACTTTTTTGTTAGAACTAGGTAAACCTTTTTAAACGTCGTTTAAGATACTTCAGAATAAATTTTCATTTTAGATTACAATTTTTCAGGGGCGCATCGACCTACAACTGATCAATTCGTATCCCTTATAAATGAACATCGGACAGTTGTTGTATGCACCTACAGTATGTGTTTCCAAGAGACTTAAGACTGACGGAATGAAGCACGTAGCACATACTGTATCCTCTTCGATATCGCGCCTGCTGAAGTGGTTTCTGCTGAGGGCGCGTTGCAGGCGCGCCCGCTCCCTCGCCGAGCCGCCTGGCGGGCCTGCGCCGGCACGGGCGACCGCCGCCCGAGCCTCCGCCGCGCGTCTCGCCCAGCGGCGTAAGGTGCCGATCCCAGGGCCCTCGCTACAAGGGCGCACCCCCGACCCCGGACGGCCCACGTCGCACACCCGCCCGTCCTCCATCGCTATGACCTGGCCGACCACCGAACTCGTGAAGGCAAAAGAAAGTACGGGCAGCTTCGCCACAGCACTGGCGCGGTTAAGCATATACCTACTTTAAAAGTTCGATATAACTCTTATAAATTTTAATTGAAATGTACTTAATTATTACTTTCTTTATTACTCGTAATATGTATCGATGATTCACTTTTTGATGCATGCATGTACTTTTTTTTATGCGAAAAGTTGCCAAACGAGCAGACGGTTCACCTGATGGTAAGTGAATACAGCCGCCCATGGACATCTGCTACACCTGGGGGTTACAGATGCGTTGACAACCTTTTGAAAATTGGGCTCCGGCTACCTCACTCACCAAACGAAACGCGAAAGTATTTGCTATACTTCCACTTTACGCTGGTCTTCTGTGAGGTCGTGGTACTTACCCGGACGGGCCGGCCCATTCGTGCAACAGCCAAGGCTGCTGCGTGGCCCTACCACCGTAAAAATCACACCTCAATTACAAGTTAAATAAAATCTCGAATAAAAGACAGTCTGCGGTTTGTACTATGAATAAACATCGTTTTGAGATATCATATTAAAGCTAATCCTACAATTATGGCTTAGAAGACATTGTGTTTAATAATTATGTCGTGAATGTCGTTCGTCGCTATCCATAAAAGTCCATTATCTTTTAGCGAATTGCTTGACTTCATACAAATATCAGTAATATTTTCGAGAAAGTTCGTAAGGCCCGTAACATGGATTTAAAAACTGCTTTTTGTAGAGTCATTCACCCACCAAATCAGCGTAATGTAGTAGTTCTAAGCGGTTGGTTGCGATGATGACGGTGGTGCCGGTCCTTACTGCGGGTAATAAGCCCCGCGCCACTACGTGACGTGCCAACGCCGCATCGAGCGCTCCAAGAGGCTCATCCAAAGCCAGCAATCTCGCACCGCTGTATACACAGCGGGCTATACAAACTCGCACGCGTTGTCCGCCAGACAACGGAGCACCCTGACGACCCAGTTTCGTACGGTCACCGTCTAAATGCAACAGAAAAAAAACATAAAACAACAACATAAAAAAAAAACGCAAATAAATAACAATTTCACCCTTAATAGCGTAACAATGTAACTTGACATGCAAATTGAAACATTTGCAGTAAAATTATACAGTACCATAGAGGCACATTCCTTTACACGAGATTAAATCACATACAATGTATAGTTGATGTTTAAATTCAATATTAAACAAAAGTGCTCCTCCTTAGCGTATCTGTTGAGCACTTACCACACCTGCTTATCTAGTGTTTATGTTACGTAAATTATATAACCTAGTCGAGATTAAATCCTTGAAACTCTTGATAAATAAAAAAGAAATTGTTGTTAATTGTGTTATTACTATAATAAAACAATATTTGACTGCAATGTCATTAAAAGATATATAATAAATTCCCACAACAGGAAATATCTGCGTTTTGTTGACAGAGTCGAACGTCGGATTGTTCGAAAATATTAATTCAGTAACATGTTGTTATATAATAATAAAAAATATGTCAGTTTACGTTTCCGGTTTGTAATTTTTCTTGTATACAAACTTGTTTGTGAATGTATGTACATTGCTTTATACTTTTATAGTTATCGATTCTGTTAGAAAGCTGTAGAAGATTGAAAAATTGCCCACAACCTCAATTCTTTTAGGTCAATTATGGAACCCAATTTTTTGTGTTAATAAAGATTGTTTTTGAATAAAATAGCTCTGAATAAATTTTGATCAAAAGTTTACATTAATAACATTTTAATTTTGACGGGAACAATCGAAAAGAATATTACAAATGGTATTAAAATAACTACTTTAACATTGAAATAGATTTTTTATAATAGGAAAGCCAGCGGATAAATTCGGTTATCGTCGCACCTGGTAGAAGTTGTAGATCCGGTCGTAAGGCGGCAGCGCGGAGTGCGCGTGCATACTCCGCAGGGTTCCAGCGTTGACCCATGAGGATGTTGTCACGAATTGAACCTTCTATCAACCACGGTGGTTGACCCGCATAACATGCACTGTATGCTCTGAAAACACGAACTTCATTGTCACTACTATTTACCGATTGGAAAATTGTCCAATCATACCTTTGTATCTACAGAAGTATATCTAAAAATAAATTACAGTAATCATATTAGATTACTCCTTTAAAATTATAAGTTCCCGCATTTGTATGTATGTAAGAGACTAATTTCATATAACAGAAATCTTAACAGTCAACCCGTTATAATATTTTAACTATAATCATTTAAAATTCTCTATTAAAAACAATCTATTTCAAGGCCAGTCTAAGTTAGAGAATAACGTCTAGTACTTCGGTCTAACTTGGTCTTTCGATCGGCATTTAGTGGCATGTGATGAATAAAGAGGTTCACTAAATGTGTCTGTGTTATATTTCGCTACTGAACAATTTCAACGTTCACATCAAGTTGAGTGAAAGTATAAATCGATCTTAGTAGCCGATGCACTGTACATCGATATCACTATGTCTTTTCACTATATCATGTGCGCTTACTTAACTTTCTTACCCATTCCAAATAACATCTCCTCTTTCGAGGTGCATTTCTCCTAGCATTGCAGACAGAAATGATGACTTTCCGGAACCAGATGATCCAACAACCATAATAAGTTTGCCTGTAAAATTATATGCATATATAATATGCGAAGGCACAACTATCGTGATATATTTTTTACGAAATATCTATAAAAAACTTAAATTGGATCGATTCTCACCTACGGGTATATCTAAATCATCAACATCGAGCCAAGTGTTATCCCTCATTTTCCAAGAAAATGCTGCCTTTTTGAATCTTAGTAAGTAATCGTGATCATTGCAATTTGGCTTATTATCTTCGAAGAATTTATCATCACATTCAATGTCAACAATTTCTTTACTGTCCGGAAATGTGTTGCAATTCAAAACTGTGTCAGCATTGTTTCTAACTAAATCACAGGTATTAATTTCCTGCGGGCTTCGTCTGATATGTCGTTCTTCCGATATGTTACTTGATTCAGGTAGTTCTAAAAAATCTTCTATTCTTTTTGTACTAACCTAAAAATTGTGGCAAAGATAAATAAATACTTTCTATTAATAGAGTATATTAGTTATTACAAAACTTCTCTACAATACCATAGCTTGAATGACCATTAGCACTGTGACTGGCAAAATAAGAAGAGGTATTGCTAATTGATTGAATAGTGCCAACCCCGCTAATACATTAACTACTGTTAAACCTTCACCATTATCTAGGAAATACAACAGTGTATACGTGACCACTGTTATAAGTATAGTAGATGCATGAGTTGTAAAAGCTGTAAAATATAATCATACATTAAATAAATTAAATTAATCTACAGAAACGTAAAAATCAAAACTTAATTTTTTACATACTCAGAAATCCCCAATAAACAGAATCCTTATTCAGCAGTCTCAATTCAACTTCTCTGAGTTGTAAAATTTTCTCATTGAATAAATCTTCCCATACATAAAGTTTAATAACATTCATGCCTTGCAAGATTTCCGACATTTTTGAGACTCTGTGATCGGTGCATTTAGAAATATCTTTGGAATTGTCCGAAAGTTTTTTGCCAATATAAAATTGCAACGGAGTTATTAGAATGACGCTGGCAGCAGTACCTATTATTGCACTGATTCCTAATTTTGTATAAAGCAGGTACAAAATGATAGCCACCTAAAGCGATATACAAATTGTTAACATACCTACATTGAAACTACAGATAATAAAATTGTTACTCTCATATCAAATAAAAATATTCTAACCTTTAAAGGTATGGCCCATATATAATGGCATACCCAAACACAAGACATTATGTTGTAAGTGTCTTGCGAAATCAGGTTGGTTAGAAGACCAGACTGAGAAGGCATAGTATCTTCGGGTGCTTGAAGTAGCGGTGATTCTTCATCGATTTCCAATTCAGCCGATGACCAAGATGCTAATCGCATGCATTTGTCATATACCATACACTAAAACGAATGACCATACACGAAAAATTACGAAGTAACCGTGATTTTGAAATGTTTCTAAATGACAGCCTAATGTCTTCATATTTAAATTTTGTTAATTTGAGTCAGACATTTGCACGTTATCACTTAATAAAGATGTGATAATTCATAGACTACACACTGGTAATTTGTGTTGTAAGATGCGGCATATTGCCTAAACAGGTCAACCGTTAAACGATTACAGACTCAAGGTTAGTGAGTACCAAATATAGAGGCGATGAAGTTTATCAACTGTAGATGGTATGGTTAATATTAGTTTTCTAACTGAATATACTTACTTGTAAGGCTGTTTTTAATCTTGTTCCCTCAACCGTAACTAAATGAGTTGAATTCTGCGAAAGTATTGCTTGTATAATTAAAGCTAGTGTAACGACAAACAGCATTATATAAGCGTTCTTTAAAAGTTCTTCCATCGTTACTTCCGATTCTGTTTCAAACGTTTTAAGCGGGTCTTCGATATATTGAACTATAACTGCTAACCCTAGTGGGGGTATGACGCCAATGAGATCACCAAACAATTTTAGCACACCCGCAACATAAAAATTCGGCCATATAGTGCGAACGTAACATCGCCATATGCTGTTCTTTTTATTATTTAACTTTGACATCTGAAAGAATCGGTTGCGGATTTGAACGTTAATTATTATTAATGCAGCTATAACTTTAAGTAACCTACGGTAACTGACCTGTGTTCGTTTGTGATAAATTCTTTTAAACTTTTCATAAAAATTCAATGATCGTTCGTCATCTGGAAGGTTCCCAAAATCGTTCTCATCCTGAGACATTTCCCAGTACCCTTTGTATAGTAAAGAATTTAACCAAAAGAATGTTATTTTCGAATAAAAATGTGTTTCGTTATGCTTGTACGACGTATTGTCTTTTCTTGACGATTCTTGATGACCATGGTTATTTTTTGATACCTGGAATGGTTAAGCAACATTTGAACTGTTCGCTAGCTTATGATTTATTAAGTTCGTATAGTTATGGCGCCGGGCATTGAAACGGGATAAGGCGCCAGACAAAAGGAATGTTTCCAGAGATTGGCTGTTGTCTAGCAAGAAACCAGCTATAGGGTTGCTATAAAATGAGAGCAATATACAAACCTAGATTTATAAATAAGTTTAAAATTAACCAAAGAGCAATTATTATATAATTAAACAAGATTTTAATCCATTTTTAAACTTCTTTTCAACCTTTCCACCATACATGTATTATTTAGATATACGTATTACGCAGGAGTAACATCTTATAAATATTTTTAGAATATACTTCACTTATTTCCTTTATTGATATTTCATAAAATTTATTGGAGGCACCCCTTGCATTACTATGAGTCACGCTGTTCTCGTGTGCGAATTAATACTCGGTTCCGTAATAAAGAATTGTTGGAGTATGGTTTAGATTAACGATTGTGACTTTATTTATTTGAAATCAAATATGTGAATACTATGAGAAACCGCAGCAAAATATTTTATAATTTTATTTTAGAAGACTAGTCTTAAAGCCAGTTAGAAAAATATTTTATAATTTTATTTTAGAAGACTAGTCTTAAAGCCAGTTAGAATTTTATTATTATTTTCACTCCTTTTTATTGCGTGGTAATATAGTGTGCGATAAATTCAATAAAAATTCCTTGATTGTATTCTTTAAAACTCTCTCGTAACGAGATAAGACGAATTTACTTTTTAATCATAAAGTTAAAAAAGTTTTAAGTTTTGCTACCAATTGCGTCTATAATTACATGATAATCAGTTTTCAAGTTAGAGTTTCGGCAATTAAGATTTATATGTAACCCTTTTAAATAGTATAGAATAAGTATAATACTGAAAGTTACAATTGAAGTTTTGATATTAATTCATCTATTCTAAGTTAGATAGTTTTAGTTGATCTTCATTAATTCATCATTCGTAAAACACAGAAAGTATCTACATTTATTAAAAATTTAAGCTTAATATTGTATAAATAAAAATGATGCACGCTCTTGTTTAGCGTGTTTGTATACCGAATAGAACTCTGTGCCATTGTCCACAATCATTAACAAAACATGCTTTATCCATCATTTCATTGATTCATTTCGTGAGGTCATTGAATTCGAGACGTAGGGCAGTGAGTGGTATAGTTGAAAATCATTTTCATTAAAAAAATTTATAATTTTCTTACTGAAAAACATATGTACTCATTTTGTCTCAAGAAACGGAAAAAATCATTATTTCTTTACTATTATTGTATTTGTTTTGTGTTTTCATGTTGTGCACATGAGCTTGTTATTTGTACACAGTTGGATACAAGTTTTATTACAATGGGTTTTGAATTTATAGAATTCTTAATAAAACCAATAATTTAACTTGGGTAAAGAGGTTAAACAGCGTTTTTAGGACTCATGTACCCTGTATTTTGTATTAGAACATTGATAATATGAAGCGATGTAGCTGCTATTTACAATTTTGATTGTAAATGTTTTAATAATATCGCAAACGTTTCTTCAAACGGTTTACGCTTAAAAAGCTAATTCTATTTTATTACCGAAGTTTGCATAATTAGACCATTCGAGAGACGACGGTAAGAGAATGCGAATAAAATTTTCTAACATAGTCATTCCAAAAAACCCTAGTTGGGTATTTGTCGGTACTACATATCATATAAAAACAGCACAACAATTAATAAATAAGCAAAGCACACCCCAAAAAGCACAAAGATGATGTGACGCCAAATATAAATCTATTTCCTTTAGAGATTAAGCAAATAGAGACGATCTAATAAGAAACATATCTATCTATCTATAAGTAACATGGGCGGGAGGACCTCAAACGGTGCTTGACGTTCACGCATATGCTAATATCTCGTTTTGGCATTTATCTTTGTCGCACGTATAATTTTGGTATATAACCTTGGCGGAATGTCAGACCAAAACTTAGTAATAAATGTGATACCTACTACTCGTGTTTCTTTTATGTGTGAAGGTAGGCAAGTGATCTGGCGGTACATTTGCAACATCCGTAGGGTTGCGGATGCCTTGCCACCTTTTAATAAAGCGGGCTACGGCTACCTCATTCACCAGACGAATCGTAAAAGTGTAACACTTGCATTTCAGTCATTTCACGGAGGTCTTCTGTGAAGTCGTGGTACTTGAATGCAACAGCCGAAGCTGTTGCGTGGCCCAACCATAGTTACGTACTATGATAACCCGAGTACCAGAATTAATTTGGATATTTATATCAATATATTAAAAGGGTTAGTTATAGATTTGTAAATCTATTAATTTGTGTTTTAGATGAATGCCTTGGTAACATGGACTTTACTAAACAATACCATACGCTTTTTAAGAGTTCTTCGTGTATACAGCCACGTTAAGAGCTAGAGCATTAACTTGCTTCAATTGAACCTGAACATAAATTCACGCTTGGGCGATGCTCAAACTGAGTGGAATACCCCGTCGACATCTTAAATATGAGTCATACCGGAAAAAGCTGGATGTGCCTAATGGCGTCACAAAGCAACTATAGCAACTTTTATGGTGGATGTGGTCTTGTTCGTATTCACATGTAATAAAAATTAAATAATAATATAAATATAGCCATACTTAAGAAGGTTCATTGAATATTAGTGGAAAATACTGCCACCATTTTCCATCAATGTTTAATGAACCATTGAAATAATGAATAATCGGACAACAAGAGAAAACTCTTTTATGTATATTAAAATCATAGTTGGCATTTATTGCATAGGAAATAATGGGCTCCTTTTCATTTTTCTAGTCTAACTGTAAAATGAAGAAAAATATAAAATTTGTATATGTAAAGTTGATGAGATTAATAATTTAGATACGATGTTTTTCTCTCGGCACATTTTTTAGTTTCGCGGTCATTGCCCTGTTTATTTTTATTTCGACCCGACACGTTTTTATTAATATGTACACCTTTACTGATTTTTCTTACATGTTTGCTGGTGAAAATCGGCAAAGTTATCTTTTATGTATCTTTTTATTTGCAGAAAAATGTCTTCCTTTAATTATTTTAAGTAATTCTATACAGCGTCAATGTTATTCTAAGAGTTCATACACTCACGCATCATCCGTACCGGTGAAATATTTTTATATTTTCATACTTCATGTTCCACATCCCGAGCGAAAGATATATTTAATAGCGTTATTTTCAGATTAAAGGAAGCTTGTGAACAAATAGAAATTACACAGTTCAGCAACGTAATACTATATATGAAAATAACAAAAAGAAAATAATTTATATAAAATAACATAATTTACCTCATCATAAAAGCAAACACCATCCACGATTGACATTATAAATGCTAATACAGTCGTCAGCCCTTGTATATAAAGTTCAACATGGTTAGACGATGCTTTCGAGAGGAAATGTCTCCACAATATTGATGCGGCTGCAGTGGCGGAGAGTAACCAGTATATTGCTAGATAAAGGATTGGTGCTGTCGTGCGCCTAGACCAGAGGAGGACATGTAGAGCACCGGATGCAAACCAGGCTAGCAAAGCCACTAGAGCATAAACCAAACGAACAGTCTCTGATGGCCGAAGTAAAGCACCCGCGAACCCACAGCACCAAGTCACTCCCAAAATTAGGCTAGTCGCTCCTCTCACATTCTGACCTCGCCAACGATGATCGTGCCTAAAATACGAATTATATGTTTTGCAGATAGTACGAAATTGTAAACAATTAATAGAAAAATAACATATTTAGAGACCAATTTTTATACTATATACAATTATTTATTTTCGAATTAATGACTTACATCATATAATAAATATTCAAAATGTTAATGTTGGGGTAAGCAAAGATAAATTTATATATTTAGTTAGTAATTATAAAATAGATTGTAATGTAGTTTAGGAAGGGGCAACAATATTTCCCTAATTAAAATAAATAATTGTTGCTCTCTAGTGGCATGTGTGATTAAAGCTTGAAGGGGGCTTATTAGGCTTATCAAATTGGGTGGGTTGTTAAATGCAATGTGTGATTTACCAGTGCGATCGTGCTGGAGTACAGCAGCAGATCAGTGCGGCTGCTAGGGTGGCGCAGTAGAGGTGAAGGGAGTGCAGCGCTGCGGCCAGGGCGTATACGGTACAGATGACGTCTCCTTGCGCGCATACCGCCTCCATTATAATTCTTCAATTGGAATAATGGGTGTGGCGGCTCCACTGCGTGGATATGATATCGAATCCTTTCAAATTCTCCAAAATTTTTCCTCATTGTCGTATAACACTTAGTCGCGTATATACAACAGCTATATTACGAGCCATACCGTGATGAGCGTGCTAATTATTATTCAAAATGCTTTGTAATGAGAATATTCGCTTTAAATACTTGTATATATGTTTATAACATATTTATCAACAGGCTCTTAAAACTGATATAAAAATGACTTTGAATTATATTGACGGCCTGAGGTAGTTTTTATGTTACCGTAACAATTACGCGTTGTACGTGCCATGCACGCTAGGACGTCGAACGATAAAATTTATTGCAGTTCAATATGCCTTAGCACAATGGGTTCAGCGCAAGTGTGAGAGAAAACTGTTGACGAGTACGACGGTAATGTCTCGCTGCCATCCCATTGTTGCAAAGATACTGTGCCCGGAGTTTGACTAAATACCTCACAACTCTACCACAACAGTGACACTTATAAAACAATAGACTTTTTTTTTACTTGCATTAATTAATGACATGTAATCTAAGAACAACTTAGGATTTAATTAATGTTTGATGAGTATGCAATATAACAATTAAAAATAAACTACGCAATATAATCTGTACAGATAAATAAAATTGTAGTGACTGTTTGTAATATTAAAGTTTGCGCTTTTTACTAAATGCACATGGACGTAGACACGGTACATAAAAAAGTAAAGTATATGTAAATGTCACACTGCTGGGTAAAGGCCTCCTCTGTAAAAAGGGTATCAGGGCATAGTCCACCACGGAACCCCACTGCGGAGTGGCGGACTTCACATATTTTCGAAATATTTTTTTTATTATTTCGAAAATAAGCAGAATTCCTCACGATGTTTTCCTTCACCGCAGAGTACGTGATAATTCAGCGCTTAAAATTAACAATTTCATTGGTGCTGGCACCGGGAATCGAACTCAGGTTGCTTGAATAAATGTAATTAAAGGCGAACGCCCGGACACTGAGCTATCACGGTACATAATTATATACCAAAATAATTTTTGTCTGTCCGTCTGTCTGTTGCGGCTAATCTCTGAAATGGCTGAACCCATTTTGACGAGACTTTCACCGGCAGATAGCTGATGTAATAAGGAGTAACTTGGCTACTTTTAAATTTCACGCGGACGAAGTCGCGGGCATAGTAAAGTCAACTATGATTAGTTAACGCCTAGAAAACGGGAACGCTCTAAATCACTTTATACAGATTGGAGCATGGTTTTCACACACATGGTTCTCTTTGGAGTTTTTGTTGGTTTAACTGTCAGAATGATCTTCTTAATGATCAGAATAATCAGTTCCAAGAGTTTACAATACTTTTGGAAACTCAAATAACATTTGAAAAGCCATTTGACAGCTGAATAGCTTCTACGATGATCAGTGTTTCAGAAACCGGACATTGCTCTTTCCATGTCGCAAGTTATTATATTACATTTTAAAATTTTTATCAACCATCAATTCATTACACTATTTTAAGATTTACACCTAAAATGGATTACACCTGTTGAGACAAAAACTGAAAAATTATTAAGACGATATTTTTAATTTCATAAAGAAACGATCAGTATTGTGTGTCGTAGTTATCAACTACGATTTAAGTTGAAAATATTGTCTTAACTTTACGAGATTATTCTAGTCTTTATAACATACAACAACAGGGAAAGATATAAGAATCAACGAAAATTCTTTGCAATGATAATTTTATAATAAAAATTCATTACTTTATATTAGCGAGGGATTTTAAACGACAATCGAATGAAATAGGCTCTATTTAAAAACAAAGTGTTTTAATGTTTCAAATTCATCGAATCAAAATATTTAGTTACCACAACACAATAGCAAATTCTTTTCTTAATTTAAATGGGATGGCCTCTAAATCGTTGTTTCTATGAATGCTTATTCGTTGTATGAATAAATAATGAAAATTCAAGTACGCGTGCAGTTATCACTCTGATAGTATAACCGGTATTATAAATGAAATAACAACACTGCTTTGTAAATAAAAGGACATTATTGTAATTAAAATTATAATATTTTCATGTTAACTTACCGTCAAAACAGTGCTGTTGACTGTTACGGTTTACACTTTGGGTTTGCACTAATTCACGAGCACATAAACGAAATATTCACTAGAGGCACGTTCTATGGGAACAATTGGTAGGGTTTTTAGGCATTGTTGTTATTATTTTCGTTTCGCGTGCCGCGGTATGTCGGGGCCGGTGCGCTGCCGCGTGGCGCTGTCCCGTGTGACGTGTCTGTGCTCGCAGAGTGTACTGTTGGTAAAGCGACTCGACTGTCGAGGTTCAGCCCGAGTCGGAACTCGAATTGAATCGAGCGCAAATAAATAAATAAACCTTGTCAGCCGTCTCCGTTGCAGCGCGCGTGCATACGACCGGCTCGCTCGTTGCGTTTTCATTTACGTTAATTCATTGAGCGTATTGCGACTTTTTGCACTACACATTGCCACAGTCTGTAGGCCCTTAATAATGCGGGCACGAGAGGACAGCGGAGAGCAGTGGACACACGATAAAGTACTTATCGCTACATGCTCCAGTTTCTTTAAGTTTCTTGTAGCGGACGGCTCAAGATCAACACATTAAAAACTTGATGTTGTTTTCTGATTATAAACTCAGGTTTTTGATTGCAATTTTAATAGGAAAGTACTTTTTTCTAGCTGTGCTAAGACTATTAAATAACATATTTCTATAAATACATGTATGTTTATTTATTAATCGCTTTTTGTAATAATTGAAATCTGGATTTGAGAGCATTATTACAAAATTATTAATTTAAAAATATTCAACAATACATTTCATCTAACAACCACGCGGCATGATTCCAAAAATGCTAATTGCATTTCCTCTCTGAATAGCTTACCTTTAAACGTGGAAAGAACCAGAGCCCTCTGGTCAATAGCTGCTTCTGGTTTGGACCTAAGGTTTGCACAGCAAATGGCACAAAATAGATGATTTGAAACAACAAAAACTCCAATATTTAAAGAAATGGAGGCCATGGATATGGCATGGAACTCCATGGATATTATATTTATCTACACTAAGTTTTTAACTTAAAGTGCTGCCTTATCACGTGCTCCGCGGTGAAGGAAAACATCGTGAGGAAACCTGCATATTTTCGAAATAATAACAAAAATATATTTCGAAAATATGTGAAGTCCGCCAATCCGCAGTGGGGCCGCGTGGTGGACTATGCCCTGATACCCTCTGTATAGAGGAGGCCTTTGCCCAGCAGTGGGATATGTATAGGCTGTTACTTTACTTTTTTACTTTTAACACTGTCTACATATCGGTGCAATTACAAATCGGTGATCTCAGACGGGTTACTACAACAATGCTGCTTTCATCGTCAAGTAATGTGCCCGAGTTACTTCATGATAAAGCGTGAAGGCAACGTTTCGATTATTTAGATGAAACGCCTAAACCGGGAACGCTCCAAATCATTTTTAAAGATTGGAGCATGGTTTTCTCTTTCATGGTTCTCTTTGGAATTTCTGTTGGTTTACTTCAGTGGAAAATTTTCTTGAGGGAGATAGGCAGCCAAGACATCCGGTAAAATCTTAATTGAGATATTGGATATTATTATAGAGTTTACTTACGCTTTTCACGCAAGCCGAAACGAGTTGACAAGGTAGTTTGAGTTCAGTTTAATTTATTAAGTAAAAAGTGAATTAATGGCGTTTAAAAATTCATCGCATTACCAAACTGGACTCGAGCAAAATGATATGTGAATGAGATTTGTTCCAAATTTGTTGTTGACAAAGTATCACCTTAGAGGAATAGTGAATCTGAAGTGCTACGTTAATGTCTCGTGTGATAAAATAAAGAAAAGAAGATAGAGGCGAAATGCAGAACACTTCCACTTCACGCTGGCATTCTTTGAGGTAGTGGTACTTATCCGAACGGACCTGCCCATTCGTGCAACTGTTGCACGTCTTGAAATTACCTCCCAGCGTATGATGCACGCGAAAATTTTAAAATTAACTAAATTCGCTTACGATGAACGCAGGCAGAATCTGTAATATTGTCCTCGTAAAATAAAGTACCTGGATGACCGAGATTTGCTTGATAACAATAATAACATATGTTTTTGGGATTTTACGTTCTCTCATCTTTTATAGAACAGTTATTTTTCGATCATAAGTGTCCGAACGCGAATTTGATGTAAAACATTTTTACGAGTGTACATTATAATTATAGACCGTTTTATAGTTTAGATCTAGACCAATGCATTAAATCTAAAGTATAAAACGCGATGATTGTCCACTGCACCTTTGCAAGACGAGGGACGTATCGCTAGTCACGTTGCTTGAAATAAAATCCGGTGAAAAGTAGGTTAAATTCAGTTAAACAGCAACTAAGCGCTTATACTATCATACGAGTATAATGACAACTCCGTGTAGATACTACGCAACCAACCGGTGTAATCTTTCCACATCTCCTCAGTTTTACCGTATAGAAATCATGATGTGTGATTTCTATATGGTTAAACGAAGGAAATTGCCAGTTTAAAGAGAAGGTTGAAACAAGTTCGCATTTTCTTCGCTTGCATTTGTTCGGAGCTGTTTTTATTTAAGTGTAATCTTACTCAGTGCTGGTTTGCATGCAAGATGAAGCTTTAAATATGATTTTAATCTATAAATTGTGAAAAAATTCTCGAAGCTGCCAGGATTTGAACCTACATGTTCTGGGTCATATTCCTAGGTGCTCTAGCCAACTGCGCACGATATCATCATGGCGGAAAAAATCTTGAAAAATGCTTTAACTGTTAAGCTAAATTAAAGCCTAAATCTTACCGTCTTTTATCATTTCATTTCAAGCAATGTATGTCTCATCTATTGTTAATTCCTAAACAATTTAGAATATCATTTACAACGATACGTCGTCCAAAAGGAAATGTCGTCATTGTTATTTGAAATTTAACAAACTATATAATAGAATTAATAGGGGCTTAAAAGAATTGTACTAATTAATATGTAATTGTAAAAATAATTTATTGATTGTTATAAATTATTCCCTTTTTCTGTGTAGAAAATATAATAATGCACTTGTTTTCAAGTCTATAGGTACAAAATGGAGTTCCTTTAGAAGTCTAAATCCCATCCGGAGTTTTCATCTGGCGGCAACCTGTCCTTGGGATATTTTTCAAAGTTACTGAGGTCGTAGTCGTTGGCGACTGGTTGTACAAGAGGCGCCTTTAGTTTCCTGTCGCGTAGACCCTCCCAGTCGAAGCCCAAGAACCACCTGAACGTAAAACGTCAATTAATACGATGATCATCCGAAATCTATTCAAGTGTTTAACAGGATTACTAGCTCTATTAAAGCCCTTTAGTTCTAGAAAGCAATGACTGTCAGTTCAATCAGTTAAACGCAGATTTTAACACCTTTATAGATTTTAACTGTGGTAGGCCACGCAGCATTTTCTGCTTTCGCACGAATAGTTACGCTAGTTCGAGGAAGTGTCACAGCCTCACACATGGCCGGTGTAAAGTATTAGTATTTTATATACTTCTGCTTTTCGTCTGGTGAGTGAGGTAGCCGGGGTCCACGGGTATTCTAGTTCTCAGTGGGTAGCGGTAGTCGCTTTACATCAGGTAAACCATTTGTTCATAAAAAAAAAATCTCTTTAATCGGTTGTATTAGAGAAAAGAGAAAGAATTTTTAGATTAATTTTTAGATAGAAAAAGTATTTTTACTGTACATAGAGAGAAATATATATATATACAGCGTGTCGTTACCATCGCGCTTCGCCCGATAGGAACGCCAGCAATGCTGGACGAAGAGAAAGCCGAATGCCTAGCTGACAGTCTAGAGGCCCAATGCTCCCCCAGCTTGCTTCCGACCCACCCCGATCACCTCCGTAAGGTGAACGAAGAGGTCGAAAGGAAAGCATCGGAACCACTCCGCGATCCCGTTCCCCCGGTCACGTGCTCGGAACTCACAGAAATAATTAACAAACTGCGCCCACGCAAAGCGCCTGGATCAGATGGTATCACCAATAAGGTGACCAAACTTCTCCCTACTAGCATCCTTCAGATACTAGTCCTAATTTACAACGCGGCTATAACCGAAGGCTTCTTCCCGTCCGAGTGGAAAGAAGCTGACGTAATAGGGTTCCTCAAACCCCACAAACCCGCGACCCTCCCAACCTCTTATCGTCCAATAAGTCTTCTCAAAACATTTGGGAAGATCTTTGAAAGACTTATATTAGCCCGACTGAGATCCCTTATGGACGCCAAAGGGCTCCCCGTCCCGGAACAGTTTGGCTTTAGAGCCAAACATTCTTGTAGCCACCAAGTGCACCGCATCACGGAGCACATACTAGTTAAACGCCAACGCGGACTTAACACCGGAGCACTCTTCTTGGACGTGGCAAAGGCCTTCGATAAAGTCTGGCACAACGGGCTCGTATACAAGTTATACGGACTCGAAGTGCCCGATCGTCTCGTATGCATAATACGAGACTTCCTTAGTAATCGGACCTTTCGCTATCGCGTCGAAGGCGTGTGTTCGACAACGCATCCCGTTCGAGCCGGGGTGCCTCAAGGGTCGGTGTTGGGCCCAGTCCTTTTTACGCTCTACACCAATGACATGCCGCGAGTCAAAGATGTAGAACTTGCCCTATTTGCCGACGACACCTGTCTCTATACAGCAGGCAGAACATCTGAAATTATCCATCGACGCCTCCAAGCTGCAGCCATCACCATCGGTGACTGGTTTCGGCAATGGAGGATCGAAATCAATCCCGCCAAGAGCGCGGCCGTCCTTTTTTCGCATAAAAATGTAGATAAACCACCCCCCCGTCAAACTCATGGATAGTCCGATACCATGGGTGAACAAAGTTAAATATTTAGGTGTCGTCCTTGACTCCCAACTAAGATTTAACCAGCACGTGACTCGGGTCAAGAACCGGGCGGCCTTCGTTCTCGGTCGCCTCCATCCGCTCCTCAACAAAACGTCTAAAATGTCCCTTCGGAACAAGGTGACTCTATATAAGGCAGTAGTTCGCCCTATAATGACGTACGCGAGTCCAGTTTTCGCACACATTGCTCCGAAGCAAATTCACCGGCTTCAGGTCATCCAAAATCGATTCTTGCGCAGAGCCACGGGAGCACCCTGGTACATGCGCAATATCGACCTTCATGTCGATTTAGAGTTGCCCACCATCGCTCAATTCCTGAAGTCGGCGTCGCGCCGATACTTCGATTCCGCCGCCGCGCATCCCAACCCGCTAATCGTAGGTGCCGCCACCTACAGACCCCTGCCGCTAGGTACGTTCCGCCGCAATCACCGTAGACCGCGACACGTTCTCGATTTCCCTGACGATGAGACGACTATCGCCATCGAAATTAAAAAACTTAGCAAGCACACCAACACAAACCGCACTCGCCGGCGAGTGCGGCAAACATATACTAGGTTCCGCCACGTACCTGGCAGGTTCTCCCCAGTTCAAGATAGAAGCGTTGCTGGAGTTTCTTCCGCCACTTCTTCTCCCAGCGCCAACGCTTTACGAAGTGGTAGTAATGATAGCTCTAGAGATCCCCCCAGTCAGATAACAGCTACCGATCGAGCCGAGGTCCGGCCCTCTCGGGCACCCTCGAATCGGAATGCTAAACGCGTGCTGAGTGACAGCCCAAGCCGAGGTCCCCTCTCGGGGACCCTTGAGCCAGATCACTCCATGGAGCCCCCGCCAAAGCGCCCTAAGAGCTAGGCGGCCTCCCAAACCGGTGAATTAAATAGCGTGACGGCCCGAGCCGAGGTTCCTTCGGGAGCCCTCGAGCTTAGTCACCATAACGCGTAATAGTAAATACGCGAGGTTCAGGCTAGGCGCCTCGAGCGCCCGGCCACCTCAAGTCCGTCGGATCTGTGAAGGCCCCTAAGGCCAACAGTGGCTCATCCAGCCAAAAAAAAAAAAAAAAAAAAAAAAAAAAAAAAAAAAAAAAAAAAAAAAAAAAAAAAAAAAAAATACCATCGCGACAATAAATGAACACACGTCTAACGCTACTTGCCAATAATCTACAAAATTCTACGGTGGTAGGGCCACGCAGCAGCCTCGGCTGTTGCACGAATGGGCAGGCCCGTCCGGGTAAGTACCACGACCTCACAGAAGACCGGCGTAAAGTGGAAGTATGACAAATACTTTCGCGTTTCGTCTGGTGAGCGAGGTAGCCGGAGCCCAATTTTCAAAAGGTTGTCAACGCATCTGTAACCCTCGAGTGTAGCAGATGTCCATGGGCGGCGGTATTCACTTAACATCAGGTGAACCGTCTGCTCGTTTGACAACTTTTCGCATAAAAAAAAAAAAATCATAAAAAAATATTAACGTTAAACAAAATTCATAATTAAAAAAATATTTTTCAAACAAAGTAATTAAGTGAAAAAGAAACAAAATTTGTAACATTCTATACAACTCGCGCCACAGCGTCGTATTACAAGCCTCTCCTTCTAACAGTATGTTTTGTCTCTTTTAAATTCATTCAACCCATTCATATGCTTTGTGACCTTTACAAATGAACTTTACGTTACGCTTTTATAGGTAAGGGTGTTCTAAAATTCTTTGTTTTGGAAAATTTAATAACCCTGTAAATATTGATGTTTAAAGAATTTAAATGTTTAATGCAACTTTAAAAAGTTATACCCTATATGTGTGTTCATTTATTGTCGCGATGGTAACGACACGCTGTATATTTATGTACTTATAGACGTTAACAGGCCAAAATAAATTATTTTAAAACCACGTGATATTTGATTATTCTAATAAAAAGTAAAAAGATTTAAGTAATGTATATATCAATGACGATAGTTAACACGTCTTTAACATTAAGTAGGCAGATAGGCTTAGATTACCTGTACTATCTATACTATAATAAAAGAGTAGAATCGGCGTGTCTGTACATTGAATATATTTATAAAAAATGAAATAGGGTATCATAAAAAGAGTTATAGGAAACATAAAAACCATTTTTGGAATTTTTGTCTGACTGTCTGTCTGTCTGTCTGTATGTCTGTGCGCGCGTATAAACTCGGAAACTACTTATCGGATTTTGATGTAGTTTTCACTGGTGACTTAAGCGAAGCTTGGGGCAACATCTAGGCTTTGTTTCATCACAATCGGTTCACTCAAACGGGAGATATGGGAGTTCTAAGATTAAAGCAGTGCAGTCGCAAACAGTAATAGTTATAACAGTTACCCAACTACTTGACTAATTTGTCTGGTGTTTTTGAAAGTATTCAAGATTAATTCTATGCAACATTAAAGCTTTGTTTTATTGCAATTGGTTCACTCAAAAAAAAAAGTGAATACTCACAAAACAGGATCGTTTTATGGGGTTTTTGACAGCATGTCAGTACAACTTCCTCGCAATATTTAAGTAATCAGTTTACTTAAACCGAATATAAACGTCATTAGCTACTGGATCCATTGGAACAGTTTTTATTTTTTTTAAATGACATAGTAGTTCCCAATACAAAAAATTACTTTCCATACAAAATGTACTATCAGTTATAAAATTTTAACGACGATAACGTGAATTTTCAGTTTCATAATAAAAAATCAAACTTATTTTATTATTTATTAATAAATTCTTCAATTGATAGAATTACAGTCCAGCATAGGTAAGATACGATAAGGAATTAGTTCCCGTGCAAAAACTATATGGCGTTGTTAAATTCATAAAATGCGCTGTATACATACTTTCACAAGTTAATAAAGGGACAAGGGCCGACCATTTGCATTTTAATAATAATAATGCGAATTTCTTCGATTGAGATTTATACGATAGGTACGATTTTTATATGTATAGATATCTGTCCCTTCCCCCTATTCCACGCGGACGTAGTCGCGGGCAACAGCTAGTATATCATATATGCACTTGTATAACAAGCTTATGGCAAATTATTATACATAATACCGCCGAACACCAGGCCCTAATGTGAGGCAGTGAGGTAACTAAAATATTTATGATGGTTGGCTCATGTCATTGAATTTTAAATTCACGATCACAAATCGCTTCGATGTACGAATCAATAGACAACATAAATAACACGTCTTAGGCGCTCGTAGGTTCGCTTCATGTTTAGTAAGATCAGTACTCACAATAAGCTTTTATTTTTGCAATTATTGATTCCTGCTGACAAAAGATTCTCATTAGCTAGGTACCTCGCATCTGACATAAAACAATAAAATTTAAATATATAATACGGCGTGGTAAATTGATGCTTTTAATTGTGTCACAATGAACACCTCAGTTTGTTACATTAAAATGTTTAAGCTTCTAAACAAAGGAAACAAATACATATATTATAAAGCCTTGTTTCTATACGAGGAATTTTAATTATAAGGCCATGTGAATAGAGTACGTGGTAATAATAACCATACAGCGATGTTGACAATTAATCTTAATTAAAAGCAATAATAATAACATCTATGAAAATTGTTTTAAATTATGACTGATTTTATTCAATGCCTGTGGAATGCAACAGCTGTAAGTTTATCAAGGTCTTTTATTTATATTCAAGCACTTAAACTTTTTGCTTTATTATGTATGGGGCCGTCCATTAAACACGTGAGGCTCGAAAGGGGGGTGAGGGTTTGGCAAAAATCACGAAATATCCGTGTAATAGTAAGATATAACGTGTATTTATTTTTTCGTCAAATGAGCGATCTCTAAACTAAAAAGCGATGTGACCTTGACACGCCGTTACATTTTTATCATGTTCCTTAATTTCAGAATAAAAACTGGACTTGCTTCATACCTGTATTCAATGATATGTAAAAAATTTTAGATAATTTGTAGGTACTAAAAATACACGTGATTTTAGTTAGGGGTTAGTCTTACACCCCCTAAGGGGTTAGTCTTACACCTCACCACTGGGGAGGAGGGGGGTTAAAAAAAGTGCTAAAAAAACATCACGTGATTAATGGACGGCCCCTATAATAAGTTGTACTTTTTATATTTTTGAAATGCACGTTTGTGATGATGGGTTAATTAAAAAGTGAATTGGGCCTTAATTTATCTTTATCGCGTAATACTTACTTGTGGTTCTTAATGTCGACGATGCCATTCTTGAGGTATCCTAGCCTCTCCGCGGGAACGGCGCGGCAGAGTTTGCGGATGAGCATCTGCGCAGACTTGGGCACGCGAGGGTGGAACGCGATGGCGTCGATGCCGCGCAGAATGAGGGTGTAAGTCTTCATGTGGTCACCACCAGCGGCGCGGAATGGCGGCTTGCCCACTAGCAGCTCGTGGATAAATACCCCCAGCGCCCAACAGTCGACCGCTCGATCGTGGCCCTGGTAAAAAAAGGTGATTTACTATGGTAGAGCAACAACGGACATAACGTCATGTACGACCAAGACCATTCGCCCATGGAAATGCTATGGTCTAAAAGAAGCCTGGCAAACAATAAAATTATTTACACTTTTAGGTCTCATCAGACATGTAACCGAAGGCGAATACTCTTTTTGCAACTCTATTAGATCATCTCCGTTGTTGTAAATTTCCATAGCGTCAACAAAAGTTGCCACTAATAAAGCACCCTGTAATAAATTTACATGTGCGTGCGAGCATTTTGGGGGAAATGTGTTACTCAGAAATATCCGTCAGCTATTAACATCTTTCTTAATATTCTGTTTTCAAGCAGTGATTTCAAACTGATTATCAATTAATTATTTCCTTAGTTTTCCTTAGTTAGTTAGATTTATTAAGGGACGTTAAACATTTAAAACATGTTTTTTATAATGTTCCTAGTTTCATCGTATTAAAATTGCACTAAGGTACGTCGCAATAAAAAATAACATAAAAAGGATTATTATTAGTCGTGATCTATTAATTCCCCGTGGCATAGCGTGACCACTTGCGGCTTTATGCCAGAGGATCGGAAATTGGAACTAGGCCGCAAGGCCTCGTAGGTTTCGCAATTTCTGCATAGAATCTTATAAAATTATATTTTATTTAAAATAAGCCTATTGCATCAGTAACTTATTGTTAAAAACGTAATATTATTGATTATGTTCATTAAATCGTTATTTAAATTACCACTAAACTTCGATGCGAAAATTTTCCTAAGCTTATGATAATATACATTTCTAAGATCACCTGTAAAATAATTAAGTTTATATCTGGACAGTACACTTAATACTCACCTTGTTTAAAACAATTTCCGGTGCTACGTATTCTGGCGTACCAGCAAAAGTCCAAGTCTTACTATTTTGAGAAATTCGTTTAGCAAATCCAAAGTCCACCTAAAAGATAAAAAAATATTAACTTTCAAATATGTATACAGGGAGATTTTTTGAGAAGTGCCCAAATTTACACTGGAGGTTTAGACTCCGTAGTATAACCGTTTATTGAAATAAAAAACAAAGTTTTTTTTCCAAAAAAAAAAATGCCATTCTATTCCCTAAAAAACAGAACGAAAAACAGTTGACAATGCGGTAGTCATTCATAAATACCTAAATTTTACTGTGCACGAACTTGTGTGCGTGTTAGTTATGAATGATCAAATCACGCACTTTTTGAGATGAATGTAATTAATTATTTACGACTGATTTTAAATATTTATCATTTTTATATAACATTAATTATGTCTAGAATTTAATTAAAAAAAAATGGATACACTTAGAAATGCCACCCTGTATTGTAACAAACTCAGTCTCATTTGGTGCAGTTGTTAGTGTCTTCTATGTCGCAGATCATGCATTCAATTCCCACACGGGGAAAGAAAAGCTGAAATATAAATCATCTGTGTGCGGGAGCAACTTTTAATTACTTCGGTTCTGTGTCTAAGGGACTAAATTGTTATTATAATAAAAGCAAATCGTTGCGGAATTTTATTGTTCTCTATATATCAAAGAACAGCTTGGAAAATTAAACACAGTTTTGGTCCCTAGGGTGCCCCGCACTGGAATTGAACGAGCGATATGTAATTGAAAGTGGAAATAATCGATGCAACGAATGAAGTGGTACCAGTTTGATGTAGCCATTTTTATCCAACATTAAGTTTTCAGGCTTAAGATCTCTGTAGATTATGTCCTTTGAGTGAAGGTATTGAAAAGCTTCGATCACACATGCTGCCATGAACCTTGCGATGTTCTCAGGGAAGTAACGCTGCTTTTGAAGGATTGTCCACACATCGCCACCCAATACGGGCTCCATTAGGAAATAGATAAATTTGTTATCTTTGAAAGTGCGATATAATCTGTAACAAATAAATTAAATTAACTAAACATAATGAAATGTTTAAGTAATGAGAAATGAGTAACCAGAAAAAGCCCAATAATTGTTTTATTGTGTTAATACAAATTTCAAATTGTCAACACAATCTGTTAGTTATCTAATCTCTCTTCAAAAGTATTCCCCGAATGTTGTGCTGACGTAAGATGGACGTTTTGATAGTTAAATCGTAATAGACTTATTTTAACGATCAATTATACATATATATAAATGTCATGACACATATGCAATTATGCAATACCAAATATAACATGGTCATCATGATATTTGTTAGTTGTTGCCAGCAGACGATGATTACTTTTTATCCACGGTGTATTGAAAGTTTTTTTACTAGATTTTGAAATAAATAAAAATCCATTGGGACGTAAACTCACCTGCATATGAATGGACTGTTGCATAGCATCATGATGTTCTTCTCGTTGTAAGCGTGCTCCTGTTGCTGTTGCTGGACCATGTCGACTTTTTTGAGGCATTTGAGGGCAAAAGTGAGGGAGGGCTGTGGCTTGTACTGCACCAGCTCAACCCGCCCAAAACCTCCAACACCCATTGTGCCCACTATTTCCAAATCCTTAAGCTCCACAAATTCGTACTCTGGAATTGGTACCAACTTTACATTAACAACTAATAATTATAAATATTGCTTAGCCGTTTATGTCAAATAGACGATTATGGAATTAAAAAAAATATATCTATAACATACCGCTTTTGACTTCAGACGTTTTTTTTTGCTGCGACGCTCTTGGTACGGCATGCCTGATGTTTTTCAATTCTTCTAAATTACCAAGCAATTCAGTAAATGGCCTGCCAAACGTTAATGTAGTGTTAAACAACAGTACAAATGTCGAGGCAAGAGACGAAAACGCGAACGAACGAAAAGAGATGCGTGGGACACAAAGGTGAATTAAATATTTTTACGCTTTTGAAACGCTACTTTTACGTTTTGATTGAAAACTGTAATGTAAAAGCGGAAATGTCTTCGTAATTACATCCTTCAATCCTTAAGAATAATTATATTCTCCACTTCATACGATTATTATCGTATGAAGTGGAGAATTTGACCCGGTGGCGCAATCGCTAAGCGTCGATGTCGAGGGTCGTGGTCGTAGAAATACTTTAATTCTATTATTTACATAAAATTTCATGCTTTATCTTTATTGCAAAGATTTGCACTATAAGAATTTAAAAAATAACAAGGGCGACATCTCTTCGCGTTCAAGTTATTATTGTACAACGATATATGAAATTGTTTGTCTGCTTTAAACGGAGATAACAATGGATGCACTAATAATGCGAAAAACCGATGTAGGTAAAATACGTTGAGCTTTTTGCGGGTGTGGCAATCAGCCGTGGCTTAGTGGCGAAAGAGTCTGAGCGCAAATCCGGAAGACGCGCGATGGATTTCCGCAGCGGCGAAAGACTTTTCGTCTATTTTCAACCGACTTCAAAAACGGAGGAGGTTCTCAATTCGACTGTAATTTTTTTTATGTTTGTTACCTCAGAATTCGTGAATTGCGTGAAAGTTTCGATTTTGATGATTCTTTTGTTATTTGAAAGTTGGTGCCGTCAATGTGATTCCATATACTTTCATTGGTATTGGATCTTGGGTTCCGAAGATGGGAAGGGAACTCCAGAAAATCAATTGTAAAATGAATACAGACCGAGATATTTGAAGTCGGTTTTGTTTTTCGTTAGTAAAAAAATTTACTTGTTCCTAAAAGTTTCAATGTTACCCGTACCCTCTCTCCAGCGTCAGGCATTCGACTCCCGGCGGTAGGGCTGTGACGGTCGCGAGGCGCCTGTCCTCATGGAGCAACGCCTGCTCGCCAAAGTAGTCTCCGCGGCGCAACGTGCCCACCCGCCTTCGCCTCCGTCGCCGTCACGCTTCGTCACGGCGACCGTGCCGCCGCGGATGATGTAGAACTTGTCACCTCGATCGCCCTGACGCACCACGGCGGTGCCCGTCGAGAAGAACTCCTGTTCGCGGATTATCAAGAACCTCTTCTAATGAGATCTGAGTAACCGGCAGAGGCACTAGTTGCGTAATTGTCACGACTAAACATGTGAGAGATTTTTCTTGCAAATGTAAAGATCAGTCCCCTGTATTTAGTTGAAGATTTTGTGTTTGCTTACTGTGTTCCGAAAGCTACGAGTATAAGCAATAATTTCACAGCATCGAATTATTGCACTAGAAGACATAGAAATACTGTTTGCTGTTCATTTTCATCATATTCATGTTTATTACTTCACGTAAAACATAAATCAGTTGACAGAAATTTTAATCTAACTTTCTAATCAACTTCCATACCGGACTTTTCATTATTTTTATTACATATCTGCTAATTAATGCTCAAATTCTAAGCGTAATGAAAACAGTACATTCCGACTCAATCTAGATAACTTTATCATTGAAATCTAATCATACGCACCCTTTTAAGAAAGTCTGAAATTTTTGCAAGCTCTATCGGATGTATTTCACGCAATAGAGGAACGGAAGCGAGAAATCGGATGTTGTCTTCTTGCTCCTGCCGTCCGCTTCTTACCATAATCTTTTGAAACACCCGTCGCTCTAGCATCCATACTTTGGCCTCGGTTATACCTGACATTAAAATTTTCTTCAATTATTTTGTTTTTTCATTCGTGTTAAAAAAGATTGTTTATCTTGCAAGTTTATCAAGACTTTCTTCAGTTGCTTATCAAATTTATGCAATTTTAGCGAGTGAATCAAAAGATTCTTATAACTAAAAATGGCCATAAAAGATGACTCTTTTGTAAATTTAATGTTATAAACAACTGACGACTGTGAACAAGAAGGATTAAATAATTCATCATCAGCAGATAAAGGGAACTTTACCGGTTAATGTACGTAAATACTGTTTGTTATTGTATATTGTTGTATTGACTCAAAACAGCGACCATAATCTAATCTATGTTTATTGCTAACATGTTTATTGGTAACAAAAGAGAAGTTTAAGTGTTTCACAATATTTTTAAAACTTCTAAACCTAGATACTTACATCTGATTGAGGCAAAACGTTTAGCTTTGTACAAGATTGCTAGTTCCCCGAAAGCCTCACCAGGTCCAAAGTTTTTTACCACCTGGCCTCCTTTGAGAACCTCAAACTGGCCGTGGGCTGAAACATACAAGTGGCTGCCGCTCTCTCCTTCACGTATCATTAGGCTGCCAGCTGGGAACTCCTGAGGAGTCATGGCTTCGACCACTGCTTTAAGCCGTTCTTCATCCATTAAGTTCTTCAAAAATTCATTTGCCATGATCGCAGATTTTATTTGGGCGACCGCTCTAAAATGTATAAACGGTATTATTTATTAAAAGACTAACGGCACTGGGATAGTTAAAAGCTCGAGAAATTTGCGATATTCAGTAACAAATTATGTTTGAATTAAAATAATTAAATAGAATAACTTAATGTCATGGATTTTACCCATAATTCAATTAAATAAATTAAAAAAGATCGTATAAATACCACTAGGCAAGTGTAACAAGGCCGGTTAAATGTAGTCAACCGAGAGAGATTTTATATTGCATTTTAATGTTTTCACCTACCTGTCATCTTTCTCAAACTTTTCATACTGTAAGTCTATGCTCGAACGTACAGTGTCTACAACTGCATGCGGGGCGATGACACCTCTCTTACGCCTCCCTCGCTTCTCCGGATCGGTTTGCATTAGATCCGAGATTGTTTTACGACCTGCGCTACTCTTCCTGTCGTCTGTCTCTTCACTATCCGAATCTTTACTGCCTGTCGATTTTCCGCTTTGTATGCTCATGTAACTTGATTTCTTACTAGATATGCCCGGATCAACGGAAAGCGTAATGCTTTTTTTGTAAATAAATCCATTTCCATTAGAGATGGCATCATTTGTTTGTGCGGTGTCAACAATTGCTTCTGGTAGTTTCTGTTTGAGAGAAAAATATGTAGGTTTGTTATTTTATCGCAATTGGACGCGCCAATAACGGTAGATCTCTTCGATAGAATTTGGTGGACTGTATTGGTACATACAATAAGCAGAGCTAGGAAGGTGGGTGAGGTGCACATACAAACCTTGCGACGGCAGCAAGGCGCTCGCGCTCCCTGGGTTGGCAACTAACACCGGCGAGCACGCCATGTAGTTCGGTACACGCATTTTGTAGTGTTAAATAAGTGGCTGGATAGCCACACTCCACACTCTCGACGTATTGTAATCGCGCAAGGGTGCGACACATCTTTAGGAGCGTTACTAGTACTCAATGTCCGGGATAATTAAATATATTGAGGAGCGCAATATCACTCGTGCGGTTGCGGGATAACAACTTTCTAAAACTATTGTCGCTGCGCGGCGATGGCGACGCCTTAGGCGGCAATACGTGCAATAGGATGAGTAAGGTAAGGGAAAGGTAATGGATGTATGAACCATATATTTATTTAATTATTAAATGATGTTTAATTGTCGTTACCAGCAATCACATATAGATTATAGATTCTAGGACACCTTAAATATAATTTTCTGTACAAACACATTAATGCATTAATATTTTTTTATTCTTTGAGAGTGAAGTAGAACTTCTCGAACGATTGAACATTTTGATTTTGCCACGAAATTTCCTTCTTACGTATCATTTTTCCTCTCGCTATCTTGCAATCTGTGGAAGGAAGCCGGGAAAGCACGACCTATTTGATTTGATGATAAGCTCGCGCGGAGCTGGAGGTGGTTATCACTTGATACCAACAAATTTTTTGAGAGGTTGGTACTGTCAGCCATCAGCTGTGCGCTTAACGCACAGTATGGTGTTATAAAACTATAGCAATAAATGTATTAACTGTTGATAATGTGTCTGAAAAAATTACAGATCTATTCTACATCTGAGACTCTAAAGAAAGTATCTTCTGAAATCGTACTTGAGTCATCGAATTCAGAGAGTTGACTTGAATGGCAAAAGATGGCCTGGGGCTCTGGTAAATAGGGGGCCCACAGGGATATACTTTTGGGCATTTTTTTTCTTCCTCATTTACATAAATTACCTGCCTTATCTAGTAAATAATATTCATGAGATAGTATTTTTTGCTGATGATACCTCTTTAATTTTTAAACTAAAACGACGTTCTTTAAAGTATGACGATGTTAACAATACTCCATCCAATGAAGAAAATTAGTTTAGTGCTAACAATTTAATGTTGAATAATAAAAGAACTAAATGTATTATATTTACATCTTTCAATGTGAAACATGTAAAAATGATGTACTTTTCTATAGGGAAGCGCTTGACCCTATTGACTCCACTGTATTCCTTAGCATAACTATTGATCCCAAACTGCAATGAGGCCCCATATTAATAAGCTGGTGAGTAGAATAACCATTCGCGGTTAAAAAAATAAGACAGTCGACTGATGTATATACGGCTCCCTTTGTATATTTTAGCTATTTCCACAGTACAATGTCTTATGGCATTCTACTTTGCGGTAATGCGGCCGACATAAGGTATTGACTGTTGCTTCTCAATACATTTTTGATAATGTTATGTATGTAATTTTTTTACAACAAAATCCCAGAAAACGTTCAAAATGCATCAATAACTAAATTTAAAAAAGTTTTAAATTGATCGCTCTAGGCTTTTATTTTGGCTCAATGAGCCACTGTTGACCTTAGGGGCCTTTACAGTTTCACGCTATTATTTTCACCGGTTTGGGAGGCCGCCAAGCTCTTACGGCGCTTTGGTGGACTCTCCATGGAGTGACTAGGCTCAAGGGTTCCCGAGAGGGGTCTTCGGCTTGGGCTGTGACTCATTACGCGTTTAGCATTCCGATTCGAGGGTGCCCGAGAGGGCCGGACCTCAGCTCGATCGGTAGCTATTATCTGGCTGGGAGAATTTCTAGAACTACCGCTTCGTAAAGCGTTGGCGCTGGGAGAAGAAGTGGCGGAAGAAACTCCAGCAACGCTTCTATCATTAACTGGGGAGAAAGGGCCCAGGTACTTGACGGAACCTAGTATATGTTTGCTGCATTCGCCGGCGAGTGCGGTGTGTGTTGGTGTGCTTGCGTAGTTTTTTTTTAATCCATTCGATGGCGATAGTCGTCTCATCGTCAGGGAAGTCGAGAACGACCCCCTGATAGCGAGGCCCCGAGTGGCAGGCATGGGGGCGTCTGCTGCTGCACATGGGGCTCGTGAGGAGTGCTGTGCTAGTTGCACCGGCACAGCACTAATCATTAAGCAGACCTGGGTGGCTTAGCACCCGTGAAGAGGAGGTCTAAGAAGGCCAAAGTCGTGCCGGGGTCGCAGAAGATTGCGTCTTCGTGTTCCCGTGTCCCTGGCTGATGCGACAGAGACAAGTGCAACGTGTGTTTTTTAGTGGGTACCCGTTTCTGACTGGGACTCCCACATACCCCAACCCCTCCCCCATCTGGTGGCAGGGGAACCATAAAGAATTTTTCCCACGTAAAAAAAAAGGGAAGTCAGAACGTGTTGCGGTCTGCGGTAATCGCGGCGGAAAGTACCTAGCGGCAAGGTTCTGTAGGTGGCGGCACCTACGATTAGCAGATTGAGATGCGCTGCAGCGGATTCGAAGTATCGGCGCAACACCGACTTCAGTAATTGAGCGATGGTGGGCAGCTCTAAATTGACATGTAGGTCGATATTGCGCATGAACCAAGGTGCTCCCGTAGCTCTGCGCAAGAATCGATTCTGAATGAACTGAAGCCGGTGTATTTGCTACGGAGCAATGTGCGCAAAAACCGGACTCGCGTAAGTCATAATAGGACGAAGTATTGCCTTGTATAACGTCACCATGTCCCGAAGGGACATTTTTGACGTTTTGTTGAGGAGCGGATAGAGGCGACCGAGTACGAAGGCCGCCCGGTTCTTGACCCGAGTCACGTGCTGGCCGCATTCAAGTTGGGAGTCGAGGAAGACACCTAGATATTTGACTTTGTTCACCCATGGTACCGGGCTATCCATGAGTTTAACGGGGGGTGGATTAGGTACATTCTTTTTGTGTGGGAAAAGGACGGCCGCGCTTTTGGCGGAATCGATCTCGATCATCCATTGCCGAAACCAGTCACCGATGTTTATGGCCGCAGCTCGAAGGCGTTGATGGATCAATTCTGGTGTTCTGCTTGTGGTATAGAGACAGGTGTCCTCAGAAAAAAGGGCAAGTTGAGTAAGAAGCCTTCGGTTATAACCGCGTTGTATATTATTACTAGTATCTGAAGGATGCTAGTACTACTATCCTAATATGGAGGAGTTTGGTGACCTTATTGGTGATACCATCTGAGCCAGGCGCTTTGCGTGGGCGTAGTTTTTTGTCTGTACTAGTTCGGAGCACGTGACCGGGGAAACGGGATCGCGGAGTGGCTCTAAAGCTTTCCTTTCGACCTCTTCGATCACCTTACGGAGGTGTTCGGGGTAGATCGGTAGCGGATAACATTATTCTGTGTTCTAAGGACGTTTTACAAACATAAATTTCAAGCGGACAAATACCCAGATGCGAAACAACTGTCTGTGGATCGCACAAATAGTTGTAGTAGTAGTAGTAGTTGTTTGATTTCTGAGTTTCTTTCGCCGGTTCTTCTCAGGTATTGTTTTCCGAACCAATGATAGTATTTTGAATATTAATAAGTGACCTATGTTGAGCAAGAATTCGTCAATTTATTACACGGATATAATAAGTCAATAATTTCTTTGCAATCAACAATTCCTTAAAAACTTTAATTATAATTTAAACCTAAAAATTGCATTGAATTCCCAAACTATATTATTTGTATTACAAGCGTCAATTACAATAATAGTTTAAAAAAACTAAAAAACACGCTTTTGTAGATAACCGAACTAAAATTTTTAAATAAATTTTAATTATGTATGTGTTATAAATTTAATATCATTTTATAAAAAGCGTAGGGTGCTTTTTAAGATATTTCCATTATGAGTCTACTTTAGTTCAGTTATCTACAAAGGCGTGTTTTTTAGTTTCTTAAACATTTTTTAAACGCGTACTTGGCACAAGGAGACTACCGGGTGTCGGATTTGGAAAATGGTTAATCCCGAAGATCCTGACCAGGATAATGGGAAAAGCTAATTAAGTTAATGCATTTTCAAGGGCCTTGACCTGTGTGAAAAGTTTGAGTCAAATCTGATCGTTCAAAGTCAGGCGATTAAATATTCCCGTTACATTCATACACGTGAAACTAATATAAGCGTGTTAAAGAATACAATTATGATTAAAATAATTATTCTACATTACAAATTCCTTTCATATAATACCTGAATCATTTATTTCAGGATAAAATGTTACTTATAACCAAGATGAGATGTCAGATATTACATATTTTATGCGACTACTGTAAGACTCGCTCGTATTTTTTTTAATTCTATTTTAACCTAAGCTTTTTAATAAAAAATATAAATTTGGAAAGTGTTGGCTAGATAATAATTTTCTATTCCTTTTTTTTATGTGAAAAGTTGCCAAAGGAGCAGACGGTTCACCTGATGTTAAGTTAATACCGCCGCCCATGGACATCTGCTACAGTCGAGGGTTATGAGATGCGTTGCCAACCTTTTGAAAATTGGGCTCCGGCCACCTAACTCACCAGACGAAACACGAAAGTATTTTTTTTTAAATTAAAAATATCTTTATTCACATAGGCGCTTGCGCGTTCTTATGAAACGTCGAAATTTACAAGGAAATAAATTTGTCATACTTCCACTTTACGCTAGCCTTCTGTGAGGTCGTGGTACTTACCCGGACGGGCTTGCCCATTCGTGCAACAACCAAGGCTGCTGCGTGGCTCTACCACCGTAAAAACTACTTATTAAGTTCATAATATCTTACGCTTTAATTCGTACTTTTTAAAACATTTACGTAAGTAAAGCATGCTGTGGTTACATTTATAATTATAATTGTGCACTTAGTTATACATATTAAATGAAACTAGTTTACGGATTTTATCGCGTTTTTAATTTTGATTTGAACTCCCGACGTCTCGAATCCTTTCCAGCGTTCATGGTCACGGGAAAGACTAAGTTATAGTTAAGACAATACTTATTTATATTTTAATAGTGTACGAACTCCTGGTAAACCTTTAATAACATTTTTTACTTAATATTGTGCGGAAGGACGATTGTACGCGAGAAGTAAACAAAAAGGCTTTATTTCTTTTTAAATCGAATCGAATTATCTTAATTAGCGATAATATCATAAAATATTTTTTTCTATAAACTGGTCGAAAATTATTTCACCAACTAGGTAGTAGTTATGATTGATAACATTTAAATTCCTGATATGTATCTAATAAATAACGATCTAAGATAATTTTTGTTATCTTGTGTAAATATATTTTTCATGTGATACACAAGAAAATGAGAAAACGCAAACCTATTCTTCACTTTCATAAAACGTGATTATTAATAGATACCTACTTAATATAAACATAAATTTTAGCTTTGGATTATTATATTATGGTCGTAATAGGTCGTAAGGGACTGGACCATCGAGTTTTTAAACTTTCTATGAGCATGGAATTTTCAAGTCGTCAGAGAGATAGCAAAAGGTCATCGAGCAAAATGGAAAATACATTATAGCTTATACTTCATTCCAAAAAATCGTTATATTTCATTTAACAAATCCCCAATGACTTAGTTGCCAACCTAATAGTTTTTTTGTCGGTTTGTGCCATTTTATTAACTCTTGTGCTTTTGTGAAGGTGATATTTTAAATTATTTCTTAAACTCATTATGATTTCAGTGCATTTGATACTTTTTAATAATATACTGTTATAATCACGGGGTTCACGTATTGAATCATGAATGTTAAGATCCCCTATATTTCTTTTTAAATTGATTTTCTCGATTGAAATTGAAAATTTATATTTATTTTTAAATTGTGTAGCATCATCGTCAGCCTGTATTAGCGCTCTGCTGGGTATAGGCTTCCTCTTCCTTGTACCATTTACCTCTGTCTGGAGTGGATAGTTAGAATATATTCGATGTCCAATTATTAATGTAGAGTAATGGAAAGTTCATTTTCGGGAATTTTCTATTAAAGAGACGATTGAAATTCAGCCCCGATTCCAGAATGTATACAAAAAGACGATCGAAAAAATTACTTTGATTCTAAAATGTTTTAGATATAAAGACATTCGAAATTCGGCCTGTAAAATGCGCCCGGTGCGCACTGGGCGAGTTGTTCAGTGAAGGAACTCGAAGAAGAAGAAAAGGAAAAGTGAAGTAAGCAGTGTAGTGAAAAATGTAGTGCAAATGTGAAAAGGTGTAAAGGCTTCCGAGGTCATTGACGTTCCTATTCAAATTGAAACGAGTTATATAACTCCTTATCCTCTACAATCCGTTATTTCAATGTTACGGGACAGAGGTTTATAATCCTAATGTTATAGTTAACCAGGTCTATCGTCAATTATTTTATTCCGATCTTAGCAAAAACAGACCATCTTGTGGCCTTTTAGTCTTGGTGTGCCTGGATGTCATTTTGATAAAATACAGGATACAAAGCTGATGAGGATGATGAATAAAGAATTTAAAGCAAATTAAAATGCAATAAAATAATTTTATTAGTAGTAACCGAATTTATTGTAGTCATTAGACCAGCCATTAAATCAAGGGTTACGGTATTTAAGAATTAGAAATCAATGACACTGAAAATGTTGATAATTAAGTAAAGATAAACACACACGTTTTTTTACAATCATACTTCAGCCCAGATTTACCTATGCTTATCGCAAAAAATAGAGTTTATCAGTCCTGGACCTTGATTTTTACATACCATACCAAACGCGAGATCTTTTTAATTAATTTATTTGTTAAATTTAATTAAATAAAACCTTAGTCAGCAATACAAGTATTATAAATTACGCTTTTACGTATAGGTATTAGAAAAGACATTCATCGTACTTGGTTGTTTCAGATAAGACTACATAAAAACTAACATAATTTTCACGACAACCTTGTGTTCGTCAATTATATTTTCGAACAACAACTCTCGCAATTTGCCAGTACTCAATCTGAAATATTTGCACTGCTGTCGGAATTAAACAATATCTCCTGACCCAGACAACACTTCTGAAGTAAATATGTTTTGATGTTCACAGCAAAGCCTCGCCTATTGTAAGAACCAGTTAATCTAGGGTTTCATTATGACAACAGACTGCAGCTTACAAGTTTTAAACATTATGATTATCACATAATCTTAATTGTATGGAAACTAAACTATTAGCGCGGAATATACTTTGTTCTCTAAACATAATTCTTCTCATTCCTTCTTTTGAGGTTTACCCCATCAGGTTAATGTTATAATTAACATTTATTGTAAATGCTCAAGTTCATATCCGTATAAAGGACTGGTTTCGTCTCAAAATGACAAAGGACGACGTAGGAGATACCTTTTATATTGTCAAATATACTTACGCTGATTGTTTCGCGTCGCTCGGGCGAGCTCTCCGCTGTCGTTGCATTTGTTAAATTAAACCCACCCCTCGACGACCAACGGAACGGAGGGCACAGAACCATTATGCCGGCAATTCTTCAGTTAATTATACGCAAACATCACAATGAAGGTCGACAGCGCTGCGTTTCGGCCACCGCGTCGGATTCGACTGCACGGTCTGCGCACGGGCAGCCTTATCGCGGAGCTAGATAATCTAGCCGTACCGATTGTTTTAATTATTCTACACCAAAGAACGATTATTATTTATCATCAAAGAGTGTTGCAATCTTATCGGCACAAATAACATTTATCATTTTCACCCAATCACAAATATTCGTACCGCCACTATAGGTACATCTCGCCGTGTCGAATCCCCGCAGCGCTGTGGCCAATTGCAGCCAGTCATCGGCGTTTTAACCGTTTATTATAATTTTTTTAATGACTTTCAAAAGAATTTAAGATAAAAATGAAAGAGAGTTCTAATTGATACAAAGCGTAGTGGAGATCATGCATGAAATTATACTAGGAGGATAGTTATAGAAACGCAAATCAATCCATACTATAATTTATTAATAACGTAAATGAGTACACAACGCCAAAGGCTTTAAATGATTTACTTCATTCAACATTTCCCATTTGAAAAAAAAAATATATTTACATTTAAAAGAGGAAAATCAGCTCTGCAAATCTAATATAAAATCGCCACACGAAAAAAAAAATGATTTTCTATTCAATATTCACTTTATCACAAATCGCACGAAGGAGCTTGCTGTGCACTCGGCCCGAAAATTTTCTCTTTCATTTCTGTAAACAGAAAACCGCACAGTCCCCGAGAGCAGGCACCCGTAACAACGAAACGTGCAATGAGTTCATAAAAACGTGCCGAACGGAAGACATTCATCATGTAACAAACGTGGGTACTTGAACAATCATCTCACATTATTAAAAACCATTTACCTCTCAACAACATACAAATAGGGAAATTGAGCATGTGTGTATATAAGTGGGACATATCATACAAGTGGGACGCAACGCACGCAGGTCGTTTAGCGGCGCACGGCGATTGGCTGATCGATCAATCGAACGATCTAGAAATATATAACTGGTCCTGGCGACGTTCGCCTGAGCGATCCGGCCATCGACGTGCTATTCGGCCACCGAATACCGCAGTGCCTGCCGCGTGGTGCTACATCGAACGGACGCATCACTACAGGCGACCAAACAAACATCGGCGCGCGAACAAAACTAGCAGTCAGCGCGAAAAATTACAGCGAAAGTTTCGTCGAGACGCGAGCGCGACAGAGATAGATGATACCGGGCGCACCACGGCGTCCGGGGCGTCGTAGTCCACAACGTGCGTGCGCCTCGTCATGGTACGTTCGCGTTACGCTCTACAGACTTGCCGCAAGGGACGATTACGTGCAATGCTATACACGAGGGTGTGGGGGGGAGGAGTGGCGGTCTCAACTACTGCGGATAGTACACGCAAGACAGTATACGTAGACAACACTAATATACTACACTAACAGAACGGGCGTCGACGTGTGCAATTGACGAACAAGTGATACTTAACTCACGCTACGTTAACAATACCGACCCACGGGGTTAAAAAAATTATACGCGAACACGCGGCGTCGACTCCGCCGATAACACTATATACAGTTGTGGCTTCGTAACACAAGTCATCGGTAGCATGACGCCGCCGGCGCGGCACCGCCCACGCTGGCGGCGCCATTTTCTTTTCTCTATTTCGACCCTAATTACATATTATGCGTATTAACTATGAATAACAACTTGTTCATCACCCGATGGGCACATTTTTTTTATAAAGCTATATCGATCGAAAAAATTTGTGCACAGCGTAAAGAAATGAATATAGTATGAAGATTTAATTTAACATCTCATAAAAACCGAGAAACAAATTGTGTTACAAAATACATAATATTATCCTTAATTTAATGATTATTATATTTATAATACATTGATCTTGGCGATTCCTTTTCAAAATCTTATTGTAGCACACTAACCATTTTGTCAGATATGTCATTTAAATTCAGATTTTTCTCCAAGTAACAACAGTTTGGCTTAATTTATGAAATCTCTATAAAAACTTAAGTAATGCATTTACTTAGTATGATTTCCCTTTACAATTTCATTAAAATCGCCTATAAAACATTTTCAATAACGCAATACAAATTATTGGTTTTAGTATTAAGAATAGGGAGTAATCGAGGCGATTTTTGACACGAAGCTTCGAATTAGTCTAAAATACTAATGAACTATCCGCTCATCGCACTAACTAGTTATATATCGAACAATCTAAATAAAATAGCGAAATCGCCCCATCAAAATACGCCTCGTTTACCCGTCTCGTAAAATAGATGGTTTAAACTTGCAAAAAATCACTTTACCTTTGTGACTCAGTTCCATTTAAAATACATATACATATTTTATATTTTTTACAACTAAAAGGCGAATCATCGAATCCAATCACATGTACTTCACTTTATGTACTTAGATGTATAAAAATTTGCATTTAAAAAAGTAACTTAAACACGGTAGTGCCTAAAAAACTATTAATTCCTAAAATTATACATCCACACATGAGTATTTAGCGATAAAGCACAAAAACATTGTTCGAAGAAGCTGCAACATGACTAATGTTACGTTCAACTATAATTGTAACTTATAATAAGAAGCCAGTGGCACTAAAAGGTGAGTGAAATAATTCGTAATTCATAAAATCAGATATGACACGAGAAAGCTTAAAAAATAGACGAATTATATAAAACGTACAAGAGCCCCGCATTCCGCAGCTATCACATGAAACCTTTACGAGGAAAGCACCCTTTTCATTAAACATTAATTGTGCGAACAAAGACTAGAAAAATCTACAAGACGAGAACTGTCATGGATCTGTTGAACTGAATAAGAACGGTGCGCAGGCCGGACTAAGATGGCGGCGGCACGCCTTAATTCCATAAATAATTAAAGCTATCGCTGCGGACGACGCCACGTTGTCCGATATGCGCACTAGTTACACGAGACGGCACATTGACTCATCCATCAATAACAAACACATTATTGATATGTTGGCGACGACACACTCACTGAACTCGCTGTTAGAACTGTATAGAAACTCCTACGTAAAGGTCTGAAATATAGCAGACGACGCTAAATACATATACCAACTGCATAGGTAAACCGAAATAAAAACAGAACAACATACTGTTGCAAGATTCTTGAATACAGAGAATAATTATTTGGTGCCAAAAAAATGGCAAAAGCGTTAACTAATTTCAGATCTGTTTATAACATCGTTATAAAACGATTATGGCGAATATAAACAATTTATATTTAAAAAAAGTAAAAAAAATGTAAACGGACACGAAACGAGTAATAAAATTAGAGACGGTAAAAAATCGTATGCCTTAAACGATCTATGTATGACTGATAGACTTTTTAAGTTTTTCCAACTGAAAGACTATTAAATCTATTGAGGGGAAACCAAACGACATGCAATTGCTCCGAATACGAATGAATCGATGGGTATTTTGTGCTTTGGTATAAACGTTGAGCGAATCATAGATAGACGTTACAATACTTTACAATTCTAATGAGAATGTTAGATCTAAGTTTACGAAGTCTAAAGGGTTGGACCCGTACGCATATTGTTCGACCGAAACGATGCTACATCAACAACTGTTGCAACGACCTTGTTGCATTCGAAACATAATTACGAGGAGAAATCTCAGTGATATGTAACAACTCCATTTAGTGAAACTCTCTTATATACTACACCTAAAGCGTTAAGCTACATTTAAATGGTAAAATTAGATTTATAACTAGCGACCGAGAAATCGATTCGAACAACGCACGTGAGAAATGCAAAGCTAGACTTTTGACGCGTTGGGGAAGCGGAAGGAGGGGGAGGGGGCGAAGGCAATGAACGCTTATTTATAGCGCGCGACCGCAAAACATGGCGGCCCTTCAGTACGACCTCAAAGCTACGCTGCGGCGAAATTAACTCAGCACGTTGCAGCGAAGCCCATGCATGACTAATACGAAATGTACGAAAGGTAACCACTATAAGACAGTATGAGTTAGTAACAACCAAAAAAATGGCACCGCATTGCTAATCGCACCACGCAACTGGTTATTAATTATTAATCTAACAACAGTAATAAACACCCGGATTGACGGGATGTTTTTTACTAAAGTGCATTATTCGACCACCTGTTCACAACAGTCTTGTCTATAGGCGACGTTTAAAAAATAAACTGAACCATCGTCTCGCATTGTGGAGTATCCAAACGCCTAAACGGTAAGGAGTATGTAATTAGTATAGGTACGTTAAAAACTTATAGATTTTACAATAATAATTGTTAAAATTCAATTCTATAGACAATTTCACGAGGTTCGTTTCCTGCATGTTGTAGAAAATTAGCTCGAGCTTTTTTATATTTGTTTCAAATATTTACAATTTCTACATGATATGCAAGTGCAAAGCTCACTAAATATAGTTACGTGGAATAACTTCTATTGTCAATCGTATGAATGTGACATCTACACTAGGCGACGCCGCGCAATAACAACATGCCGACGTCGATCAACATTCATTCGTATCTTAGTAGTAAAATAGATAATTCTTATAAACATCTAAATAGAATGAATGCACTCCATTTTAGCTGCTCGCACTTGTATATGCATTCAACAAACAATTTTACAATAGAGTATAACTTAGTGAACTATTACAAAGGTTAGATTTTTTTAATGACTTTGGTATTCGTAAGTTCTTGAGCCCGCCAAGAGGGCCGCCCAACTGTTTAGTCCAATCTTACTCAAACAGTGACCGGCTAGCGCTAACTGATTGATACCTAAAATTACGTTTGTACGTTTACAAAGAGAGTTCATTGTCATGTTACGAAAGGATGACGTAGTAGGTTCCGTATTCGAGTAATTTTTTTTGTTCATTCTTCTTGTTCCACTGGCTTAGTATGGCGCGAATCTGTTGTAGCCGCTTCTGTACACCGCCGTCTGAAAGTCGACATGAATATTATATATTAGTGTCGATTAAAACGGTTGCGACATGAGTTGAGAGATTAACGTGAGGTGTTGCTTACCCCGTATCCGGTGACAGGTCCGATGCCGTGACCTAAATACGGGTCCGCGTACTCTCTTCCGTACCTGGAACATATTATGAATGTTTACAATAGCAGCCGTAAAAAGCCGAAGTGAAAACATAAGCAACATGAGTTGGTAACATATATTCTGTATAGATGCATGCATATATTTATCTGGATGTTCACAAAAATCATTTCTGTCGTTAAAGTCAAAGGGCTATAAATATCGACTTATATAGATTAATAGAAATGTTGATGTGTATTAAAAATCAATAATGATTTACAGACTGCTCAATATTTGAAGCCATCGTACATTTTTCATAAACAAGTGTTATGGCTGCTATAAAAGGCGACGGTAGCCGTGGAATCAGAGCATTATTAGGGTCCTATACCAAACTTTACATTGTTCAACAGTAGAGTAGAGGAAGAAAAATAAGGGGCACCTTCTACTGCTGTATAGATTTACGTCCTAAGTACGAAAGAAATCAATGAAGACCGATGTCAAGTAAAAGTTAATATACTTTTGCGATTCGCGCGCAACGAAACCGAACGCGCAGTATTTAATTAAAAGCCGATGGATAGAAGTTCAATAATCGTAGATTAACCGTTCTACAATTAGGCTATACTCCCCAAAAACCGGCAAAGAACTAAGAGTAGAAGAATGGAAAGAACAAAACTGTGGTAGAACCATGCAACAGCTTCTGCTGTTTCATGAATGGGCAGGGCTCATCCCGCGTGAAGTTTAGTATTAAATTTTTATTAAACTTTCGCATTTCGTCTGGCAGCCGGGGCCCATTTTAACGATGGCAACGTATCTGCAACCCTGCAGGTGTTGTTAACATCAATAGGCGACGTGCGGCGTCAATGTTAGACGAACCGCACTTAACGTTTGCCATATAAAAAAAAAAACGGGCAAATGCGAGTCGGACTCGCGCACGAAGGGTTCCGTACAATTTTCTATGAAAACGCCAAAAAAAATATTTCTGTTGTATGGGAGACCCACTTAAATATTTTTTTTTATTTTGTTTTATAGTATTAGTTTTTGTAGCGGCACCAGAAATACATCATCTGTGAAAATTTCATCTGTCTTACTATCACAGTTCGTAAGATGCAGCCTGGTGACGGACGAACAGACAACGGAGTCTTAGTGATAGGGTCCCGTTTTATCCTTTGGGTACGGAACACGAATGCCAACTCAGGAGTTTGCTTACTAAATTAGGGAAGAAAAAATTTACAATCGAAGTTTTTTTTTATTTCTCACTTAAGAGGTTCTGGTTAGAATTTAGTGAATTCTAGTGGGTCTCTAAATAGCTTTTGGAGTGTTTTTTCGAACAGCCGGCAACACCGGCACGAAACCCTAGACAAGAGGAGGCACCGATAACATAAGGGGCGTGGTTGTATTTACGTGGCGGCGAGGGGCGCGAGGGCGGGCGCGGGCGCGGCGCTGGCGGCGGCCGCGGCGGCCCTCGCCGCCGCGCCGTAGTTGGCGGCCGCAGCGGCCGCGGCCGCGTGCTGCGCCGTCGTCAGCGGCGACTTGAGCAGCGGCGCCGCCGCCGCCGCCGCAGCCGCCGCGGCCTGCGCACCAATTACGTAGTTCCATTCCCGCTCGACCCGTTCGCACTCCAACTTCTATCGGAATCACCTCGTTGACGTTACGATGGAGCAATACACGTGACGGGTTAATCGGAACGAGCACGGCGATCGGTGTGGCGTGTACCACGAATCGGTGCCGTATCGTTTCCGTGGATGCGGTATTTATATATATATTATGACAATAATAAAAATTTATTATTTATCACCAATTTCTATCAACAAACTCAGCTTGTGAAAAAATTGAAATGTAATGATTAAAACTTAAATATTATTCCTCATTTTATAAAAACAAACCTAGAACAATGAGCCCACAAAGGCACTTCACAAATTATTTTGAAAATGTAAATTAAGTATGAATGAAGAACAATTTTGAACTTATTTCATGTAGTAAGTACACATTTTATATTACCCATTTTTTATCAAGCCTTCCCGAATGAAACAACTGTGGTATCTGTAAACTTCATTAAACTTTGATACACACATTGTGCACACTTGAAGTTGAATATTGTCGTCGAAGTCTATTATAAATTTTTAGCCATGAAAGCAGGTACACACAAACGAAAACTAATTTACAAAAAAAAAACGAAGAAAACAAATCTGCGTAGCGTGTAATTTACATACGTCCTCATGCAGCCTCGTATATCGTATCGTAATGTTATTAACTTCCCTCAGCTAGTTGCGAAATCAAGTCAACAATGTACTATTGCGGACAAATATACGGTGTACTTTTCATCGTCATGCATACTAAATACGAAGAAGTCGATAATGGCACAAACTACATTGGAGTGATACGCTGGCGAGATCTACGTAGACAGTGTTAGTAAGTGAAATACACTTGGAGAATGATGATTAGACAGTGTTGCGGGCTCAATGTTCTACACGTAGTGATGGCAAGACTTCGACACAGCTCGAGCCTAAACGAAGTCCCACCGCGCGTTGATCGATGGCGGTATGCTAAGCGGTCCGGCCGTACCACCCGTTGCAGTGCACGGGTGGCGATGGGGACGTGGGGATGAGGTACAGAGCAACCAACCCAGCGCACACACCAACATGTACCGCGGCGGAACGTGAATTAGGAAGCGATAGTAAACGTATAATAGTCACATCGATATCGAGCACTAAACGCGCCTTTACCTCGGCTGCGGGCTTCGCGGCCTGCAACAACACACGGACGGTCACCCACACTTCGACCAGTGTTCACATGTCTCAAACAATATGGCATCTAATACGTGCTGTGGTCGACGATAGATATAAACTTTCCGATATATAGTTCACATGTCCCTATTCCAATATGGCATATAACATCATAACGGCGGTAGATACTATAGTTGACATGTCACTCAATCAATTTGGCGTCTAATATCATGTCATTAGTCGGCGACAGATACTACAATTCACATGAAACTCAATCTAGATGTCGTATAACATCATGTGCTGTGGTCGACGATAGATACATGTTCACATGTCACTCAAAAATATGGCATATAACATCATACAATGTGGTCAAAGATAGATAATATATCTGTATTACCGATGTGAAGGCAATTAATTACCTGCAGTCTGTAGTTAGAGTCGGCCGTTGCAGCCGCTGCTAGGAAGGGGTCGTAATATACACTGTGGAACGGATAAAAAGCAATGTTTAATGGCAAGAAAACAAGAGTTACGAAATTCTATAAATTATACTTATAGTTCTCATTGTTTCTGAACTGTTCAGACTGTCGTCGTACTAATGGGAATACAGAATGTCTTATAAAGACGTTATAGAGAAGCTAATTCTTATTTTTGTGTACAAATAGTTTACTTTTCGATGTCTTCAGATTCAATAGTATACTTGCGATGATTTCGAGAAGCTAACCAATATTGTCATTCTCCTAAAAATTATTACCTATTTATAATTTGTTTCTATTATATTTTATTGAAGTTAACATTTGTAATTTATTTATGATTATAACGTTCGTTTTAGAAGATGTGCTTTTATGTGCTCTTCCAGTGCTAGAGTTTTTATGCACACGGAGAATGCGTCCTAAAATATATAACGTCGCTCAATAGCGATATTGATCCAAGGCCATTGACGAGAAGCAACTGTTTAAAACTATTGTCGAAATTTAAATTGATGAGAATGATCTACTTATACAAGCGGTTCAACAATATCTACAGCGAAGTGTCTACGTGTAGGAATCGAAGACAAATTACAACTATGGTACACCACGATATGCTAGTATATAATATTATTTGACAGCGAGCGTAGGCCCACGAAAAAGACATGCGGTGCTTGTGCAGTATTAGTACAAATACCTATTGTAACTCTAAGTTATTCCACAGACATTTATATTAGTTGCGGCGTACATTGGACTGAGAGTGCTAAAGTAATTACACTGTGCGGACATGTTAATCTAATTAGAGAGAGAATAATGTTAACTTCATACCAGCAGGCTTGCGGAATGTTGGGATCTTTACGGGATGGGTTAATGTGGAAATTGGTGGCAGGGTGCTCTGCGTCTCCTGTTGGAACAACGCTACGTTACCGAATACGTTGGTGTGATTTATGGTGTAAATAAATCAGAGTCGTGAGTGTTTATTATTACTACATATATTGACCTTTGACAGGAAATCATTAAAAAGGCATTGCTTAAAGCCGTACATTTGCATAAATACGTTTAGTATGTGCGCATTTACTATGAAGGTCAATACGTCATTGATCTTCGTACCACTGTTTGTTTATTTCATTAACAGTGGCTCACACATAAGAAGTCATTTAGAAAACAATTTGTTTCATGGTGGAAAAGAAGAAATAGTTTCATATTACCAGTAATAAGGTAGTCAAATGCATTTGACAATACTGAGTACAGTAACGCTAGTGGGTGTCGAACTTATAATTTTGCTCAACATTTCACATTTAATTATTAAATGACAAAGTGTCAAACGACTAAGCGGTTCGTCTGATGCTAAGCGCTTACCCCGCCAATGAGAGTGAACACACAACACTCTTGGGACTGCAGTTAGATAGGATCCCGGAAGTAAGCGGAAGCTTACTGCGCATTTATCATGTTCCAAAAGATTCATCAAAATCTAAATTCATATGTGCATTGGATATAACAGATTTCCAACAGGAGCGCTGCGGGAAGCGGGGTGGGGGTGCGCGGCGGCGGTGCGTCGTCGCGTCACGCCACGTCGCGTCGCGCCGCGTCACGTCACGTCACACGCGTCGCGACAGGTCGCGTCACGTCACGCGGCGCGGCGTACTCACGGTGCGTACGCGTGCAGCGGCGACGCGTAGGCGCGCGGCAGCACGTGCGCGAGGGCCGGCGCGGCGTCGCGGGGCGCCCGGGCGCGCAGCACGGCTACATGCAAAACACACTGGGCATGCGGTTACCTGCGTCGCTGCGCGGCGCGCGGCGCGAGCACGAGCGGCGGCGCGGGCGTTGCGGCCGGCGCCGTGCCCAGCCACGGCCACGTCACGCCGGACACCCGCAGCCCTGCGCACACAGCGCGCCTCAGACACCCGTCAGCCGCGGGCCCTAAGCTACTGCGCGCTACCGCCGTCGACGCTTCCGAACGCGTACGTTTTCCCCCTTACATCGATCTTTTCTAAGGAGCGAGCGGGTCGCTCACACCTGATCGCACGATAAGCTCGCAGCAACATAGGAGTCGCGGAAGCTTTGCCGGCCTCGTTGTCGTCTCCATTGTAATCGGTGTTGTCATCACTATAGCACTACGAGGTGTCTTCATTGATGGGTGTTACGAAAACCGTGTTTGGGTATTAGTCCCCATAAGGAAACAGCGTAATTTATAGCGGTTCGATGTTTTAGCGAAATAAAATGCCGTAGTTATATAAGTAATAATAAATATAAACTGAAACAGACGGACCTATACGGAATGCATAGGAAAAATATAGAATACACAGCAATGGGAAGAAGTACCCTATTATTTTATGGAATCATAAATCACGAAAATAATTTTCCCTAACTTTATTTTATACAATTACCTCCAAACAGTCCTTCATATTGTGCGCACCTACACTCGACCCAAAGTTTCTGTCCAATACAAATGTTAACGTGCTTTAATAATCACTCAAACATCAACCACGGAAACAAGGATCTATGTTACTATGAACACTATGAACTAAAATGCAGATCAACCTACGCACGACTAAAACGGTCATTATTCACATCGAGAGTTTGGAGAACAACAAGGCCATGCTAAATAGCAGCACGACTGGAATCACAAGTATCAAAATAGTCGGATGCTCACCACCGTGCGGACGACCAAATGCATTCCTACTTTCTGCTCTAGAGAAGCATCGCCGTTAGGGTAATATACAATGCCTTAAAATCAACTCGAGAAATACAATTTCAATATCTCATCGAGCAAAAGAAACTAATAAACCATAGATATAATCCCACCACATAATGAAGGAAACTTCATGCTCGAATGGATGTTATGTAATTAATGTAAACGCGAAAGCTGTCAATAGTTGATGTTGATAAAATGTGCTATCTCACCTTCAGGCCATTGGACGCACACTGAAACAAAACAATTGCAATTATTAATAGTGGGGCAAAGCATTTTTGAATATGCGTTGTCTAATTCAGCACAAAGAAGACAGACCGAATATGCATTCTCCGCTACGGAATTGAAATGTTGACAGTGCAGGATAGAAGTTGCATTCCTTCTAGCAAACGTCAATGTAGAGAATCATCGTAAGGAAGGTGGAATGATGTAAACATTGCAAGCTCTAAGTTTGGTGTTATCCGAGAGTGTTTTCATCAGACAAGTAATGCCGGAGACAGCCTTTACAAATTTACGAGCGAATAAACAAAAATAAAATTTCTTTTTTTTATTACATTCATCATCTTTGGGACACAAATCTATTTATGCACATAGCGTAAGTAGCGCAACATGCTTCTAAAATGCTTATATATAGTCATTAGATAATGTCCCAAGAAATAAAAAAAAACAGCAGCTGAACTGGCCGGAAATTCGATTGAATTTATAATAATTTTAATAGTTGTATTACTGTATTGCTCTGTAACAGCCTTAGAAATAATGTCACAGATAATTTAAATAATTTTCAACAGCTATCGATAGTGATTGCACGTGGTGTAGGCCTAGCTCAGAATCAGACTGTCTCCGGCTTTGACAGTGGGCTCTTTCTCTAAATAGCATTCACCTACTTGCATTCCGACAAATCATCTAATGAACATTTAGCAAGTGAATAACATGGACAACACCGATGTTTAATATGTCAGCTCTCTCACCCAAAGTGGGAACTGATCCATTTCTAGCCAGTATAACTGGGTGGATTAAAAGGAAAAAAAAATCCATGATGCATTATATTGGATACAACAAGTGTTCAGGTTAAAATAAATAATTCAATTATCGAATGTATTTGTTGTAAAATGACGTAACGATTTTGGTTATTCGAGGAGATACTTAAAATTTAATTGGATATAATGTCCAAAGATTTTAATTTTCGGAAACTTACCGTTGGGGACCGCAGGCGGTTTCTTGGTTTGTACCCTCGCAGTTGCGTTATTAACCTGATAGGGAAGCAAGTGATAAGGTCAGAGATTGTTAAGAAACATAATGAAATGAAATGAAATTGGTTTAACTATATTTTAAAAGTAATATTTAATGTTATTAAAATAGTTTTGAGTCACTCGCCTGGAGATTATAATGTTATAATTCTACATTAATTGATGTCCGGGGTCAAAATTTGTGGGTTCGTTTGGAGATTACATTTGTATTCCAACATTAAAGAGCAATAACGTCCAATTTTAATTAACTCTCCAAAGTAACGTTAATTGCAACAAAATGACAAGATTTGTAAAGATAAGACGTCGAAAATCTTTGCAGCCGGCTTGTTCGTGGTTGTTGTAGACAAGTTTACCTTGATATTTTGATTTGTATCCGGTAATTGTTCATCTCAGTATTCAGAAAATGACTATTACTTTAACATTTAACGAGTGATAAACAGTTTGGCCGTGTCTGATTTTAGTGATAATCACAACAAAACTTAGGAAAGTTCAATCGTAACCAATTTCAAATTAACAATAGCAAAAAAATATTATAATAAGTAATGAAACTTAAAAGTGCGTTTGCTGTCTTACCTCGTCGATATCGAGACGTACGGTTCGTTCTACATTTCTCTGTGAGACAGTCTCTCAATCGATCGGCATTTTAAATGACCGTCTAGAGAGTAAAGGGACAAAATAAATAAGGTTTGTTTGTGGATTAGATCAGGGGCTTGGGGGCGGCATACTTATAGTGCTAATATGCGGGCCGGCGCGGCTGGGCGCGCTCTAGCATGGCAGTAACTACAGAGCGGAGGAACGCAGGTTGCGGTGGGCGTTGGCGGGATGTTAAAGTTACATAGTGCTACGAATGGTATTCATTGATTCATGCACACCTCTATCTTTCTGCCCTCAACCACGGTGCCGTGAAGACGCTCTCGTGCTCGCTCCGCATCACCACTATTTGCGAATGTTACAAAACCGAATCCCTGCATGCAAGACAGACAAAACATGCATTAAAAACAGCGTCGCTCAAAAAACAACGTGCAACAAAAATTAACATTTATGCATTGCATATTCTTTTTGAACATGGTTGTGAGATATCGATAGGATCTTTTTTTTTTCGTCTCCGTTGCGTTGGCAGTTTGAGCGTACTCTAGCTGAGTGGGTACACATAAGCGTTTGGATATCGGTAAACTGATTGAATGTCTCTCGACCTAGCAGTCCGTTCTATTGGAAAGAGGTATCAATGGTGTAAATAGAGTCAAGGGCTCATTTCAAAGCTAGTTTATTGGGCACTACTGTCTATAATCAGAGTATTATTCGTTTTTGTATGGAATGTTAGCTGCAATTTGTTTCTAGAAAAGTCATCGAACATGCAGTTAACTAAAGAATACTTTTTTCAGCTTTCAGAACAAATGTTTAATTGGTTAATTAAATTTGGTAGTTTACTACAGGGAAGAATTTACTTTTCAAAGATCCTTACAATTTTGCTATGTACTGATGTATCATAAAGTGTGACCTGTGTATTGTATAACAGTTATGGCATTATATGTCTATACTACCACCGGCCTAAGGATTTTTGGGTAAAGTTATGTGCATAGACTGTACAGTGCCGAAATAAAAAGAAAAATTGTAATCAAAAAAGCAATTTCGCCTTTGCAACAGTCATAGATACATAGCACTGATAAAATCGGCTTAGGCGACCGCGTGACCGGCCGTATTGGTTTTAGTTGTTAAACAGAAGAACAACTTTTCAAATCGATTACTTTATCAATTTCATTTATCGTGCTAAGGTAAAACGAAAGCTACTGTCAAAAAACATGGTGATAACCCATAGATACAAAAAGCAGCTAGCACAGCACACAGTACAGTGGGAGAGACGAGTAGTGAAAGTGGCAAACAAGTTGCTGATTGTACGAAACGCTTACACTTATAAAAAGCATGACAGCTCTATTATCACAATTACCATTCTGAGTGCACATATTTAATATAACGTTAAAATAACAATCATGTGGGCAGAGAGAGAGAGCGAGAAGAAACCGTAGGTATTAATCGAAATAGAGACTTGTGTCTCTAATGGCGTCATTAAATACAATGGAAGCACAACGTCCATAAATCGCGTCTTATAACCAATGATAAAACTCATGTATTCAACTCATTTATCCAGCAGACGGGGGAAGACACTAATGCCATTCTCCAGATTAAGCCAAACTAAGTGATGCACCAAAATTACTTCTAGAATATGTAACTTACGTTGTCATTTTATTAACACAAAAAAAAAGTAATTAGGGTCAGCGAAGTATACATGCCCAAAAAACTAATGAAAAATTATGTCCCCTTGTTAGGAAGCGCATGACCGAGAAAACTAGGATTACAACAAAATAACATTTTCAATCTAATAGATTCAGATTAAGTATATTTCGGAATGACGCATCACCCAAACTACACACTTAGGAAAGTTCAATCTAGTCATAAACAAAAGCCATAGACACGTATAAAGTTAACGCTCCTCCGATCTTAAATACAACTATGAAGAGCAAGCGGTGCAGTTTGGACGATAGTAAAAATATTTATTAGTGATGAATAATAGAGCTGTCTTGGAAATGTGACTTAGAAAATCAGCTGTTATAGTGACGATGCATTATTTTCTAATACTGCATATCCCAATGGAGGCATTGAAGAAAAAAATAATTTGGAGCTATTATATCGAAAGATTAAAATACGTTCCAGACATGAGCGGGCATGGGCTACTTTAGGGTTGGTCAATAAACTGACACAAGGAAAGCGGTAAACACGATAAAGCGGTCAATCCAATCAATTCTTTGTAAAAAGGAATCTTTATCATTATCTCTTTCAGAATAGTTCATTTGTGGAGTTCGAGAATTTACAGTGAGTTGTTTTTTGAGGATTATTAAATTGTGAAAATTGATTAATGTTGCTCTGGACAGTCGTACCGATGACTTACTTTTTGTGTTAATAATTTCAACGAGGAAATTGGGCGAAGTAAAAGTCTACAGAAACAAATACTAAAAAAGCATGTCAAAGGTACCAAATGTATAACGTGAAAATTCGATAAATTTCAAGGTCGGATTACATTTTTTATAAACATAAGTTTAATGATAATATACAATGGAATTAGAGATACTGCACCAAACAATAAAAACCAAGAATATGCTATGAGATAGAAAGTCTGTTTAAACACAATTATAATAATTTTAGTCTAAGCCCTTTTGCCTTGAAACTTGAAGGAAACTTATATTAATTTAAGGCATAATTTTGGTAATAAAGTATAGGAAAATTTCAAAATAACATCAGTTTGGGCAGCAATGACTATAGTTGATTGGCTTCTTAGCTATTGCTTGTCGTTTTATATAAAAATAATGTTAACTTGTAAATTATGAGTAAATGTTTAGAATTTATAAAATTATATTTAGCAATAGCTATGAAAGCAGCATTGTGTGAATTATAGAAATATGTATATTGCGCGTAAAAAAAAGTTAAGACAATTAAAATATAGCATGACAACATTAGTCTAATTTTAGTAATTATTTATTTTATTTTTTTCTTGGACACGAGTCTGAACTAATGAAAGTTGTTTATGATAAAATGAGTTTTTATTATTAATTTGATGCCAGGAAAAATTTTAAGGATACATCTCCATTTTATAAAGAAAAAGAGAAAGTAACGTGCAAAATAACAAAGATACATTTTTATTCTTAATTATAGTAGCGTTTAACAGGAAAATTACTTGTAAATCTTATTTGTCTAAATAATTTTTGTATGATTAGAACGTTAGGTAAAACCAATACCTGTTTTTTTGTTATTATAAGACTATCCCTATAATTCACAAATACAACTGAAGCAATAAACAGATATTTAATCTTTATAATTTTCACCTCTGATTCATTACGGTAATTACTTAGAATATAGCATAGAAATATTATATATTAATGCTGTAACAGTTTTATGCTCAATCGTGCAAGTCACAAAAATCTTTGACGATTCACGGCCCGTGTGTTTATTGCTTCATAAGACACAATATGGTCTCTTAATAGAAATCGTAAAGTAGCCACAATGAGATCCAAGTTAATGCCGTGGATTTCAGGGCTACTTTGTGCTTATATCAAAAGGGGGGGGGGGGGGGGGGGGGGGGAGGGCGGAGTGATAAAAACCGTGCTTACCTTCGAGCCGCGTTCGTTGAAGATAATTTCTACATCAAGTATCGTGCCATATTGCTGAAATGTAAAACATCGGCGATTAATGAAGTTGCAACCGTTTGGAAGCCTAGTGGTGCGTACATATTGTCATGCCGTGCGCTACGGGATTTGGTGTGATACATACGCCGAACATGTTCCTCAGGTCGGGGTCCCGGAAGCGGAAGGGTATGTTGGAGACGTGCAGCCTCTTGGGCTGCGAGGCCTGGGAGACGGGCACGAGATTCTTGTCCGTGGCGTTGGCGGTGGCGGCCGCGGCGGCTGCGGCGGCCGCGTGCGCAGCGGCCGCTTGCTGCGCCACGGCGGCCGCCTGCTGAGCCACCACGGCCGCCGCCACGCTCACCGGCGTGCTCTCCTCCGTCGACTCCGCTTCGCTCTGCTGTGGAGCGCGCGCGATCCGATCAGTAAACAAGCAACATAAACAACAACAACAAAACACCGTGGTAGGAACACGCATTCGAGAACAGCCTTCGCTGTTTCACCAACGGGTCAGGTCCGTCCGTGTAAGTACCACGACCTCACAGAAGACCGGCGTGAAGTGGAAGTGTAATACTTTTGCGTTTCGTCTGGTGATTGTACCAAGGCCCACTTTATTAATAGGTGGTAACGCATCTGCAACCCTACTTGTTATCACTTAACATCGGGTGAACCGTCAGCAGGCTTGTCATCTTCTCATATAAAAAAAAGAAACAACATCTCGCACGACAGAATGCGTTGCACTTAGACGCCAGCTCAACCGGGTAAATGCTACTGCCTCGCAGAAGGTAGTTCTGAAATTGAAATATTATGCTTTTAGCGTTTCGTTCGTTTAGTGAGAGAGCGACACTCAGTTATTGACATCACTCCTACGATCATGAATCGATTCAACTTAAACTGCAGAAACGCAATCTATTTATTGTCTGCAAGTTATTTTTAGTCCCTGGGCCTAGGACCGATGATATTTTTCTTTTAATCCTGCCCTGATAGCTTAATTATATGGGATTAAATGCTTAAGATAAGCGTCTGACTTCTAATTATGTAGCTGGCGCGTTCGTGTTTGAGTGTGTGTGTGCGTGCATATTTTTTAGTTTTTAATCTAAAATTGCGTCGAAATTATCAATAAATTATAAGATTTTTGTTCCTAAACATAATGCTTAAGACTAAAATAGAAAAAAAAGAAGATGTCACGATATAGTTTTTAAGTCATAAGTATCTACTGTAAGTTTTGCAGAAGCACTTAGGAACCCATAAATAGCAGTTTGTTGATATATCCTTTAAACGAGTATGTATGTATGTGCCAAGTTAACAAATCCTTTAGACGAATATTTCCAGATTAGTGAATTTAATGATAGGTAAGTATTTCTTTAAACCTCTGAGGACCTTAGTTCTCTTACTAACGAAGACCTTAGTTTTTTAAGAGTTGAAAAACATGAAATTAAGAAACTTAAGTGGACTAAAACATTTATAAGTCGCTCTTAGGAGTGTTAATTAGATTCGATAATATTAAACGGCTATTAAAGCCATCACAATATTCTTACTTCAGCGTGATTACATTTAAATTATACAGTATAATTTATGGTAAACACTACTATTTGAGAATGATATAGATCCGTTATAAAAGTTAAAGGTTTTTATTTTGGAACACTTAACTGATGATTCAATATAACATGTGTTGCATTCCTATATTTTTAAAGCGGCGTCCGCTTGCGAAAACTATTAATATTATACATACGTAAAAGCACGTTTGCGCAGAGACAAGCGCAATAAATAATGCTAGTGAGAAATATGAAGAAGCGAACATTTCGTATTTGCAAAAATATATCAATGCAGTATTTAATTCAGGTTAACGTTTCTAAATACAAGATTTTTATTTAATGAGCCTAATAAAATTTAAATATCGGATGTATTTGTCAAGGCACATTACCATTAGCTAAGAATGTTTGCTTTTAGCCAAAACAACATTTATGCCGGTTCCCCTCAATCTTTATTGATCGCACGGATGGTGTAATGTTGAAAAGAGGTGATCTCCTCTCCAACTGCTATTACACTCAGTATCGTGAGATCTTTCTTCGCACGGCCTAAAAGTTAGATTGATCCACGAACAGACTTCGGATGTACTTTGTGTTCGCGATTTTATGTTCGTGGAACACGCCAGGTTTTATTATCTAGTGAGGGAGTAGTTTTTTGACTATAAGTATTAATGAATGAACAAATCTTATAATGACTGTACTAAAGTTTTAACTAACGGATTTCTGATTGGACAGATTTTACAAATGAAAACGGAACTCTTGGTTCATACATACAATAGTAGAATCTGAAACGGGAACGTAAAGACACTGTTCTGTTTTACAATACTTAAAGATTTGTTGATCTGATTCTCTATCGGGGTCTGTTGTGTACTATGGCATAAGGTTGTTCTATAATATATACCAAATTGTTATTTTAGTTCTCTATAGTTCTCTTTTGTTCTATTCTATGACATAATGTTTTACTCTTTTGTCACCCTCTTCCGTTGACGCTGTCGAAGCCGTCGGGCTGACAGCAAACTAGACGTCACACAAAGAAAAAACTATTTGTGATACATACTAGTATAGTTCTAATCTATGGCATAATGTTTTACTCTGTGGCACATACCGAGTTGTTGTTCTGGTTCTCTATAGAGTTCTGTGCGTGCGACTGGGGTGGCGGTTGCGGGGAGAAGTTGGCGGGCGGCAGGGGGGCCGGTGGCGGCGGGCCCTCGCTCTTGACCAGCTGCGCCTGCGGTGGTGCCGCGGGGCCTGTCGCCTCGGCCTTCACGCCGGCCAGCGCGTCCCCGTTGGCCGCGTACTGGGCCGCCGCGGCCGCAGCCGCCGCCGCCGCAGGGAACGGGGCCGCCATGCCCGTCCCCACCATGTGCTGGGGACACCACAAGGAAATTCTCTACACTAACATCTCAAAGTCTTTCAACCATATAGGAGTGGAGAAAAAAGTCACTCTGGGAGGTTGTGATTTTGTTACGTAAGTAATCCGAAAAACAGAATAATTAATCAATGGATTTCGTAAACGCGATCTCAGATATACATACCGCAATTATAACGTATCTATATAAATGACGCAAGTGTAACGTATTGATAACTAATCCAACTGAAATGAGCTAATCTCATATTAGCGAAATTTCAAAAAGAGAATAAATATTCTTTCTATTTTCCGAAAATAATATTTCAATATAATTTTTTGTACAGGGAAATAATTGGGAGCTTAGCGCTCCGGCAATTAGCGTTTGTCAAAACATTCTCACATTCCCCAAATATATTTGTATGACGAAAGGAAATCTCCTTCCACCAATTATAACTTTCCGATGATGATATAACAAGCAATGATGTTGACATGCGTAATTGATTATGTTTATTCTATATGCCTAAAAATAAAAATATCGACACAAAGCACACAAAGTACAAGCATGAAGATGTGTGCATAAGAAAGCATTACTTAATGACTTACAGTTACAATAATTGGCGTATTAACAAACGGAATTAATGTAGTCAAATCATCACGGCGAATAAAGCATCAATTATTTTCTTTATGAAAGTTTAATTGGACAACTAACACATGCTAGCATTCCGTTTCAGGGCCGAGACGTATACTAATTCTGTTGTAATAAATACTAGGCACTGGTTGTTGACATTTCTGGGCTGCCATTCGAAATATTGACATAGACTGTGTGCCAAAATTCGGGGTGTAATTCGGGCGCCGCGTTCAGACATGTACCTGCTTCTTTTCACGCGGCTTGGTTCAGTTATACTTAACGATTAATAAAAGAAAAGGTTACAAAAAACCTGTGGCACCCGGGGACTGCCGCGGTAAAGCTATTGCATAGCATCTTTTATCACCTTATGCAATTATAATTATTTATTTTTTATCTATGCAGTATATTTTTTTCTTTGATATTTATATTTATATTAATAAATAATAATATAATTATTAATATTATATCATAATTTATTATCTATATTATTTATTTATATTATTTACAAAAATGATAAGAACTACTAAGCCAGTCACTAAGCCGTTTGGATAGTTAAATTACAATATACCTACTAACATTTTTAAACTTGTGATATCTTTCGAATGGCATGATAAATGATGAAGCAAATCGCTTAATTCTTGTTCTGGGAACGTCAACAGCATAAGGGTGGAGTTTCGCCGAACGCCTAGTTGTCCGATGATGGAAAGGGGCAGGATGAATCAAATCATGCAACTCCAACGCACACTCTCCAAAATGCATCCTGTAGAAGACCGAAGCCGTGATAGCTCAGTGTCCGGGCGCTCGCCTTTAATTCAATATACTCGAGCAACCTGAGTTCGATCCCCGGTGCCGGCACCAATGAAGTTTTTAACTTTAAGTGCTGACTTATCACGTGCTCCGCGGTGAAGGAAAACATCGTGAGGAAACCTGCATATTTTCGAAATAATATTAAAAAAAAAATTTCGAAGATATGTGAAGTCCGCCAATCCGCAGTGGGCCGCGTGGTGGACTATGCCCTGATACCCTCTGTATAGAGGAGGCCTTTGCCCAGCAGTGGAACATGTATAGGCTAGTACTCTGCACCTGTGCTCAAGGCTAGTAAAGTTGGTTTTAACCAAGTTACGGTCACCAATAAGCCTTTCCGCACGACTCTCCATGGAGTCCAAGGCAGCCAGATGGCATTTTGCAGCGCCAGCCCAGATATGGCAACAGTACTCCACACATCGGACTTGAGCTTTGTATAGCGTAAGAAGCTTTCCCGGTGTGAAGTACCGTCGCACCTCTGCAAGGACACCTAACTTCCTTGCAGCTGCCATGGCTTTAGACTCAATGAACCGCCCTCAGTTGAGGTTAGAGAATATTTCGACTCCCAACAACTGAAGGCGGTCGGTATACTCTAAGGACACATTTTGGAAAGTAGGAGCCAAGTTGAAGGGGCTCATTTTTGCGGAAAAAAGACACGCCTGCATTTTGGGAGCGTTCAATCTTTTTCTCTACTCCCAGGGTTGACTGGAAGAGAATGCTTATTAGCATTAAGTGTGCCTTTTGTTTAGCCTTAAGTTGAGGTGTAAACAAAAATTTTAAATAAATAAATAAATCTCACAAGATTGGCATCGCCCCATTCAGAGAGCCTGCAATGTAAGATTCAAAAGCTCTACCATCGCCTCTCTTTCGGACTGGATATGATCTCTATTGACCCGAAGACTCGGTTGGCTCCACAACTGTGCTGTCTTCCGCGTAACCATAGATACCGGGCATGAGCAGATCATCATCCTATGCAACAAGCAAAGAGTTGCGGAAAGGAAGGACCCTTGAGGAACTCCGGCCTTGGTCCGGCATTTTTTGTACACTTTGGGTTACATTATTGAAGTTTTTTGTAAGGATCCCTAGTTTTTTTTAAATAAAATATATAGCTTATGTTATCCGAGGATAATATAGCTTCCCAACAGTGAGAGAAATTTTCAAATCGGTTCAGTAGTTTCGGAGCCTATTCAATTCGGAGCATACAAACAATCAAATCTCTCCTCTTACATGGTACGCGGAGTGGGTGGTGTTAGGTTTTATTTTCGTTACGGAATTTCTTGATTCGCGCTCAAAGCCCGCGATAAAAGCTATTCAATAGTTTAAAAATGTTTGTCACGTACATACATGACGTATTATACAATTATGTGTACTTAGGCCAGTAAAAATAGACGCCTTTTGGTCAACTTCGCACTAAACTGCCAATCCAATTTTTGTTTTATATAAGGTTTACTATTACACACTGAACTGTATAAATCACAAAATGCTAACAGATTCCGGTAGAGCATCAGGCGCCATCTTGTTTAGGGCAGAGTTCATTATCAGAACAATCGAAATCAAAAAAATTTCGCATATTTTGTTTTGTATTTTAGGGCGAAGTTTATTCTATTTTTACTGGCCTATTTAGCCGATAATATCTATAATTTAAAGTTTGTATCTTACATTTTTAAAACAAAAGTTATTATAAAAATGAATTCACAAGTGTAATTTATTATCATTTCTTCTTTGGATATCTGTTCTTCTTTGGATGGATTCGGATGGTTTGAAGACGAAATTAAAAAAAAATAACTTTAATATGCAAAATTATCGTTTGCTGTCTGTCTATTCATGTGCAAAAAATCAACGAACGATATAATAAATATACCGATAAATAAAAAAGGAAAAACGCGAAACTTTAAAATGGTTTAACTTTCAAATAAGATACAAAGTAGTAATACATCTCCATATTCAACGAGTAGGTATATATCGAGAAAAAGCAGCTTGTGGATGTGGCCTAAAAATGGTCTGTTTTCGCGGGAACAATAGAAAACTAAGCCATGAACGGGCTCTGCAGAACTAATCTTGCTTTATGAGGGCTGCACAAATATTTTGAAGTTTGTTTTTTGTCCCGTTAAAGTATAAAGACGGAATTACAATCTTTAAGATGGTGCTCTGAATATGCCTACCCTACACATACTTTGAATAAGCTAGTAGATTTTATCGGCGCAGTGTTTAAGCACCTAAGTTTATGTCATATGCAAAGATTTCGCACATATAAAAATAAATCAAACGTTTCGAGATACGTGCTTCCGTGCTGAGGAAATTGTAAGTTTGGAAAAATATCCCACGGTTGAATTAAACATGATGTCACATGCATGTTATTATTCAAAGTATCCACTAAAGTAAATATCAAAAGTAAATGACTTAACAAAAGTCCACAGGACGAAAGCAATTTGGATTTTTTTTTAATTATCACGTTTTTAATTTTAAAACTTTTGTGGTTTAACACACGTTATGGGATTATTTTTCATTTTATCAAATCATTTGGCCGTGGATTTAGCAAAGGTTACAAAGGTCACTTAAAATAATGCTGACCGGTTTACTAAGAAGAATGTTACGTTTGCTTAGAAAAAAAAAGTGTGTAATATTATTTCAATATAACCTTTTCACCCACAAAGACGAAAGGTCATCTTTGCAGTTTTTATTCGTTTTGTTCAAAGAATTCAGTGAAGGAATAGAATCCGGGTATTTATTTACATTAAAAATCCGAACTCCGGCTTAAGGCTAAGAATAAACCGAAGTATTTACATTTATGCTATATTTGATTACATCACGCAAACCGGGATCAGTCAGATGTCAGGTTCGTCTTTTCTATGCATATTCGGATCCCGGCTGCCATTCAAAGTTTTTACCCATGAATAGGAGGTATTCGCAAGCAAATTTATCCACATTTTTACTATCTAAGTAAATTTTAACGATTCAGTTTAGTCTACAATTACACTTGTTATATGTTGGAAATGTAACACACGATGGCTTATTGTAACAAATTGCAGCTGCTCCATATTACGAAATATATATGTATACACACGAGCACTCTTATTCAATATGGGTTAGAACTCGTCAGGAGCAAAATTAAATTGCGAACAGTAGGTCCGTCCCGTAGCGACCCGCCTCGATGTCGCTACTCGCTACACAGCGATGGCCTTGGGGCCTATTGTTGGCAGTTTTATGACTAAAAATGGTCTTTCATTCATACGTACATACATAAATTTACAACTTTATGTTTTTAATCTCGTTTATAATAAATATTAAATTTGATCATTTCAGTTTTCAATACAAATTGTATAGTTTAATTAGTCTGCCAATAATTCTCATTTCAACACAACTTAGGATAGGAACCTTATAAAGAAAAATCCGATTCCTTGATAATGTTTGGAAACTTTTGCAACTCCTCTGATGCAATTCGTTTGTCACTTCTTTCATAAGAGAAGGTGACATTAGTGTCATACTTACGGTTAAGTACGTTCTCTTTAAATTCGCTTTTAGAAACACTAGATATTTACGTACATGAAACGTCTATCCCATACAACGGCACCTGTATTTGTGGAAC